TTCAGAATATTTAAAATATTTCTCTTGGTTTTTATACAAAGATACATGATAATGATATCTATTTCTAACAGGTTCACCTCAAATTTACTGCCATTCACAACTGGGCATAAATATAAATTTTATATTTACATGGACATACAAAGTATTTACAAGAAATAAATTGTGCAAAATATCATTTGTATATTTCCTAATAAAAATAAAGGAGAGAATTCAAGTTTGTTACACTTTTTTAGAGCAACACACAGCAATATATCTGAGTCTATTATTACACTTCACATTTCAGGATGAATGATTTTTTCTTGATTTAAAGCACAAGCTTTGTCATTCCTTACACAATACGGAAAACATTCGTACATGCATGATACTAAATATTAAATGAGACAACCAAATGTTCTCACTTCCATTATTTTTACCAATAATGAGTTAAATGGTATTCAGGTATATCAGGTACGGGCATATTTAGGATGTTCTAAAAATGCTTCTATATATACAAAGCTGTTTTCATAAATGTTGTATAATATCCTAAATATCGTGAAAAGGTTATAGAATCACCTTCAGGATGGATTAAATTGTGTGATACTCTCAGTATGCAAGCAAGGAATTAATGTTTTACAATCTCTCGTCAGTTCACTCACTTTTTGTATTTGTAATATAAGTCGGTGGCCTAATTACAGAAATAAAGTAATCCGAACTAATCTCTATTCAGCATGTTCAGAGTCCCGAAACATTCAAAGGAAATTTAAACATTACCAGCTGTTTTAAATATAGTATTCTTGTCATTTTAATTTTGGCTAAATTTTACTTCAATTGCCACGGCTGAAGGGGTGATATAAATCCAACTAGGGTCCATGCAGGTAGCAAAAGTACTGTAAGTCCCCATGATCCCTAGTTTGGTGATCTACCTTCAGTTGTTGGCGATCTATAGCCAGTTTTTATATTGTCTTGTCCAAATAGTCCAATATTAGTTTTAAGTTTCCACACTAGTTTTAGTTGTAATTGTGATATTCTAGTTGTTTTACTGTCCTTCGTAGTTTTTAAAATATACATCTATTCCATTTCAATGTCACATGTTCTCGTCACGATATGGCTGAAATATTGCCGATGTGACGTTAAATAATAACTCACTCACTCACTCAGCATGTTCAGAGTGTACACGATAAATATGTTGTTCATCACAAAGGTTTAAAATACAACAAACCATTACAATCTGAAGTTGATCGTTGTGAAAGTCATGCTATAAATGTGAAAACTCTCATTAAGATGATAAATAACACGTTGTAACTGTGTTACAAAGGAGGTAGACATCAAATAATTATACCAAATTTCTATTAGCTTGTATATAAATACAAAACAAAATATAAATTTGACAAGCTTTGATGATTGTAATCCTTCCAATTAGTAGATTAGAAATATCCATTAAAGGAAATTTACCTTAGCTGCTTAAACAATGTGTATATATATTATGAGACTAAAATAAATAAACAAACAAGTACTCTATTATCTCAGAGTATACCGGGACTTAAGGTCGGACTAAATATAACTGTCTGTAGTACTGATTTTATCTGTGAAAATGATATAATTTTGCAGCAATGAAATATTAGAAAAGCCACAATTCTTAAAGTGTTCACATGAATCACAGATTTTCACAGCTTATCCATTTTCATAAATTTTGTTTTTCTTTAGAAATACATGTACAGACAAACTTTATGGATAAACAACTTCTTTATTCGGTATAGGCGACGTTTCGATACAGGTTCATACTTGCTTTATCACGATACAAGAATCTGTATTAAAGTGACGCACCTACCGAATAAAGAAGTTGTTTATTCATAAAGTTTATCTGTATATTACTCTCCATCTTCTAAACAATGCCACTTAAAGAAGTTTAGAAATACAGTTTGGATTTCCCCTTAATAGAACATTCCTTAATATGCTTTGATAGTAATAAGATGCAAATATATAAAATACATATTTTTCTCCTGTGTATAAACATATCAATTAATTTGTTAACTGCTTCTCTGTTGTCCTTTCTCATTCCGGAGTGCAAGATCTAAGAAATTAATGTGCAAACTTTGCATGACATACAGATATGAGAAAAGGTATGAAAACTGACTCGCTGGTACAAAATTGTGTTGTAACAATAACATGCTATAAAATTCAAATTACAACTGAAGTATAATGATAGCAGCTTCATTTGTAACCTTTATTGAGTTCATGCTGACATGGTATTGAATGGTTTCTCTATTATACAATTGTTTTTCCAGCATATTTAAGAGTACAAATATACCATATGTACTAATTCCATGTTCTGTTCTAACAGAAACCATTGATGAATCCATGATTACAATTTCAACAAAATTCATTGACATTTTTGTTGAAAGTACTTGAAACCATCAAGCATGGTTCTTTTGCAAGGGTAAGTGGAGTTAAAAGCTATAGATCAAGATCAAGATGAAATCTATTTTATTTTCCTTCATTCTTTTATCAGAAAGGTAACATACAAAATGTTAGTTGAACACAAATGTAAACACTGTTCGTTATTTTTGCTGTTGTGTTTTTTATGAGAGGCAATAATGTTCCATTGTCAGCATTATATATATTACTGTAATACTTAAATCATATATTCAACAAATGATTTAACAGTAAGACTTAAGTGAAGATTACAATTTTCATTCCAGAAATTTCAAAAAGATTAACTATTCACAGGAATATTATTTAGTGTTTTTGTTAAAATTAAATTAACTGTGATCATTATTGAGTCTATACGTATGTGGGATAAGCAAAGGAAGCCTAAACACTTATATATTTTGTTCAAGAAATTTAGTGATTAGACTTTCTTCATAGACATAATAAATGCATTAACCCACACCCTAACTTTATCATTACATAATTGGTCAATACTGAAAAATTGTAATAAAAATGTACACGATAAAAACTTCCAGCGAAGGTACAAAGCACAGGGGATGGCAACTGATGTGATATCAACTTGAGGGATCTTAAGCCCTATGTTTGGATGTCAAAGGCCAAGAAAGAGCTTCTCTGCTAACCACAGCCCTGGTCTTTGTTGTTGCTAAGAGGTCTCCCATCTTTGACACGTTCATAATATGTTGATACACCTACAGTATTCCTAACATAATACAATGATTCCACTGATCTACTTCTGACAAGCAATGCTTTCATGTAGAAGAGATGGCTAACTAAATGTGTCATGAATAAATAATGCCCAGCATAAAAGGTCAGAAACTTGTATATCATCTAGGCTTCAATGAACACAAGCAACAGCACATCACATTGTTTGTTCTGTATTGCAGGAACACAGGGTACTGTTACATTGTAATTACTGGGGAAGGGTGAGGGCTGTCTGCCTATTACTGCATTCCAAGGGTTGAAGAACCTTTCAGGTGAGTAGCAACAGTGTTACCTATTGTAGCAGAGATAACAAGGGGATATTCAATACACTTCCCCTTGAGGTTGTATACTGCTTGTTATACACCACTTGTCATTAATTGCTACCTACAGGTAAGAGGCATTAGCAACTGATAGGGGTTGTGTATTAGTTCATTAGTGATTTATGCAATGAGTTGTAAAATACAAGGGTTGTAAATGTCCCTTGCACTTAAAGAGTAATTGCACACACGTGGAGACTACCTGGATTGTTAACACTCAGTAAATTGGTACTATATGAATTATGTATATTGAATAATGTAAGGGTTTTAAGTGTCTCTGTCACAAAGAATGCATACATACCAAAAAGGAAATACACTTATATGGCAGTTATCTTTTATGCATTGAGAAATATCTCATACTTCACAATGTAATTGGTCCAGATAAATTGACCCATCACCTGTCTATAATTTTTAATCAAATTCTGCCAACTGACAAAGATATAGAGTGTAGATATGTTAAAGTGTACTCTGTACTGCTTGGTAATATGAACAATACAAAATGATATTCTTAACACATAATTTTACTTTGAAATATAGACACTTATAGAGAGAGGTTCTCTTGTATACAGTTAAATTTTCAAAGAATCACGGACAAAAAATGACACATCACTAAAGATCATCTGTGAGTGTCACTGCATGGTGTTCTCAGTAGGATCTAACTTTACAAACTTTACCATCAATCTGCAATGGGAACATATATAATCTTACACTTTCCCTTCCTCATGTTCTCTATTCTAAATGTCCAAATCATTAACATAATTAATATTAATATTTTTCCCTTCGAACTGTATACATACTAAATAATATTCTTCTGTAAAAAAGCTATATTACTAACCAACAGAATAAATATTCTCATCTTTGTTCTTTGCAACATTGTAAGAAAATGGAGGAACACCAAAAGAAGTTATGACAACATATTTTCCTTATTTTATCTGTAAACTATTTATATTTCACACAAATGCAAGTTCTTACAATTATCTTGAAAGAATCCAGACTGCTTGTATTATGTAATCTATACACCTGCGATTCCTTTGTTTAATACATTATTTTCTTGCATTATATTAAATGCACTGTTAAAGATAAAATAATCTTATTTTACTTCCCAATATATCACACACACATATCTCAATTAAATGCACTCACTGTCATTTCCACAAAGAGCTTTGTTTCATTCGGAGCCAAAATTCCCAGACAAAAAACAAGTTTCCCGCCCAAAGCACACGCGACTTTTTTGTTTCCATTCATAGAAACTGAGAAAGAAAACAATTAAATCGATATTCACAGCACATTTTCAAGAAACCGGACCATAAACATATATTCGACAACCATCAGAATTAATTCCCATTCATAAGAATTAGATTAAACTTGAGTTAAAGATAATATTGCATATATTATTCTGGATCAGGCGGAACGAAGACAATGGGCGGTGCCTTCGCCATGTACAATAATGCCTAATCGTTGTGAAAAAAGGTTGCAATATACCCCATACAAGGACATGTGAATCGACTGGCCGTCCTGATAAATGCATGTGTTCTATGAAGTTGATATACTTACCAGAAAATGCGAATATCCTCCTAATTATACCGGTAATCCAGAGGCGTTATTATGCACATGTTGCTCCATTTTGTCGTCTGCTGTTGTAAACAATGGTCATTGTCAAGCGCGCGCAGCACGTGCGTTGGCGCTGCATGCGTAATTGACAGGGCATCCCTTGTCAATATGTAATCCGTATTAAGTTCGTTTCTTGAGTTAAGAAGGCTTGAATACACATATATATCCACGGAAGTAAAACATTACGTCACATTAACTCACTTGATCACATAATATGGCACAAATTCCGATACATCACTGAAACGCCCATCAACACCCGGAAGTGAAAACTTTTCTTGGGCTTCATCACTGAAACTGCGTACATTTCATTGTAAAACTTTTTGAAAAGTTTTAACCGATCCCTTTTTGATACTTAGAGCATACCTGGTGTGTATTTATGCTAATTATGAAAGCAAACAACACTCTTTCAAGTAAACAAACTCCAAATCGAACAGTGTCCAAAAACATGGTTCCTCTTGAAATAAGGTAAAATCCAATACTTCAATGAAATCCTTTGAAAGATCCACTCCTTAGGTGAAAAGGTTCCTCAAACTGTGATAATTAGCACCTGAGAGGAAATCTAATCACGTTTACCTGTAGTCCATGCGTGGAGTGTCCCACGTGCAAGGCCACGGTGATTGACAGGAATCTAGTAGTAAAGTCGTAGTAAGGTGAACAAAGGGAACTCCAAATATAGACACACAACTCTCTCCCGCCATTCCTTTGTCCTCCCACGACTAGGTCACTTCAAGTTAACAGAACGTTTTGATTGGCTGTGCTATAAACGGAAATAACCCCTGACATTACGGGAAGTTAAAGTGCGACACGTCTGCATCAGGGATTTGCCGTTGTGTATAATCACACCTGCTTGTGTATTTCGTCTAAATAATCAAGTTTAGGAACCATCAAATTTACAAACAGGTACAGTATATGTCGTGCAAACAGTTAACAGAAGTAAACTGCATTAATTGCTTAGACATGCTGAACGAAATCAAACGAATGGGCAGCATCCTTGTTTCTACTGCACCGGCATAAATGTAATGTAAGCAATAGTTTAGTACTAATTAAACGTGTATATAATAATTTTCAATGGACCGATTATAGTTCAGTTTTAAGCATGCAGAAAATAAAAGTAAACTTAAAATTGTTTAAGTTGTCGTCAATGTCATAGCCGACGTGTACTTGCCACGAGGATAAGAAAGTGTCCCAGACTATTTCAAAAGTTTCACATTCACCATTAAAAGGTGAATTTCATAAGATTATATTTGGTCTGTGTGCTGTTTTGTGATTCAACTAGTAGCCCCTGAACCAAGAATGAAATTAAGGGACATGCATGTTTTCTTTAAATGGAAAGTCAATATGGTAACCACTAAACAGAGTTCCCATTTTGAAGTGATATTTCAGGGTGGATCCTCTACTTGAAGTGAAACCTGCAGAGCTGGGTTATCATTCACCACATTGACACTATATGCCGTCCCAGGGTCTCACACCATGTAACTAAATCAAGGATGAGAGACAGTACTCTGTATTAGAACAAATCTTCATCAGGATAACATACTATTCTGTCTTAACAAGCTACTTGATTTCCACATGCATTGGATCTGTATATATGGTTTGTGCAAACAGCACTGTTAACTTTCTACAGAACACCAGACCTGTTGTCTTTACATTTGTATTAACAGCTCAGTGGGCACAGTTAAATAGAGTGTATTGTTTGGAGTACATTATTGTGATATCATTGGACAAGTGAACCACATGGCAAATGCCCATTGGATCAGAGCTTTTGACTCTAATATATATCTGAAATATAAAATAGTTGTGTTAAAACCAATTTCATTCAACATGATTGTTGTTGCAGTGGGTTTGGTGAGGTGAGGTGATGTTTCATCTCACACAAATGTGTGAAGCCCATTTCTGGTGTCCCCCGCAGTGATATTGCTGGATTATTGTTAAAAGTAGCGTAAAACCCAACTCACTCACTCATCTCTCACAAAAACAAAATAAGCAGACCATGTTGCCTTTTCCTTCACTTTCATTGACCATAAAATAATTAGGGATTCAGATTCAGGATTTTCTTTCAGTTCTCAGGTAATTACAAGTTACATTTGCCAAGCAAATTCTTTACTGAACCGACCCCGTGAAGATCCGGGGTAGAATAGGTCTTCAGCAACCCAGGCTTGCCACAAAAGGCGACTATGCTTGTCGTAAGAGGCGACTAACGGGATCGGGTGGTCTGGCTCGCTGACTTGGTTGACACATGTCATCGGTTCCCAATTGTGTAGATCGATGCTCATGCTGTTGATCACTAGATTGTCTGGTCCAGACTCGATTATTTACAGACCGCCGCCATATAGCTGGAATATTGCTGAGTGCGGCGTAAAACTAAACTCACTCACTCTCTCACTTTACTGAACCTTGGAAGTGTTAGTGTTGGTGTGTTTATTCCCGTACCAAACCATGCCAGTGAGTCCTGTTATCTAAGGCATCACAATTCACTGTCCAGAGTTTTGTCACTTGGGCACATGCAAACCTCTGATCGTTGCCCCAGTCATGTTTCCGCTTTTATCAGCACCCTTTGTGTGCTGGAGGGTTTCACAAAAGTGCTAAACCCCCTGTATCACTGAAGAATGAGGACACTTTTTATGGACATACAGTGTCACTTGCTTGACAACAACATGAGAATCTATTTCTCTATACAGAATAAAGAAGTTCTGTATCCATAAAAAATGTCCTCATTCTCATCTCAACTTCTACAATGCCGATCAAAGAAGCCCTGTTTCACTGCAAGCTGTGCACAATGATGTAACTTTAATATTGTTAAAAGGGGTGTTAAAACCAACTGACTCACACAAGTTGTTTCTCCCAATTAACTAAGTCAAAATGCTAAACTACATGAGCAAACAAAACATATCAACAGGGATAGGTAAATCCACTACTCCTAGTACTCTGCTAATATGATTACCAAATATCCAGAGATACTGGCATCAGTTCAAAATGAGCATCTGCATGATTGGCCAATGGTGTCAACCCCAGACAACAAATACAAAATAATAAATTGTTGAATTCTTCTGCAGGATGATTACTGACGTCCAGCTGGCCATCTTTGCCAATGCCCTAGGAGTGTCTCTGTTCCTCCTAGTGGTTCTGTATCACTATGTGTCGGTCAACAACACAAAGAAATCAGAGTAGTTAAAACATGAGGTAAGTTGGAAAAGGAGAAGAGGTGAGGTGAGGTGAAATTGGGTTTAACGTCGTGCTTGAGAATATTTCGCTCATATGATGACGTGCATGTGTGTGTATGTGCGGCTGCTTGTGCTAGCCCAGATTGAAGCTGTTTTTATAGTGCTAGCCCACTGAAATACCATGCTGCAGTGAAGCATGAATACCCCACTCAGACACATTATACTGACTCCGAGCCGACCAGTCCTTGTACCCATTAATGCCGAGGGCTAGGCAGGGACCAATAAGTACCATATTTTAACGTCTTTTGACATGACACAGCCCGGGGATCGAACCCGCGACCTTCCGCTCTCGAAAAGGAGAAGAGTCTTTCAGACAGTATTCAGTCGTACAATTATGGGGAAGCAGGATGTGCTAAGTGGTGAAATCCCCAACCCCAAACCAGCTGCGGTTTGTAATTAGCACACATTACTGATTATCTCTTTTAAAACAATGTTGATGAGTACAATGTGTGAATCCCATTGCTGGTGTTCCTAGTTGTGATATTGCAGGAATATTGTATAAATGCTGTGTAAAACCATACTCGATCACTAACAATGTTGATGTCTAAATCCAAATATACTACTAAAAATCAGTTAGTTATATGTCAGAGCAAGATTCATTGCAATATTAATATGAACCAATCAGGTAGTCCTTACTTGTTTTGAGTAGTACATTTAATTATCATTGTTGCTATGAATGTTTCCAGTCTAAGAATGTGTTTTATGACTTTTGGTGACATTTTTTTTCAGATCCTGAAATCAACACATCGGTTGTCAATCATGTCTCATCGGACATCATCCAGTCATTCCTGAATATGCAAACGAAATTGGATCTACAAGTTACGGATAGTATCAAGATGGAGGGCATACTCGCAACATCATTTCATTTGATGTCACACTTTGTTCGGACAGGATTTATTGTATATAATAATATGTAAATCTGTTTCTTTTGTGTGAAGATGTGTTAGTCTATTAAACCATCTTTGCCTTAGGATTGTGTTGTTTTTCTATGCAACAGTTAAAGAAGGATAAATGAACAGATAAATATGTGGTTGACGCAGGACTTGTCAGGATTGTGCTGAGCATTCATTTGGAATGCCTTGAAAAATAGCCTGATGTTACGTCAATGAACCACCTTACAGACCGTCGAAATATTGCTGGAATATTGCTGAGTGCAGCGTAAAACTAAACTCACCCACTCAATGAACCACCTATTAAGGTTTTATACTGTGAATGAGTGATGAGGTGGTAGTGATAGAAGATATTCTCAATATTTTTTATTTTCCTGACAATGTCAAAGGTTAACCTTGCAATTTACTACTAGAATAAACATGCCTCACAGTAAATTACCAACAACCATTTCGCTATTTATTTTGATGGTTAAAGACAGATTCATTTGATTAGCACATAAAATTTCAAATTTTACTTATTTTCCAAAAATCGCCAGCATATTGATGTCAGCATCAAATAATTGTACAACCCAAACCCTGCAACGCATGGGGACAGGGGAGTGGGGATGGGGTCATTTTCACTGCCTGTCTGAGAAGAAGGTGAAATATGAAATCTTGAATAAAACTTTTGCTCCACTTGTGGACTTCTTGCTATGGAAATGTAAGGCAATGTGGCCACACACCCCATTTGTGTAAAGGTTTGAACACTAGCCTTAAAGGAATTTTAAAATATTACCACTCACTTGACAACTAAAGGTTCTTGTACCATGGGTGTTCATCATTTGTGACATCATTTCCAAGAAGTGTTCACTTTGCCTCATCCTGTATTTTCACAGCTGTTCCTTCAAGTGCTGCCACTCATTCTCTAACACAGTAACTTCTATTGATATTTATTTTAGGATTGAGTGATGTTATAGAAAATATATATTGATTTCCACATAGACAAACTCTGTCTGGACCTCTAAATATGAATGCATGAAATATACATACTTTCTTCAAATAACTGGACATGCAACATCTGTTTTATTTGGGATTACACCAGTGTAGGAAAGATGTAGAAAATCTAGCCTGTCCACAGGACTGGCTGGTCAAATTTTTTTACCAGTCCTGCCAAAATCTAGCCTGTCCTCCAAATATAAATAAAACATAAAAATATTCAAAAAGGTTATTATCATTATATATATGTCATTGGTTTGCTAAAACTGACCTGACATGAGGACGGACTAGATTTATTTTTAACCCGTCCTCCACAAAATTCACCCGTCTCGGACGTTGGGACGGGCTATCTTTCCTACACTGATTACACCCCTTTTCCATAAAATGGTCTTCTCTGTAGTGAGGGTTCCGAATCATGGCTGGGACTCAATATTAAAAGTATTAGAATCTGTACTTTTAAGAGAAAGTGTCATCAAAATAAAATGTATAAGGGATCTAGAGTTCCATTTTGTGGAAACAGTGGGTGAGATCCATAACTGTGCTGGAGATTAGGTGCTTAACTCGGATTGAGATTTCAATTCACGGGTGGGACTCAACCATACGAAAGTACTAGAATTTGTAAGAATGTGTAATCCCTAATATAATGTTACATTTGACCACTTTCTAAATGGCATAGTGTATTCATAACTGGACATGCAGAACTATACTGAACAGCAAAAGAAACGCAAGTTTCGAAAAAATGAAATCTCATGAAGGTAAAGCGTTCATGTTTATGGAACGTTCATGGTAAAGTGACGTAATGATCCAAGATGAGATGATGTCATGCAATTTGACGTCGATACGAAACATTCCTGAAACAGACCAACAGTGCAGCAAAACCATAATTTTAGCATGTGCATCGATGGTTATGGATGAAAAGCATGCATTTCCCTCAGAGGTATCCTTTATAAAGGTTAGTGTCAAAAAACAGTTCAGTATTGACGCTAGGAGGTGTACTGGCCACACAAATGATGCCTAGACTAACGACTGAGCAGAGGGGAATGGCCATTGGAAAGATACACGGAGGTAGCACTGCAACCGCTGTAGCTAGACAATTGGGCTGTTATCTTACCACCATTACACGACTTGCTCAACGTCATCAGCAAAGCGGGTTGCTGCTGATCGTCCCCGTACCGGATGGCAACGAGTGACAACTCATGCACAAGATCGGTTCATCCGGGTCACTCATCTAAGGAACCGAACTCAAGCAGCAACAGTAACAGCAGCCATGTTGCACGGCCTTTGTGCAAGCTCAAGGTGGATATATGCGCTACTAAAGAGATTGTCACTTTTCGCGTTCGGGGTATCTCCATTTGACGGACTGTGATCAATTTGAACTTATTGCAATTCAATGTCAACAGCAACTTTTAGCTGTTACATTGACAGTGTTTTCTATAGAATAAATGATTAGACATAATTTGGGTTGTCTTCTATTCAAAAACTTGACAAAAAGCCAGACTTGCATTTCTTTTGCAGTTCAGTATATGATTTGATCTGCTCTAAGTGAACGTCTTTCTAATTTCCACATCTGTCAGTATCAACAAGAAACAAAGTTACAATGGGCATGTAATTTATTTACAAATATATCAGGAAATGTACAAGCACTTCATAGTATAGCACACTCCGTGACAGACTTGACACCTTCACAAGATCTATGGAACTGAGATATATGCACTCATTTCATATAATGTTCTACAATGCCAACACATTCACAGTGTCCGTCACAGTTTTGTCAAAGTTCTTTATCTTTGTAAATGTGAAGCCGTTTTAATGTTCACAAAATGAAACAGATTTCCCACAATTTCTGTCATGACAATATCCATGCACCAGCAAACAAGTTCAACTTCTTGGAACCTTCATCGTATATCCAGAGTTGATATCAGCATGAAGTCCATCAGTATGGCTAATGCTACTTTGCACAGAGCTCCTGATGTCTCTCAAGCGTTGTGGATTAAACTGAAGTGAAACTGACCATATCTGTATCCACTGATGGGTGAGAGCTCCAGTGCTCAATAAGTCAACAAGAAACCATACACACATTTGCTGACAGGAAATACCTGTACGGTTAGTTTGATATTCAGTGGTGAAAGACGATGCCTGTCGACATCTACCAGGAAAGAGCCCCTCGTTAAACACAACATCCCCTGTAATAGTGAGAGTGATTCTGAAGCTGACACAGTCTGTGGTTCCATGAAAGACGTACAGCTTAGGCTAGTGACACTCCGGCAGCCTGGAGGTACTGCTGAAGAAAGTTCTGGGCTTCAGGCTGGAGACCACTGCTGATCATGTTGGATATCTGTAACAGTGATAGGACATTGTGTGAGTGAGTGAGTATGGTTTTACACTGCTTTTAGCAATATTTCAGCAACATCATGATGGGTGACACCAGAAATGGGCTTCACAAATTGTAACCTTGTGGGGAATCGAACCCGAGTCTTCGGCATGACGAGAAAACGCTTTAACCTCTAGGCTACCACACTGCCTCGATAGGATATTGAAGATAGACAGGTTCATACAGGGAATGCTTACATTCAAGACATTTTTATTTGGGTACTTAGCCTAGCAAAATTGTTTTTAAATCCACCATTAGTCTTAAGGAAAGCAATTTGAAAATTACAAATGTTTCTAACAAGATCTGTTTTTACATCAATAATTAAAATAAATCAAGTCAGCCATGCATTTCAATACTTTTATGAATCTGTACAAGTTGAGGGCATTTTAAGATATTTTGATGATTTTCAAGGGCTATAAATTTTGGAACTGGAAGTAAAGCATTTCAAGAAGGGCTGAAGAGTTGAGGCCATTTCAAGGCTCTATGAACCTTGGTAACATCAGTATATCTAGACAGCTCAATTCCTCTGCCTGCCTGAAGAAGAAAGTTTGACACCCTTCCGTTTGGGACTCTTAAGACAGAAAGTCTAAAGCCTCCGAGTATGTCAATATGATGGTCATATGCACTTTTAGTTTCACTACATCATTTTGGGTTGAGAAGACATGACCACTGTAAGACAACCTTGAAACAGAGTCCAAAGAATACAGCTTCAATGACCTTTAACATTCTGAAAGGAAAAACACAAGTCATACTCTGTCTCATGTCACTATCTGGACTTCTGGTTTAGTCACCTACAAATAAAGCTTAAATAATACTTGATTACTTGACCCACATTAAATCTTTGCACAGTTAAGGTGGACAGAAACCTTTCTTATAGCTGTGACAGAGATGCCAACCTAATGAAGCTAATGAAAGAGGAGTCATGCCAGGCTGGAAGCCATCCCCGAGAACTGAAGGCTCCGCCATTTTGTTTCACTGACAATATGACATGCATTCACGTGACATGACACTTTGTGCAACTTAGTCGTCAATAACACATAATATACACAACCGAGACCCAATAGATCACACGGTAAGCTTTCGAATGCTTTTACCGGTGTTGACGCAAATAAATCACCGGTAACTTACGAAATCGTACAGCATAAACAAAATTTCAGATTTTGTTACTAAAAAGATCGGAACTTTAAAAAATTGGAGGGCAGATGTTGTAGTTGCAAATCGGAGTAACTCCGCCAATATCGGAATGGTTGGCATCTCTGCTGTGACCTAGTAACTCATGGTCTTTTGAAAAACAAAGGGTGGTGGTCAAATTGTGACAACAGCATATACAGGGGCATTTCTTTTTTTTACAAGGGGATGCCCCCTACTAGATTAGAAACGAAAAGAAAAATCAAACAAATACTGGTTAAGCAATCCTCTCTACACTATGTCTAATCAATGTATCAACCAACATACTTTATGATATTATTCAAGTGATGTGGATCATGCTTCCAGTCACAGGCCCACTTGTACAAAGCTATCTGTGTGCTGAAACTGAAGTCTATATTAGAGTATGGAGTTAGGATTGTCGTAGCACGAAGATCACATTGTGCAAGTGGGTCTTCTGTAGTGTACCTACCATGCCAGGGTTAGACGCACTGAGCTGCTGCAGGTGCTGAGCCAGGAACTTCTTGGGGTCGGGGATGCTGTCCCCCAAGGGGTCATGCTCCTTCTTACCGGCAAATGCCAGTTGGGAGTATGCTGTCTGATAACCTGCAACCACAAATCTTTATTTTGACCTGATGAAACATAAAAGCCCCAAGCCCAAATAAATCTGAAATAATATTAATTTCAATTTCCAATATTTCAATGGCACTTAACAAAAAATACAAATGGCCTAAATGAGCTTCCTCGAGATGAAAAATACAGAATGCCTAAATTGGTTTCTTTGGTTCTAAATGTATTTCACCATGTTTAATGACAATTAAGCTGAGAACATTAGAGGGCAAGGGGTCCAGGAGACCTTACCTGCAACATCCTCAATTTCAATGAAGTGTTCATCATCTGGGACTGAGTCATCTTCCGGCAACTCAAACAGACCAACCAGAGCTTGTAGCAACTTGGGCCTATAATATGAACAAAGTAAAATTAATACCCATACCTGTCTTGAACTTGGTGAGTTGGGTTTAATGCCACACTGAACACCTTTACAGTTATGACACAACGAGTTAGCTTTATGTGGGAGGAGTGAGTGAGTGATATGCCGCTTTTAGCAATATTCGAGCAATATCATGGCAGGGGACTCCAGATATGGGCTTCACACATTGTACCCATGTGGGTAATCGAACCTGGGTCTTCGGTGTGATGAGCGGACATTTTAACCATGAGGCTACTCCACCGTCCCCTATGTGGGAGGAATAACTGAAGTTGAGCATTTCAGGCAATACAGCAGCCTCATGCCAGGTTTTGATACCAATACATCTGCACAACACTAAATGCTGCAGTACTCACTAGTGGTGGTCCGATTAATTGAAATAATCGAAGATTGGTCGTAGTGACTAAACGACCAAGCAATCGATCATAATTTCTCATAATCGAACACGAACAATTCTGGAACACTTGCTTTCATTAACAATATTTTTCACATGGTTGGTTTTGTCTGTTACATTTCATAAGCACTGCAATCTCGTTTCAAGTCATGATTGAATTTACCTTAAAGATTCCAAGAAATTTATGTTCCCAACATACCAGTCATCCTTTAAAGATGTGAAATTTTGCCCCAAAACCCCTAAAAGAACTACGTTTTTTCCCTTATTTTTATGTGCATTAACAAATTTCATAAATGACGCTAACCAATTATTTTCGATGATTGATCGGTAGTAATGAAGCAATCATCAATTATGAGATCTGAACCAATTCCCAACACTAGTACTCACCATAACGGGAGGTACTCCCCTTGCAGCATGGATGGAACCTCACTCAGTATCTTGGTGACTCCCACGGCACAGATCCTCTTTTCTGTGTGCCCAGAGATCTTCTGGAGATCCTGAAGAAAGAGCTTCTCCAAAACCATTCCGAACATCCTTGAATAGAAAAGATGCTAAGTAAAGACAGAATACTGTTAGTCATTGCATGACCATAATCCATTTGTTCTCGGCTTTATTATATTCTACTGAACGTCATTTCTTGGTCACAGTAGAACAGTTTATTAATAACTAACATATATACCCGATCAAATGTTTAATCTTGTTAATTTGTGCAAATATCTTTGCTCTGGTGGGTAATTAAGGCTACTTATGAGACACTGAATTTCATGCTGCACAGGCGTGCTCTGAGCACATACAACATAATGGATGGCCACTTGCTAAGTCCAAATGTGGATAACAAACTACAACAACAAACTAAAATTAGTGGACCCTTTGAGTCCGTTATAACCATAGTTTTGCATGTTCGCTTCACAATGTCACTGAGGTCCAATGCATTAAACAAGTAAGAACAAGTGTTTGCCAATAACATGGCAATGTCCCCCGCTGCTAAAGAATGGAATATTCATAACATATTTACTACTTTTTATTTTTTTGCTCACATACAAGATGCCTGAAATCACTGGTGTCTGCATAATCACCCAATGTAGGCTGTTGACATAATTGAAGACATTGGGTGCAATGTTTGAGATATCGTGTTTACATAAGTTTGAAAAGTGGTCAAAGTGTCGTGGTGACCTTAATCCCCCAATGTAGGCTGTCACTAAATTTGAAGACATTTGATACAACAGTTCATGAGATATCGCGTTAACAAGAATCGGGGACGTACGTACGTACGGACGCCGCTGAATACATTGTGCCCCGTTCCGCATTGCAGCGGGGGGACAATAAAGTCATTTTTCCATGTCAAACCAGTTAGTGAATACAGGACTTCCTACTTACTTTGTCTGAATGCTGTCCACCATCTCGACTAATGACTGGGCAGAGAACTTGAAGGAGTAGAGGGAGAAGAACACAAGGAGACCTGCAACACAACACATCTGTGTCCACTACGTACAAATACAAACAAACAGACAGGACAGTGGAGGGAGAAGAACACGAGGAGACCTGGCTAGCTATTCTCGAAACGTTCGCAGCCCTACCAACTCCTTAAGCCAATTCTTAACACATTGGCTACGATAAAAGTTTAGAATTCTTAGGGCTACAAACATTTAGAGAATAAGGATTCTGCAACATAGCACCTCTGTGTCAGCTTCATACAAATACCAACAAGTGTTTGCCACCAATATGGCAATGCCCACACCGCTAAAGAAGAATGAAATATTTATAACATATTTACTAGTTTATACTTTTTGGTCACAAACAAGATGCCTGACATAACTGGTGTCTGCACAATCACCCAATGTAGGCTGTCAACATAACTGAAGACATTTGGTGCCATGTTTTATGAGACACCCCGTTTACATAAGCTTGAAAAGTGGTCAAAGTGTCGTGGCGACCTTGAACATACGGTCAAGGTCACCCAAATCACCTGGTGTCTGCGTAATCCCCCAATGTAGGCTGTCACCAAATTTGAACACATTGGGTACAACAGTTCATTAGATATCGCCTTAACAAGAATCGGGACGTACAGATGCTGCTGAATACATAGTCCCCCGTTCTGTGTTGCGTTCTGTGTTGCGGCGGGTGACAACAAAGGGACAGGACATCCCATTCATATTTCACATCAATACCACAGGAATGTCTTCATGATTGAGTACGGTTTCAAGACGCTTTTAGCAATATCATAGCAATATCACGGCGGGGAACACCAGAAATGGGCCTCACACATTATGCCCATGTTGGGAATGAACCCGGGTCTTTGGTATGATGAGCGAACACTACCCCACCACCCCATGTCTTCATGAATAAAAGCAACATTTGATACATTTCAAGAAGTTATGACTAACTATTGTCAGTACACTGAACTGATTTACCGTATATGACCGTCTATAAGCCGAATTTTGAGGACCATAAAAAGCAGTCTGTAGAAGGGGGTCGTCTTATCCATGGGGTCGTCTTATAGACAGTCATATACGGTATAAACACATGTGGCATTTCTTGTTTTTTTTGTGTAACCATGATTTCAGAAGTCCTCTCAGTTTATATCTGGTCTTACTTGAATGAGAGAAACATATGTAATATGTTAAGTCAGCTTTACTCAGTTCAAGCTTGTAGCAAAATCGAAGATTTGAGAACTGGTTCAAAATAATAGGCCTCCAATGCTACAAGTCATGAGGACTACAATCAGATTTTTAAGCCATGGTATAATTGAGTAGTCTTACACAAACATGGTTTTTAAGTTGGATAGGAAGAATATCAAAACTGATTCTTACTTTTGATATATTTGGTCGTCTTGGAGCTTGTGAGTCTCTGAAACAGCAGGATGAACACCTGCTTGATGTACTGATTCACCAGGTCCCTGGAACCAATGTAGTTGCTATTTTTAGACAAAGCTGTGCAAGAACTTATGGGGAAGATCTTCCATGATCTCGGATTTGGGGTGAACTTTAATGATGCATAGTATGACATAGACCTTCACTTGGATTACACTCCCTCATGAATCAAGAATGTCACAAGATCCAACTTCAATCCCAGCATACTTTAACATCTGATAAATATATGTGTAATGATATGGTGGGGTTGTAATATGACATGCATCCTGATAATATGGGTGGGATATAATTCATATCCTGATACAGCACTTATATGTTCTAAGTTAATGTTCTTTCCTTTTGCAGGTGCATCAAAACCCCCTAAAGCATAACCCTTTTTACACCCTATGTTTGGCCAATATGGCTAGTCAATGGGTTTTGAATGGAGGAATCAGCCCAGGTGATAAGAATATGGAGTTACTTCCCTTAGTGTGTTGTCGGCTCAGCAAGCATTCCCATGACAATGTCTTCCAACCAAGGTGAATATGTACAATTCGATGTTTGATATGGGATACAAACTGTCTCACAAAAACACAACTAAGTATTGTATATATAAAGATACACTACTGCTGTATCGTGACAACACTTTCGATGGCTGAATCACTTCACATTGCATGTTGTGTTGTGTCAAAATCATTGGGATGATTATGTCCTGATAAAAGTAAGTCACAGAATTCTCTGCTTTTTCTTTTTCAAAACAAATAAGAGAAACTGAAAATACACCCGTGAAGGTCTGGGTTAGAATACTGATGTTCAGTAACCCATGCTTGTCGTAAGAGGCGACTAACGGGATCGGGTGGTCAGGCTCGCTGACTTGGTTGACACACGTCATCGGTTCCCAATTGCGCAGATCGATACTCATGCTGTTGATCACTGGATTGTCAGGTCCAGACTCAATTATTTACAGACCGCCGCCATATAGCTGGAATAGTGTGGCGTAAAACTAAACTCACTCACTCACTCAACTGAAAATATCTGAGACCCAAATACTTACGATGGCATAAACTCTATGATTGCATTCACAAGGTAAAATCCTTGGTGGTCGTTTGTCTTGGATGCAATTAGTTTCTGGAATATACCTAAAAGACCGTTCTGGAAGAAAATAATGGACCTGGATGAGACATTGTTGGAAAATCGTGAATGATGTAGAATAGTAACCTCATCACATTTCATTCCAAATGTGAAAGAAAGTTCCATTTAGGTAAAAATGACAGGGATTTTCCATTAATTCAAGAATATAGCAACGAAGTCCACTTAAGCATGTTGGATAACCTAACACAACAGAAATTTACTGATATCAACATTTTTCAGTTTAATATAAAACATCACTGTATATGTTCCTTTAAAGGTAACTTGCAACTGATGACAGCAAAGTTACAGTTTAATGAATTACAAACTTTTTCTGATCATTTATTCATGATAATCCAAACCTTACCTCAACATTCTGGTCATGTAAGATGAGATCAATCAATCATGAACTAATTTTACATTAACAGACTCATCAGTTTAATGCAATCGATAAAGTTAGGAGATTGTCACATCATCATAAAACCAGATATTTGTTACACATTATCTGGGAAATCTATGCAGTATTTGCAAACCTAGAGAGAAAGTTGTCTAAGGCACAGCCTTATGCTGTTCAAAGCTGCGTAACTTGGGCATGCCAGAAACCAATAGTTATAGTTCAAATTTCAGTTTAATTTTCTTTGTCAGCACCATTACATACCCAAGCTCATGGGTTTCGTCAAACAGTAAGCTGATATCATTACTGTTGTTAAGAGTGAATGAGTGAGTGAGTTTGGTTTTACGCCGCTTTTAGCAATATTCCAGCAATATCACGGCGGGGGACATCAGAAATGAGCTTCACACATTGTACCCATGTGGGGAATTGAACCTGGGTCTTCGACGTGACGAGAGAACGCTTTAACCATGAGGCTACCCCACTGCCCCACTGTTGTTAACAGCAGTATCTGAACCAAGTGCCTCACTCTATCTTGCGATGAACAACAGATGACGGATCACATTCAAGATACTCAAAGTCTAGTAAGAACTACTAGAACCTTACAAAGGAACAGGCACATTACCGTGTGGCCCGCATGAAGACTTACGTCAACAAGATGGGCAGAACAATACCCAAATCTTATGACTACGCCGATATCACTCACCAATTATTCGTCAACTAAGACCAGCATTCAACATATTCAGAGTCTTGTAAGAACTACGTACCAGTTTTTCGGGTTCAATCTGTTTGGCTGCCTTCTCTATAAACACCTGGAGGAGACGGACAAGAGGAGGGATGTTCCCCGGACGTTCCCAAAGGACGGGGGTGAGGAGGAAGGGGAACAGCTGCATGTAAGTGTCGGGAACACCGTCATGATGTAGGTCAATCAACAGGGACAGGATTTGGAACACGTAAGGCATGAATTCTGAAATGAAAATGAAATATCCCTCAAGTCATCATTGAGAATGGCTTTGAATTTCCTGTAGCAATATTCTAAAAATAACACAAGTGACACCACATTTGGATCAACACTAATCCATCTCTTGTCACATACTGGAAAATATTTCATCTAGCTGGTTGCATAAATCTGTTTTACATTCACTTCAGGTTTGGTTGTGTAAGGTGTTTTCATTCTCATACACAATACATGTACTTCTTAATACATACAGATAGACATTAAATGTCATGAATCCCCAAAACGAAGCAGGCTTGAGACATTAACCACATTACATTCAGTGTCGATAGCAGCCTCAAAAATTCATCCTAATAAATGAGCCTAAGCCAACCAAGTTTTACTGAGGACAAGTAAAAATGTAATTTTCTGACTAAAATTCTGACTAAAATTGATATTTTATACTTTATACTAATTATGCTTGTCTCCTTCCTCTTGCAAATGATAGTGGAACACTTGAAATCCCTTGAAGTTCCCTTTAAAAAAGCGGACGTAAAATCACTCACCCAAGAGTAGCGTCCCTTTCCTCCCTTTGGTGCCCAAATGGTAGCATGATTGGCCATATTTGTCACTCTCTCCGTATTTGTAAGCCCGACACGCCGATTTACAGGGAAATCCAGAGTGCCATAAGAGGGGAGGTTGGGAGGGCTAACCTCATGAGTCAGGATAAGTATAAAATATCAATTTTAGTCAGAAAATTACATATTTTCCCTTATCCTGACTCATGCTAATTATGCTTGCAGAATCCGTCGGAAACGGTGGTGGGTCAAGCCACGTTCTGGATTCACTGGTTGTAGATTTACGTCCTGTATTATCACCCTTGGGAACTTATAACGGCACTGTTGAAGATTCTTTTAACTTCTCTCTGATGAGTCTGGGGGGACCACAATTTGTCAGATTTCTTCTAAAACTTCTCCTGACATTTTCGTGTGGATTTTAGATATACTAATATTCCATTAGTTATCTATTGCAACTCCATCTCTTGATGCGCGCATCAAGTGGAGATGCGACCCTTCTTCATGTATGAGTATGTCCTATACAAGTACAGGGTCTATCACTCATGCTAGTCTGTCCTAGACGTGTGCATGGACTTTAACCATTTGCTCTCCAGAGCGTTGGTTTTCACAAGTCACGTGATAAAAAGGGTGAGATTTTCTCAGCGCCTTTATGGAACCGTTAGTTGTTGTGCTACAACAAGTGGCCCAAACTGGTGAATGCCTGAGACGTCTTTGGTGGCAATGTCTCTGAGGTAGTGGTTGGCAAACACCGTGTTCGATCTCCAAAAGCAGCCCTCCATTATAGTTGTAATCGAGCAGTTTCCATGCAGAGCAAGTGTTGACGCCAGGGCTCTGACTTCATGTGGATTGGAGGCTCGTGGAGGCTCAAGTCCTGCTGCTTTATAGGCCCTTAGTATAACGGCTCTCATCCAGATCGATATCGTTGTCCGAGAGACTTCCGTGGGCATCTCAGTGGATAAGGGGATGAATAGGCGCTTGAATTTTCGTCTCCTTATTTTGTCCTTTGTAGGTAGACTTTTAGTGCTCTGACAGGGCATAAGGATAGATCCTGTGTATCCTGTGGCCCAAGGACTGTAGAGAGTGCTGGGATGTGGAACTGTCTGTCAGGCTGGCCGGGCAGTTGGTTCTTGGCAATGAAATCCCATCTCAGTCCTAGATGTACGATGTCACGATGTGATGATTCAAATCGTGTTCGTTCGAAGTCCAGAGCATGTATTTCTGACATCCGTGCTGCTGTTGCTAGGGCGATCAGAAACAGCGTTTTCTGAGTCAGTAGTTCAAAGGATGTCCGTTCTAGAGGCTCGTAGGCATCACTGGTGAGATGTTGTAGAACTATGTTGAGATCCCAGGCAGGAGCCTTGAATTTCTTTTGTTGGTCTTCCAACTTGAACGAGCATAGTAGTGCCAGTATCTCTGGTACTTTGGTCAGCTTGACACCCGTCTTCATGGTGATAACTGTGCTGAGAGCAGCCAAGTACGTTGAGAGTGTTGAACCTTTTAAGTGTCTCGTCTGTCGCAGATGACACAGGTATTCCGCCACTTGAGGATGGGTTGCTTTTACTGCTGTAAAGCCTTTCCTCGTTGCATATTGTTCAAATCTCTGCCACTTGTCTTTGTACAAGTTGCGAGTTGATCTGCGTAGAGCTAGTGTTACTGCTTTCGCTGCTCTGGCGGAGTACCCTCTAGTCTTCAGGCAAGCTTTGATATGCTCCACGTGTGTAGCTGGAACAATGCCGGATTCCCGTGAGCTTGCTTGGTGTGTGGATGGACGAGCAGGTTCGACCACTCTGGTAGTTTCAGGGTTGGACTTCCAAGTTCTTGTATGAGGACGGGAAACCATACCCTCGCTGGCCAATAGGGCGTGACCAAAATCAGTTGCAGCGTTGTTATCTGTTTGATTTTCTGTATTGCTTGTAGCAGTAGTGCTGGAGGTAGAAACGCATAAGCGTTTAGTCCTTCACATGAGATGCTTAAAGCGTCTGTTGCCCATGCCTGAGGATCTGGAATCGAAGAGACGAATGTTGGTAGTTGCTTGTTAAACTTGTTGCAAAAAGGTCTACCAGTGGAGATCCTATTGTCTGTATGACAAACTGGAACGCTTCTGGGTATAACATCCACTCTGTCGGTGATGGTTGTAGTGGACGAGATAGGGTGTCTGCTATGACATTCTTTGCTCCTGGAATGTGGCCTGCCTTCATGTAGATGTTCAGGTCGTCGACGATGCTGAACAGGAGAAAGCTGAGTTGTAGCAGACTTATTGATCTTGTTGATCCTTGTTGATGTAGAATGCCACTGTGGAGTTGTCCGTGTGGACCATGAGTCTTGTGTTCTTTAGTACGCTAGACCAGTGTTGTAAAGCGTTGATCACTGCTTTCATCTCCAACAAGTTGATGTGCAGACTCTGATCCTGACTCGACCACTTCCCTGCTGCCACTTTGTTGTCGAGGTGGGCACCCCATCCTTGTAGCGATGCATCTACGTAGAGATGAGTGTTGCAAACCGGCTCTGACAAAAAGGTTCCCCCGCAAACACTCGACTTCCGAGTCCACCATAGGAGGTATGGTTTCAGGCTGCCCGGTAGTATCAGCGGATCCAGACTGTCGAGATGGGCGTTCACAAATATTTGTAGTGGGCGCAGCTGTAGTCTCCCTCTGCGAGTCATGTCTTGAGCTGAGGTGCGTAGACCAAGCATGCTTTGCCAAGCACGTAGTGTCAATGGAGAGAGCATTGCTTGAGATATCATATGTTGTAAATTGACCCAACGATCCTCTGGGGCGACTGTGTGATTCTGTGGTGTGATGAGCAATATTCCCAGCAAATGAAGATCCTGTTTTGGTTCCAACTCCGATTAGGAGATTACTAGCCATCTACTGCAATCATGTCCTACGTTGTAGGTACGTGGATCTAGGTGTCCTTGCCATGTCCGACATGGAAGTGGAGAGATGATCGATTCTGGAATCATGGCTTGAAGCTTGTCTCATCAATCGTCCGGTAATATGTAATGAAGATGTTGTCACCAGAATCTGAACATTGTGCAGTGATGATGCATAATACGTCGTCTCTAGGTCAGCAAAAATCTATGATGTACTGGGACTGCCATCGATGTGAAGTCTATTTATAGCCGACCGGCTGCCGCGAGCAGAAACTGTCTCACGCTTGTCGCTGCAAGTCCCCAGACAACCAATATTAAATCTGCTGACAGGGGAAGTCTTCTATGACCCGTGAAGATAGTCGAACCACGCTGAACCCTGCTAACTGGGCTGTAAATGGAGCCCCTTCCCACGTTGAAAGAGTTGTTTACAACTGTAGACGACTTCCTGGCACGTTACTGTGACTGTGATGTCACCGGTGTTGCAGGAAAATGATCCTTGTAGAATCTTGTGCAGTCGTTGATTTCTTCGTCAACACTCGGCTTGTGCCGGAGTTACACGAGTGAACACGTGTCTTGATGGCTGAGTGGAAGCGCGCGAAAACTTCGCCGCGTAGTACCGATGTAAGCAGACTGTTCCCTGTCTGTTGTGACTGTATTCTTCAACTTTATAATCTTTACTGCAGTCGTCATCTTATACAGATGTTCTGTAAAGTTGACCGTAACCGATGTCTCGCTGAGGAACTGGGACAATGCTGTTAACTGTCCCTTTGATATCTTGTAAGCCCATGTGATGAAATTTCATCTTCAGTGTTTCATCGGATGTTATCTGACATCGTTACTTCAGGTGTGTGTCTCTTCCTTCAGCCACGCGTTGATCCAACATAGCCAACATCTAGTTGTAGTGTCCAGTTGTGTTATCTTCTTATCTTGAATATCTATTACAGGATTTACTGATGATCTTGTAATCTCAAACCCTGATGTTTATCAAGAAGGGCTCTGTATGATGAAGGGGAAATCTGCTATCGTTGAACGGCGGGACATGCTGACTCTGATTATAATCCTCCCTGTGAGTGCCTGCGCGCAGGTTGATGAAGGTCCAAGTTGGAAGATCCGTATCTGCGCACTCTGTAGAATCCTGGAGAACGACTGGATCTACTTCTGTGTTAGAATCCTTCCTGCTGAGACACTGAAAGCTGCGTGGAGGCTCCATCGTGTACTGCTAACGCTAAACTGGCGTTCGTTCGTTCTGCTGATACTTCTGATGGTAAAGATCTTCGCAAACGTAACCGTTCGTGCAGGCCTTCATCCGAGAGATCTTATAAAGCTAATATTCCTTCGCGCAGTTCGACTGTCATCGGAGGGGTCTGCTATGCTGAGCTGACGTTAGTAGAGTTCTCCAGACTTCTAACTTCAGACAGTGAAGTTAGACATTTCCCTATCTGAAGATCCATAATGACGTGAGTCTCTGTATGTAGAGCTGCGTGCAGGTAAACGGACCTGGTGTGACCATGTATTCCTCCTGGAGTCTTGAGATATCTTTCTAAGCCTTCACGAAGGCTGATTGACGTAATCTGCCCTCTCTCTATGGGATGATCTGTATGAAGAGCTTCGCGCAGGCGTGCGATCCCGATGCGATCATGAATCCTTCCTGGAGGTTTGAGATATTTCTCTTGGCCTTCGCGAAGGTGGATTCTCTGGACGTAGCTTCCCCTCTGTAGGAGTGCTTTCGCGCAGGCTCTTGATGGGCGTCAGAGTCCGATGGAGATGCCGACTCATATCTGCGACGTCTGTAGGGTTTGGGAGAATGCCTCGATTCCTTCCTGCTTGGAGATTCCTTAGCAGCACTCTCTGGGGCGTCTACTTCAGATGGGGAAGATCGTCATGTCCGTGAGCCTTCGCGCAGGCTTCCCTCTTCATCCAGATGTGTTGGGGAGACTGTAGAGCCTTCACGCAGGCTAGTAGACGTTGTAGCGGTCTTCATAGCAGCCTTCACCTGAGCGAAGCGACGTTCCATCATCGACATCATCTGGTCTGTAAACTGTTGCATGAACAGTCGGGTTCCAGATTGTCTGAAGAGACTGCTGCAGTGATGATGCATCTGATACTGAAGAGACATCATCTAAGGTCGCTGCACTCGTGAAGAGTTGACGCTGCTGCTATCTCTGGTACCCGATGTCTGCGTTGATAGCAGGTCTTCTGTCAATGTCTGCGCTGATACCAATGCCGATGTAGCTGTAGAAGCAGGCTTTGTCTTCTTACTGTCGATGGTGACTTCAGGTATGAGGATGGGTAGATCATAATAAACATCTGCTTCTTCCGGAGGAACAATCTTGGCTGAGAAAGACCTCGTCTTCTGTGTAGAGCTAATCTAGACTTCGTTGAAGTCTTCATGGTAGTAGCCTTCTTCTTCTGCGAAGATGAAGATTTGGCCTTCTTCATCTGCGATGAGGTCAGCTCAGTAGACGATGATCTCTTATGGCCTCCGGCGTTCATCCCTGGTACATCGACCTGCTCCTGAGAAACGCTTAGCAATTCACTAGAATTATGAATATCTGCAGCAGTGGTTAACACACGGTTATCAGCGCAATCACTCGATTTAGACATGACTTGTGAATATCTACGTACCCAGTCCTTAGCATGTCTATGGATGGAAAAAAGGTAATTAGTAAATTCAACAGAGGTTAAATTTACACAAAACTTACAGCGAGAGCTGAAAGAACATGAAATAGTGCAATTAGGACATAATAAATGAGGGTCAGCCGCAGACACTCCGTACCTACAACGTATACAAATTTTCATGAAATGTAAACATGAAGAAAACACATGTCAAACATCGGAAAATTTAAATCAAATTTCCAACCGTAATGTAGAATATAATCCTAAAAAACGTATACAGCAATAATTTTGATGTAAGGTCCGAAAATATAAAAGGATATGTGCTGTATAGGGACCCAGGTGCTCTCACAACCGTCCTCAAGGGCGAAGGAGGAGAGAGTGACAAATATGGCCGATCATGTGACCATTTGGGCGCCAAAGGGAGGAAAGGGACGCTACTCTTGGGTGAGTGATTTTACGTCCGCTTTTTTAAAGGGAACTTCTAGGGATTTCAAGCGTTCCCCTATCATACGCAAGAGGAAGGAGACAAGCATAATTAGCATTAGTCAGGATAAGGAAAAATTTCCATTTATGGTAGTATCAATGGTCTAGAATAATTTCCTAGCAATAATTCTGAACCTATCTTTCATGCATCAAATTTTTTCAAAACTGACTGAAAACATATGTACACATGATAAGGTAGTCTTCCAATGGTAAAATTCAAATAACATATTTCCTTGGACATTTATTTTAATTATGGCCTCAACCAAATTCTGTTTGTATGTGACTCATGTTCTCACCTTGAATATCTTGCTGCAGGATCTCAGTGAAATGAGGAAACAGAGAGTCCTCGAAACTGTTGATGGCCCGTCGGCTGATGCTTACACGTGGTCTTGATGGCCACACACAGGGACTCAAACAGGTAGTGGTTGAAGTGGGGCTTGCTGGGGTTCTGGGGGATCAAGGTTTCGGATCAATACCAGTGTGGGCGTGACAACAGATTGAGGTCTATATGTATTGCAATGTTGTCCTTGTTCCAGTGGCAAGCTCGATATTCATTGTTAACACTGACAGTATCTAGATTGCAGATTTGTGTTTACGAGGTGACTGTGTAGTGCCATGTTCATGAGACATTTCACCACATTCAAGACATGACAGGGGTGGAAATAACTTTAAAATTGCTAGTGTACTCCGGTACAGTGGCAAATGTAAAATCACTTGCCCTGATAAGTTTTCCACTATACCGGCTGTCTTCTTGTTGATTATTAAATACACAACATAATTAATGTTGGAAAGTCAACTGGACACCGGTACAACGTGATGTCAAGAAAAAAACACTGGACTCGGACGTCGGGCAATGGGTTATTTCCACCCTTGCATGACTTTGGTGAATTAAGTTGAATTTACCTCAACGTTCCCTAAGTGTAATAATCCATGAATTCATTCACCATGGTAGTAGATAACCTACTGCGTATTCAAGGTTGAAAACATACAATGTCGGCTGCACCTGGTATCAGATGAAGCATTTCTGAAGGGTTACCTTGCAGACCAGAGTTAGTTTATTCTTCAGGCTCTTCAGCACATCTTGAATAATAGGGATGATGTGTTCTTGCAGCAGAGACATCGTCCTCATGATTGCTGTAAAACAAGGGAACCAAATATTTAAATATTATTATAGTTGGAGTACTATGCAAGGATAATATATATAGGTGAACATGTTCTTCATTACATATTATGAGAAATGTTTCAGTGTAGGTTGTAACATTTTCTCTCCTTATTGTAATAAAGAATTTGTTCATCCAGGTATCTTATCCTTACTTAAATTCCTCAGAATGACTCAGTGAGTGAGTGAGTGGGTTTAGTTTATGTTGCACTCAGCAATATTCCAGCTATATGGCAGCGGTAAATAATCGAATCTGGACCAGACAATCCAGTGATCAACAGCGAGAGCATCTATCTACGCAATTGGGATACGATGTCACGTGTCAACCAAGTCAGCGAACCTGACCACCCGATCCCATTTGTTACCTCTTACAAAAGATCAATTCTAATCTGGATCTTCACGGGTTGAGAATAATTCATGTCAGATTTTACAACAGTAGTAGATGAGTGATCCTTATTTAAACACCCCACTTCCCCCTTCAGCCACATGTTACAGCTATATAAAAGTGGCATGTAAGTAATAGAGATCAGACCAGACAATCCAGTGACTGAATTATCCTTGTGTATGACGTTGCATGCTGTTCAGGTACACAATCAAACCAGGCACCAAGTCTGCCCTTGATGGGCTCGTACAACTCTTTAAATGAGTTGTATGGAGTAGTGGTGTTCTGATTAATTGAAATAATCGAAGATTGGTGGCAGTGACCAAACGACCAAGCAATCGATCACATTTTCTCATTATCGAACATAAACGATTTTGGAACTACTGTTTTAGTCTTAAAATACTTGACAATGGAACATATAGTGGAAGTGTCAGGGCCTAAAAACATGTTTAATTCTTAGAAAACTCACTTTACTAACTGAAAAGCCATGACTGAATATTTCTTAAAGACTCCGGGAAGTTTTTGTTCATGATATATTAGTCTTCACTTAAATGTAGCAAGTTGCATTATGTTATTCATATCTGCAATAACAACCTGGATAGGAAAATCTGAAAAATGATGCTAACCAATTTTTTTCGATGATTGTTCGTTGGTAATGAATCAATCATCAATTGTGAGATTTCAACCAATTCCCAACACTAGTATGGAGTCACTCATGGACTATTCCTTTAGATGCATCTATAATAAACAAGACTCTTCTTTCATCTTTTGGGGGAACACAGCCTAGGAAGTTTCCACTACAGTTTGGGAGAATGAAGAAACAAGGTGTCTATACCCGCATTGTCTTACCTTTCATGATGTATTCATTCTCGACAGATCCCGGCATCTCCATGGCAGCAAACAGACCAGGGAGCATGGTACTTGCCTGGGTCTGAACATCAGCCACTGTGATACTGTAATGAGAGAACATTACTCATTGGCTCCAGCATACTTCACCAGTATAAAGCAGAGAGCATAAACCAACATGTAATTTTCTAAATAAAATTGATATTTTATACTTATCCTGACTCATGCTCTTTTGCTTGTCTTCTTCTTCTTGCGAACATAGTGGAACACTTGTATCTCCTATTGAAGCTCCCTTCAATAACGAATAGACGTAAAATCACTCCTACCAAGAGTTATCCCTCCAGCCTTATATGCGGGAAACTGTGGCGCCACCGTGCCCACATGCCTCACTCTCTCCTGATTATGAGCCCGACACTTGAATTTACAGGGAAATCCAAAGTGTCTAGTGGGGAGGCTGGGTGGGCTTATCTCATGAGTCAGGATAAGTATAAAATATCAATTTTATTCAGAAAATTACATATTTTTCCTTATCCTGACTCATGCTCTTTTGCTTGTAGAATCCAATGGAAAAGGTGGTGGGAAAAGCACTTTAGGATTTCTTTAGTGAATTTTACGTCATTATATACCCCCCTACGAGAACTTCGTAATGGCACTGTATTTACTGGTAAACTCTGCTGCTGTTGCGACCCTGACCTTCCAGCTGCCTTTAAATGGGGGGACCACAATAGTTAACTTTTTGGTCCTTTCTCTGTTAACATTTTATGTGGATTTTGCAACTCTATCTCTTGATGCAAGCATCAAGTGGAGAAGCGACCCATTCCGGTACAAGTATCCTTACAAGTATTGGGTCATATCACTTATGCTAGTTGTTAGACGAGCATTGTGATTTAAGCAGAACTCCTCTGAGTGTAAGCTTAGTAAGTCATGCGATACAAAGGGCGAGACTCCGTCTCAGCGCCTTAGTGGGACTGTCAATTGTTGTGTTACAATAAGTGGGCGGAAATGGTGAATGTAACAGCCGTCCTCAGGGGCGATATTCTTCAAATGATGGTTGGAAACCACCATGTCCCATTTCCAGAAGCAGCCCTCCATTATCGTCCTGATAGAGCGATTCCCAAGTATAGAGAGCGTTGCGTTAGAGCTCTCACTTCATGTGGGTTGGAGGCTCTTGGAGGATCCAGTCCTGCTGCTTTGTAGGCCCGTAGGATGACAGTTCTGATCCAGCTTGATATCTTAGTGCGGATGACCTTCGTCTGTGCCGCTGTTGATATCGAGACGAAAAGACACTTGACTTTCCGTCTCATGTACCTGGAACGTTGTAGGTAAACTTTCCATGCTCGTTCTGGGCACAAGGATAAGACCTGCGTATCCTGTGGGCCAAGTGCTGATGATAGTGTTGGGACGTGGAACTGTCTGTCTGGATGACCTGACAGTAGATTCTTTGCTATGAAGTCCCATCTCAGTCCCATATGCACGATATTTGATTTGTATCAAATCGTGTTCTCTCAAATCCAGAACATGTATTTCCGACTTCCTTGCTGCTGTTACTAAGGTTATCAGGAACAGCGCCTTCTGCGTCAAGAACTCTTATGATGTTCTCTGTAATAGTTCGTAGATGTCACTAGTGAGATGTCGTAGAACAACGCTGAGGTCCCATACCAGAGTTTTAAATCGCTGATGTTGGTCCTCCAATTAAAAGGGCGTAGTAAGGCCAGTAACTCTGGTACTTTTGTCAGTTGCACTCTTCCTCATGACGATAACTGATCTCAATGCCGCTAGGTATGTTGAGAGTGTTGACCCTTTTAACCGCTTCCTTTGTCTAGGTGACAAATGTAGTCCGCCACTTGAGGATGTGTCACTTTCATGGCTGTGAAGCCGATCCTCGAAACGTATCTTTTGTCTCGAAGCGTCACTACTTGTCGTCAGAAAAGTTATGTGAAGACTTGCGTAAAGCTAGTGTGACTGCTTTCGCTGCTCTGACGAAATATCCTCTCTTGATCAAACATGCTTGATACTGTCCATACGTGCAGCCGGAACACCTCCGGGTTGCCGTGCGCCTGCTTTGTGTGAGGATGTACTAGTAGATTCGTACACTCTGGTAGTTGCAGTAGAGACAGACCTAGGTCCTGTTTGAGAATAGGAATTCATATTCTCGCTGTTCAAAAGGCGTGCCCCAAATAGTTGAGGGTCTCATGCCTGACTGATTTCTGCAATACCCTAGGTAATAGAGCTGGTGGAGAAACACGTAAGTGTTTAGTCCTAGGCAGGAGATGCTTCGCATGTCCGTTTCCCCTGTCCGTGGATCTGGTATTGGTGAGATGAATGTTATCAGTTGACCCTTGTTGAGAAGAGTTCTCTTAAAGGTTCAACCATCTCTTATATGATCTGTTTGAAGATCTCTGAATGTAGCATCCAGTCTGTTGAGAATGGATGCGTTGGACAGGATAGTGTATCTGCTAACACATTCTTGGTTCTTGGAATGTGGCATACTCTGCTGTAGACAGTCAGGTTGACTGTTATGCTGATCAACTGAAAGCAGAGGTCCAGAAAGTTCGCCAACTTTGTTGATCCTTCTGTGGATGTAGACCGTCACTGTGGAGGTGACTGTGTGCACCGTTAGATGAGCATTTTATAAAAAAGCTGATCCGGTGGAGTATGGCGTTTATCGCTGCTTTCATTTCCAGCATATGGAAGTGCAGATCGTCTCTGCTATGGTCCATATCCCAGCTGACACATTGTTGACAAGGTGTGCTCCCACTCTAGGAGAGATGCGTCCCCATAGAGACGCGTCTTGTACTGCGACCCCGCTAATTAGGTGCGTCTGCAACCCTCCTCGCACGGAGTTCACCATATATAGATATGGGTTATAACCTGTCCGGATCGTCCGGTTGTACATTCATGAAGACCAGTAGTGGGCGTAGTTGTAATTCTCTCTGCATGTCATGTCTTGTGCTGACGTGCGAAAAACCAACAGATTCCGCTACTTCGTAGTAAAAACGGAGAGAGTAGTGCTTGAGATACAAGAACTTGTATATATATCCTATGATCTTGACACCCTTACCGTGTCTGTAAGGAAATAAAGCGATGGCCGACTCTGTGATTGCCATCGTTGAGAACTCTATGATGACAGGGGGGGTCTCTAACCCCATGAAGGCAGCCAAATCACGAAGGTCCAGTCTAACTGGACTGTAATGGAGGCGTTGCTCGCTCGCTGACATGTTGTCACTTGTAACCCATTTCTTGATCTGTGAACTACGTCCGACTTCTGCGCAGGGCGTTGTCCCTCGTGGTCCAATCAAAACAAAGCATTTTGATTCTTTAGGCTAGCCGCGCTGCGATGTCACCGGTGTAGCAGGAAAAGGATCCTTGTAGAATCTAGTGCCGTCGTTGATATCTGATCAATCGTCGGTCTTGTCCGTAGCTTTCCGAAGTTACACGAGTGACCACGTGTGTCGAGGGTTAAATGGTAAACGCGCGAATATTTCGGCGTGTAATATCGATGCTGGGTAGTCTGTTTTCCTGGTTACTGTGACTCTTACTTCAGTTTTGAAGATAATGCCGTCTTCCTTATACATAGGCTCAATTGAACTTTCACGTTGTCAGCTTGTAGACTGCATACATCAATGAAGCGTCGTAATTGTAGAATTAATGCTGAACTTGTTATAAAATTTTACTCAGGGAATCGACGACGAGTATGTAATTTCCCAGCTGTAGCAAGGCTGCTGTTGAACTCCGCCAGTGAGAATGTCTGCAGATCTGTACGAAGGTGAAGATCTCTATAAGGCCATGAATCTTCTAATGTAGATATATCAATCTATGTGAATCCCGTCCTGGATTCCGTCTGAAGATCCGAGCTAGTGATGAAATCTGACAAGAGTACCTCTCTTGTACTGTATGACTTATCTTCAGTCTGTGTACCGACAAAGATCTTTTTCCTTCTAGGATGACGCTACTTCGTGTCCTAGTTGAGTAACCTCGACGATCTGTGCAGTGATCTGCGTGGTGGTCGGTTTGGTGTGACTGTATGGCGCCTTGCATGTAGATAATCGTCTCGTAGTCCGGGATTGCCTACCTGGCAATATATACGGAAATGGTGATTCCCGTGATGATCTGCGAAGCGTCGTTGATGCCCTTGATGTAGGTAGTCGGCCTGAAGATCCTTTATTAGGCTCTTCATCTGTTGACCGTCTCTGAAGATAGCGCCGTCCTTCGCGCAAGTTAAGTAATGCGACGTCTCTGCCTTGTGGATGGCCTGTGCGAATGCCTTCGCGCAGGCTCGGTGATGACATATAGTGTTCTGTTGAGAATGTAAGTACTGCTGCGTTTCTGCGTTGTAGATGGCCTGCGCGAATGCCTTCGCGCAGGCTTGTAGACGGCATGTGGCGTACAGTAGAGAGACGAAGTACTGCGATGTCTCTGCTTCGCTGGAAACCTGTGTGGGGATCTGCGTGGAAGTCGGCGAGGAGATCGACGTGGTAAATAGCCCGACGAACTGTGCCTGTAGGGTGACCTGTAGGTACGCGAAGGTCCTGGTGAATTCCTCAACGATCTATGGGACGAAGATGCTTGTATACTGTAGCTGACGTCCTTCGCGAAGGGCTTCGCGAAGGCTCATCTGAGTCCGCACTTGGGGAGTGGCGACTGTTGCTTCGCGAACGCCTTCGCGAACACTGGTGGTCCGATTCTGTATCCAGGGATGGAAGAATTCTCCTTCGCTAATTCTGTATCTGGGGGGATGGCGACTGGTCCTTCGCGAAGCTTCATCCGAGACCGCATCTGGGGAGTGACGTCTTGTCCTTCGCGAAGCTTCATCTGAGTCCGGGGATGGCGATTCCTCCTTCTCGACTGCTGATCGTTCGTGTCCGGCGCAGGGGATGGTTGAGTCGACCTTCGCAAAGGCTGGCCTGTAGTGTAGATCTGCTGCCAGATGTCACGTTGATGGAGGGTCCCTCAGAGACGACGTCTGCGTTGGAACCTTCGCGAAGGCTCGGGACCTCGTTGTGGGCTGTGATTCCTTCTCCAGGCCGTAACGCTGTTCATCTCCTGCATAAAGTCCCCCCGGTTTGAAGGTCTGCGGTGGTAGTAGCGCTGCCCTTTCTGCGTTGATAGCGATGTGGCCCACAGGACGCTCATCTGTTGTCATCGTAGATACCTCGGGTACCGTGGAGATCTGCGCTGAAGTCACCGTAGCTGACTGGTCGTTACTTGTGATGAACCTCTGGGAAGATGATCGGTTGATCATCGGAGAGTCCCTGTACCGTCAACGGAACAATCTCGGCAGAGAAAGTCTTTGTAGTCTGCGCAGACATCCCCGTAGAGTTGTCGTCATCTAAGGGGTGTGTAGCCTTCTCTGGGTAGAGGATGGCGTCTATACATTGTCTGCGATGATTGTAGAGCTGCCCTCTCTGCGTTGATAGCGATATGGTCCGGAGATCGCTCATTTGTCGCCCTCGGACTGCGTGCTGTATCTCTGGGATGATCAGCAGTGGCTTATCAAGAAGCCCTCTCACTGGCATCAGGATGAGGCTTCATTCTGCGTAGAGGATGGCGTCTTCTACGTCTGCGTTGAGGGGTTGTCCGATGTAGAAGCCAACGTCTTCGAAGTAAGGCGGACAACATCCCACGCCTATCCTCCGAGGACACCTCCGGCAGCTCACTTGATGGTAGTAAGTCGTCTAACCGCAGTAGACAGCTCATGAGGGACTCAGCCAGTTTACCCATGACTTGGAAGTCACCTGGATAGTTGATAGTACGTCTAAGTACGGAGAAAAATTATATATTAATTTGAATTTCAATTAAAAGCTGATAAAGATTACAGCTATAGCTGGAAGTACATATTGTTGTGCAGCTAGGGCACAATCAACGTGGGTCTGCAGCAGCGAACCTAAACCAACAACGAAAATTGGTTATCATGAAATGTAAACAACTGAACAAATACGGATAATACCGTGAATAAACAGTGCTAAATACGATTAAATATCCAACCATATTGTAGTAGGATACTAACTAAACCTCTATAAAAGTAGAATAGAGGAGAATAACTAATTAATTAAAGGATATAGTGCCGTATAGGAGACACAGGTGCTCTCACAACCTGCCCACAGGGCGAAGAAGGAGAGAGTGAGGCATGTGGGCACGGTGGCGCCACAGTTTCCCGCGTAAAACGGCTGGAGGGATAACTCTTGGTAGGAGCGATTTTACATCTATTCTATATTGAAGGGGAGCTTCAATAGGAGATACAAGTGTTCCACTATGTTCGCAAGAAGAAGAAGACAAGCAAAAGAGCATGAGTCAGGATAAGGAAAAATAACATACTTCATATATCCTGAATCATTTGCAGGGTAACATTTGACCTGAAAATATTCAGATTTCTTGGTAGGTCTATATGAATACTCTTGACGTCAGTGAGAGAGTTGGATCTGATGCCACCTTCAAGAATATTTAACCACATCATGTTAGCTTTGAGATTCTTGACTGACTGACTGACTGAGTTTGGTTTTACGCAGCTTTTAGCAATATTCCAGCAATATCACGGCGCGGGGGGACACCAGAAATGGGCTTCACACATTGTACCCATGTGGGGATTCGAACCCGGATCTTCGGCGTGACGAGCGAACGCTCTAACCACTAGGCTACCCCACCGCCCCTTTGAGATTCTTGCATTCCTCGCCAGGGATTTCTACGATTGGCAGTTGTCGAATAACAACTCACCCTGCAGCTCCGCCAGCAACCCGCACCATCAGCAGCCTCTCTATGGTGTGAGCTGCGTAGGTGTGGACGACGACGCTGGAAGCCTGCAGGTAGCGGGTCAGGTGGGACAGACTGGACACCAGGGCTTCCCTCGGCAGCTGGGGGAGAGAGGGGAACAAGCAGTGTGTCAGACAAGCACTGTATCACTGGTCAAAGGCCTTTGGTATATGCTTATTAAGATGGGTATATCAAAACCATTGGCATGCTCAATGAATAAGTAAAGCAAAGATGGCTAATTAAGCCCCCAAACCTCACCCTTAAGAGGTGAGGTGAGGTGAGGTGAGGTGAGGTGAGGTGAAATTGCGTTTTACGTCGTGCTTGAGAATATTTCGCTCATATGACGATGTGCATGCGTGTGTATGTGTATGTGCGGCTGCTTGTACTAGCCCAGACTTAAGCTGGTTTTATAGTGCTAGCCCACTGAGATACCATGCCGCAGAGAAGCATGAATACCCCACTCAGACACAATATACTGACTCCGAGCCGACCAATCCTTGTTGTACCCATTAATGCCGAGCGCTAGGCAGGGACCAACAAGTACCATATTTTAACGTCTTTTGGTCACCCTTAGAAGCAACCATATGGATGAAATAGTATATTTCAGTGAAACCAGCAAGATTTTATATTCAGGGGATGTTGGGTCTGGAGACCTTAATTTGGAACAACACTCGTCAATGACTCGATAGAAACATTCACTCACCTGACTACGAAAAACCATTAAATATTTGATCGCGTCAGCTTTTAGAATTGGCATTTCATTCACTGAAAGAAAAAAGGTTTCTTGATTAGTAAATTGTGTTCAAGACAAGTTCATTCAAGACGGATCCTCCACCACAGCCAAAAGGAAAGGTCAGCCTGCATCCAGTTCTAATTCTATAATAAAGTGAACGAGTATTATTGGTATATGGAGAATCACATGTGAACGTCTTCTGACAAATATATCAACAATCTTAGATCCAAAGTCCAAAAATCATATGAAAGTCGGAGACTCCTAAGTTAGCTTTTTACTGTCAATGACAAGGGTTGATACATTTGATATTTAAAAGCACCAGGGCCCTTATTCTCGAAACGTTCGTAGCCAATGTGTTAAGAATGGGCTTAAGAAGTTCGTAGGGCTACGAACGTTTCGAGAATAGCTAGCCAGGTCTTTATTCTATTTATCAATCAAAATAATTGTTCACGTTATTTCAGTTTGTAAGCCAGTTTGGGGCAGTATATAAGCTCTGTTCATCATGTTACCCCTTATCTTCTTCGAATCTACCTATGCCATCAATTTTGAAAAAGCGGTTTTCTTTTCAAGTCTGACAAGTTGAGCTCATGTACGCATCTGATGTAGAAATAACTGCTTGATAATGGTGCTTATTTCCCATCACCTGAGGTTAAAGGTAACACATTTGGCCGGGAAAATAATATTCATGTACACCTGAAAGTCCATGCAATAATTAACTAAACTCAGCAAGTTACTTCAGGAAATTATAAAAGCTGCACTTAAAGACATAAGAGAGAAAGCTAAATCGAGATTGTATGTGCTCGTTCCACAAAGCTATGCAACTCTACTAAATCATTCCAGGATTTGTCACTACAACTTACAATTTTCAGAATGGATGTCGGGGAGTATTTGGTTTTGAAAGAACTCTGTCATGTTGACCAAACCACTTGTCTGTGTTACTCCTTGCTGAAAACAGGAAAAACAGTGTTAAAGTGTGTCCCGATTCAACCTTCTTACAATGTCATGGTTTAACCTTCAGGTTCAAGTGAGTCAGTTTAGTTTTACGCCGCTTCCGCTTTTAGCAATATTCCAGCAATATCACGACAGGGGACATCAGAAATGGGCTTAACACATTGTACCCATGTGGTGAATCGAGGCCAGGTCTTCGGTGTTACAAGTGAACACTTTAACCACTAAGCTACCCCACCACCCCAGCGCTAGTGAGCTGGCTGTGCCTCTTTGAACTGCATCCATCCGGCATTTCAGCAGGCCTCAGATGTTTTACCAGGTTGGTGAAACCAACAAGCATGGGCATGGTAAACTAGGATTCAAACCATGATCAGGGTTCCCTCATTTTTGTGTAAAAAGAAAAAAAAAGAAGAAGATAAAAAAAAAGAAGAAGAAGAAAAAGAAAAAGAAAGAGAAAAAAAGAAGAAAAGAAAAAGAAAAAGAAAAAAGAAAGAAAAAGAAAAAGAAAAAAAAAAAGAAAAAGAAAAGAAAAGAAAAAGAAAAAAAAAGAAAAAGAGAAAAGAAGAAAGAAAGAAAAGAAAGAAAAAAAAAAAAAGAGAAAAAGAAAAAGAAAAAAAAGAGAAAAAGAAAAAGAAGAGAAAAAGAAGAAAAAGAAAAAGAAGAAGAGAAAAAGAAAAGAAAAGAAAAGATAAGAAAATCAATGATTTCTCCAGACATAACAACATCATATGTCCTAGGGTATTTTTATACCTTTAAACATATATTTCTGTCTGAAACATCTGGTTTAAGCAACAACCAGTCTTTGTTGAAGTATGTTTTCGCTGCCATTCTGAACTATCTCTGAAAGGTAATTAAGTTCTGACACCTGTCAGTATAGAATAACTGCAGGTTTGTTTTTCTCATATGCACATACCCAACTTTTGTACATGCATATGAGAAACCCTTAACTGCAAAAGGTGCAGTTCTTCCGGCTCTGGAGGCAAGAGTGGCAAAGCCCTTTTAACCATCAAACATTGAATACATCTTACTGTTTAGAATTTTAGTACCACACATATTTTAGCAAGTATTCACATACATATATGCAAACTCATCTAGATACACATGTTGATGGCTGCCATAGCCCTTGTAGTACTGTTAAAACACAGAGTTTTGTTAGATAAAACACCCCAAGATCATTCCATAATTTTTTCCAATGATTTCATCCTGTTTTTTCCAATTCCATTATTTTTCCAAGAGTGGAAAATGGGGTGTGTTTTTGTGGGAACCTTGATGATCATAGGTTACTCAAGGGACACAACTCTGCACAGTTTCTGAGGAGACTGGTCCATCTGTGCCCCAGGTCACCGAAGAACAAGCACATCAGGTGAAACTCCATAGCTCTACACAGAAATCAAACTTTCTCAAGATCTTAACTGATTAATTATCAAGCATTGAAATGTGTGTGCAACTACTATATCATTTGCAATTCAGTTCAGCTGTGTTATATTATAGAGTTCATGGAGTTTATGTAATGAAAATTGAAAATTCATCAGGTCAGCGTACCTTTTGTGTTTGACCTTTAGAGGCTAGAGATGTGACAAGATAAATGGCAGCATCTTTGTTCTTCCAATTGGCAGTTGGATTTTTTCTGTATTCCTGGAAAAGAGTGAATGTTGCAGCTGACAACCCTGAATAATACATTAAACAGGTACTCAAAATGAGTAAAGAAACCTGATTTCTTAAAATATTTCTATAGTGAACCTGTTATGGGCGGTTATGAAAGACATGAGTTGGGTGTTTTAACTCTTTAGTAGAATATTTCAAGCGAAATATCCTAGTTTGGACACAACTGATTTCAGACTTACTGCTGGTAATGTCATACTACTACTACTACTACTACTACTACTACTACTACTACTACTACTACTACTACTACTACTACTACTACTACTACTACTACTAGTCCATATATCAAGCGAATTGCTCCATGTACAATGCATGCTCGAAGTGCCCAAACAATCTGATTACTATTACCCGGAAAATCCAAGCTGCCGGTTAGACGCTAGAGGTTTATAGTAACACGACTTTATCCCACCGGGTACCCATTTTCTGCTGGGTGAACAGAGGCAATTTTGAACAAACTCTCTTGCCAAAGGTGAGACCACATGTATCACATGTGCTTCACTGTGGGGCAGGACTGAAGTCCTAGAAACTCTCAGGAGTCAAGCTGCCAAACACGGTTCCCAATCCAAGGACTCCCCGCTCCCAATGTTGCTTAACTTCACCTGATTAGTGACCTGAGCTCTAATGTCATACTACTCAACATTTGATAAGAACAATCAGATATGTAAAACAATCTTACTTAGATGTATGACAAAGACACAAATTATCTTCCTACACCAACATTTTCACATCCATTTCTCACCTCAAGCAAACCACTGACGTAGGTAGAAAAGTTATGTATCACAGGACCTTCAAAGGATTTACTTAAGGCTTGGACCAAATCACAGGCTGATCTCCTCCTGGTGTCAACATCTGAAACAGAGATAGTTGATCACACGCTATACAGGGAGCGAGTATGTTTTATGCTGCTTTTGGCAATGTTCCAGCAATATCGCCAAAAATGGGTTCACACATTCTACTACTTAATTTCTACCCTTGTAGGGAATCAAACATTAGTCTTTGGTGTGAAAAGCGCAGCTTCAACAATTTGGCTAACCCACTGCCACCAGGAAGAGGGCAGAACACAATACTCTCAGTCCCTTGTAGTCAGCCCTAGTGTTTTTTGGCCGTGTTGGGGAGATCGATTCTGCATACGTGACTGGCCTTAGATTACAGCCAACTATCAGGCGAGGATTATGAAGCGAATATTGAATTAAACAGTTACCAATATTAAAGCTGGTTTACTATTGTGTTGGGAATTGGTTAAAATCACATATTGATTGGTTTATTACAACCGATCAAGCATCGAAAATAATTGGTTAGCGTCATTTATGAAATTTTCCTGGTTATTTTTGTTAATACACAAAAACATAAAGGAAAAACATGTAGTTCTTTGGGGTGCTTTTTTGCAAATTGCACATCTTTGAAGGATGACTAGTATGTTAGGAATATAAATTTCTTGGGGTCTTTAAGATAAATTCATTTGTGACTTGGAACGAACTTGTAGTGCTCATAATATGTAACAGACAAAACCAACCATGTGAAAAATATTGTTAATACAAAAAAGTGTTCCAGAATCGTTTGTGTTCGATTATGAGAAAACATGACCGATTGCTTGGTCGTTTAGTCACTGCGACCAGTCTTTGATTATTTGAATTAATCGGACCACCACTAGTTTAATAGTTCGAGCCAAATGAGCTATGATACTGCAGGTTAACATGGCTACCCCATTCAAGCACAGTATAGTGACTCGGAGCTGACCAGTCCTATGTTTCATCCCCTTAAAGTAGAGCACAAGGTGTGGAAGAAAAAAGTACCATCCTTTTTCACATTTTTTAGTTTGACCACTGACCTTTTGCTCCTAAATGATAGCTTAAGTCAATGTTTTTTCATGCTCATAAATCCTCTCCATACTCAACAACATCATCAGTGTGACAACCGACACCTCTGTCGCCATATAAACACTGACTGACTGAGTTTGGTTTTACGCCGCTTTTAGCAATATTCCAGCAACATCACGGCGGGGGACACCGGAAATGGGCTTCACACATTGTACCCATGTGGGGATTTGAACCCGGGTCTTCGGCGTGACGATCCAACGCTTTAACCACTAGGCTACCCCACCGCCCCTCGCCATATAAACACACATCTTGTACAACAAATATGATGTGGAGAGAGGAACTACTTGCACCCTGGAGTTCTTGGAAGTTAAACAATAATACAGAACATAGCATGTGGTAAAGAGCCATCAAAAGTACTTCACTGATCATTGTACAGCACATGTGCACATATCACGTTTGCCTAGCAGCCATTGTTCCTGTATTTTGTCATTTGTGACGTCATTAAACAATTGAATGTGACGTCAATGAACAGGGCCGTCACACTTGTTTACCATGATTTACTGCACAAATGCACATGAATAAAATGGATAATCGCTCGGGCAATACAAAATTTCACACTCATTTCATGTAAATCGTATGACACACTTGTTCATGTAATAATCTCTTTTCATTTATTTGTAAGATGTAGAAAAAGTTGAAAGCAAGAGGAATATTTTATTTATTATTATAGAATATTTACATAGCATACATATCCACGCAACTAGTATATGCTCAAGGCGCTTCAGTAACCAGCACCACTTCGACACTGTTTAGAGTAATAACCTTCATAAACCTACCAGAACCCTCAATATCTCGTCTGATGTATTCTTCTGGGTTGTCTTCAAATAGCTCTTCATCAGCAGCTATAAAAAAGAATGGTAAGTCATCAGTTTGGCAAACTGATGTACATTCTTCCAACAATACAACCAATAAGGAACAGAATTTATTGGATGTCAACTGCTTTATTGTGAGGAACACAATGTTCTGAAGAATATACTCTACCATTAGGTGAATGAATACAATGAGGTAGAGAGCATATAATGTACATGTAACAACTCAGTGAGTGAATGAGTTTAGTTTTACACCACACTCAGCAATATTCCAGCTACATGGCGTAAATAATTGAGCCTGGACCAGATAATCCAGTGATCAACAGCATGAGCATCGATCTAGGCAATTGGGATACGATGTCAGGTGTCAACTAAGCCAGCGAGGTTGACCACCCGATCCCGTTAGTCGCCTCTTACGACAAGCATGGGTTACTGAAGATCAATTCTACCCCGGATCTTACAACTAAAGTGAGTGAGTGAGTGAGTTTAATTTTACGCCGCACTCAACAATATTTCAGCTGTATGGCGGCTAGTGTTGGGTATCAAAAAAAACCAAAGCCACTATTGATTATTACTATTGAGGACTTGTGGTGAATGATTACCGACTATCGACTTTGTCATGTAATCACCAATTGTAAGGGTTTTTCCCCAGGTTTTTTCTAATTAATGTGTTTTTATAACTAATACTGCCATGCAATGAAATGCATGCATGCAAGAAAGACACTGGAATTGTAATTAAACAATAAAAGTGGTTAAAATTTTACAATGCGCATCGCTTTACGCTGTTGACCCAGGTTTGTTCGTGAATATTCAAGGGTGTTATACAAGAACAACAAAATTCCGATTAATCAAAAATTATTTTTTTTACAATCGATAATCATATTTAATCCTTTTTTCGATCAATTTTCGAATTTTTCCGATCATCGGAACACCACTAATGGCGGCGGTTAACAACATAAGTAAAAAGCAGGGGCATAGCTACCATTATGACAAAAAAGCCCGAGCTTACACATGATTATTGCTCAAATAGTTGGACAAGCCCTCAATACTATCTAAATATAAGGCTTTGCAACCTATCGGGCTTACACGAAAAGATCGGCTTGCTACGCGCCTGATAAGACAACACACATGAAGGCTTAACAAGTGAGTCAACAGTTAACCAATAATTATTTGGCAGCACTAAGAAACATCAGTAAGAAGTATAAATTGCCATTAGCACAAGAAATAGTCTACCTCGCAGCTGGATATTGGGTACAATGACCTTCTCACAGATTTGTGCCAAAGTAGCAGGATCTTCAAACAGACTCTTGTAGGATGGTCTCTCGGCCACTGACGCTAAGAACTGAATGGCATTGCTCACCAGCTGAAACACAGGAAATAAACACAATGCTATTTATTTAATGCTACACTTCACATATGATTTTGATGTGGTGGAATGGATCAAACATGTGAGGAGATTGAATGTGGTTTAATGACCCTTTTCGTAAAACGTTTGTACAAAGAGATACTTATGAATGATAATCGTGATAATGATAAAGTATTTCTGTGACTTTTTATCACATCTGGTCATGAACCAGTGCAAGACTTAAAGAAATTTCAAGAAATGCTTGACCAACACCTATGCCTATGCTCAATTACAAATCTTTGTTTGCTGTTCAGGGACAAACTCACAAATATTGTAGCTAGGTACATTCTATATGGCGACGGTCAACAATAATCGAGTCTGAGCCAGACAATCCAGTGATCAACATAAGTCTTTCAATAACCACCATCAACAGGGGATATAATACATTCTAGCACGACATTGTGTGATACTTGATTCTGATTGGCTGAGAGTTCATCAAAACCGTACTTAAATGGCAGTTTAAGACCGCTAATTAAAGTGACCGATTCACCGCATATGAATACATTGAACTCGTTGACCCTATTGTTTGTAAACAAACATGTCGGACAACTGCGATTTTTACCTTGGCAGCATCTTTGATGTTTTTGAAGTAAAAAGCGAAAGGTTTCGAAGTAGAATTTCTTGACACTAATCCCAGTGAAGACACTACGAAGCTGGAAAATCCTCAGCAGTGCAAAAGCCACAGCATTCAAAACCGGATCTAGATCTAGCGGGCATGACGTCGACAACACACGTCCTAACCTGACCGCTTACGTCCCGTCAGTAGCGCCCAGTCCTTCCACTTCCATTGTCAACGTATCCCACACAAAACGTGGAATGTCAGGCCTTTTACAAATTGGGAATAGTAGCGTGGTTATCAACAATTATTAAAAATGTCCGTGAATATAAAGTTAGCGGCGACTAAACTTATCAAGTTCAGGGCTTGAATTGGGAAGAGTCGACTGTCATACAGCAGGCAAAATCAAATAATTGTACTTGCGCACAGTATAAACTGTATTTCTTTTTTTTTATGCATGCTACTTGTTACAAATACAAGCATACTGGTTCCTGAAATAAAGCATTTATGTTGTTGAAAATGTCGAATTTTGTTCATTACACAACCTGTCCCTCAACGGGACGATTCAAAGCGATTTCCAGGAAAAGGTCACCTTCACGCCTTGTGTTCTTGCGTGCCAAAAAGATCGTTTTTAAACGCTTATGAGTCGTGCTAGAATGAAGATAAAGCTACTCTGTTTTCAATTTTTCGGTCCTTTATAGATGATTCAAGACCGCTAAATGTTTAAATATAAACCTCACGCTGTCGCATTCGGTTTTCAAATTACATTTAGAGGTCCTAAATCAACAATAAAGGACTGAAAAATTGAAAACAGAGTAGCTTTATCTTTAAATATTGTACAAGTTCAGCGTTGGGATACTGACCAGATCATACTTGACCTGCTGACCAGTTGTGACCAGAAGTCCCCATGTAGAGGTGACAAACTGTGGAAGATGGGGGGAGAACTCCTCATCGTACTTCTGGGCGTACAGCGCCACGTTGTCACAGACCTGGGATTTGATCTGCTCCAAGAGACCCGCCTCCTCCTCATCCTGCAGTCACAGGTTTGTTACATAACGTTTACAGGGTTGTTACATATCGTTTACAGGGTTGTTACATATAACTGTTACAGGGTTGTTACATATCGTTTACAGGGTTGTTACATACCGTTACAGGGTTGTTACATATCATTTACAGGGTTGCTACATATCATTTACAGGGTTGTTACATATCGTTACAGGGTTGTTACATACCGTTACAGGGTTGTTACATATCGTTGTTACATACTGTACACAGCCTGGTTACATACTGTACACAGCCTGGTTACAGCTCATTATGTTTCATTGTTACAATGAGTGAGTGAGTATTGTTTTATGCCACTTTTAGCAATATTACGGCGGGGGACACCAGAAATGGGCTTCACACATTGCACCCATGTGGGGAATCGAACCCGGGCCTTCGGCGTGAACAAATGAATGCTTTAACCACTAGGCTACCCCACTGCCCACTGCCCTCACTGTTACAGGCTTTTTAGTGATGTTACACATGTTATACACTTCTTGCACATTGAATACAGCATGTTACAGCTCATTGTCATGCTTTATTGTTAGTGTTGGTGCTGTAACACTCTACAGTGTTACACTTACAGTACTGGTACATACTGTAGATAGTTTTGCTAAGGGTCACTGTTACAGCTTTAGTCTGAATCTTAAATTTCTACCAAATCATTGTTAATGCGTTTCTTTAATGCACATCATGTTTTGCGTTGGTTAAATGCTGATCTTGTTTTCAAGGAAGGAGACAGATGCTCACCTCTGTCTGCAGCAGCTTGTTGTCTGCACTCAGGAGGGTCAAGAAGTGGGTCATCCAGGGTCCCATGTTGTCCTCAAAGTGTTCAGGCAAGTCCTACAGCAAACATCCCATATCAATAGCGAGTGAGTGAGTGAGTTGAGTTTAATGCCGCGTTATCCAGCAATATCATGGCTGGGGACACCAGAAATAGGTTTCACGCATTGTACCTATGTGGGGAATTGAACCTGGGCCTTCGGCGTGACGAACAAATGTGTTAACCACAAGGCTACCCCATCGCCCCCACCCATCATTAAGCATTCATTTGAGTGGCATGTTAATATGTTGGAGAATAACATAAGGATAAATCTTTATGGAAGTACAACTTCTATATTTGGATGATGCCATGTTTCGATACAGATTCTTGTATCGTTGTCAAGCAAGTATACTCAAGATACATGCTTGATAATGACCATCCAATCCTGATAATTGCCTCTTATGAAAAGCATGAACTGCTTTCCCCCTAGGGAGTTACCCTGATAACTCACCTGGAAGTTGAGGCTGTAGAAGATCTTGCAGATGAGGAGGATGGAGCTGAAGATGACCTTGAGAGCAGATGGGTCAGAGGCATGAGTCTTGGCTAGCTCCATGGTTACCTGAGTAGGAGTGAGTGAATTTAGTTTTACGCCTCTTTTAGCCATATTCCATCAATATCACGACAGGGAATACCAGAAATGGGCTTCACACACTCTGCCAATATGGTGAATCGAACAGCGTGTCGAGACAGCGCGCTTTAACCACTGGGCTACCCCATCGCCCTACCTGAGTAGCAACAAATGGGAGACTTTACTCCTTGTCCAAAACATGTGGGATAAAAGTACCCCTTGTTGAAACACAATTGATATCTCAACAATAGAGTTGTGATACCATAGTTCTTCTTTAAATCAAGAATTATTCCATTTTAAATAATTATTATCCGTTCCCATATCCTTTAGGGTGCCCAGTACAAGGGAATTATGAGTCCATCGTTTCAGCTATCAAGTTTTCACTTACATTAAAGAGATCTGTAAATGGGGCTGCAAAATTCTCCAACACAAATTTAATCTCTGTCCACAGCTCCTGAGATTTGAATTCATGGCGATATCTGAAAAGTGGCATAAAAATATCATACAACACATTAACTTTCATAAGTTTTAATAAGTTCATCCATTCAATTGTTACACACAGGGCTCCAGATAAGGGTCGTATCGGCGTATGTACCGATAAAAAATATGCATGATACGGTAGGAAATAATTTAGAAAAAGTAGCAGATATGCACCACGACCATGGTGTACGGTCTTAGAATTATTTACAGACATATTTTACTGAAAAAGTATTGTTTGATTGTTTATTGACCTGTTTACACAAGAGTAGCAATTTTGTGGTGCATACATGAAACGAAACACAAGACTACTGATACGCCATTAAATTGCATTTAGTACTCTAAATGTACTCTTAAGTTTTTTCCGTACTACTGTATTGAAAAAATAAGGAGTACAGACTCCTCATGTTGAAAAGTTATCTGGAGCCCTGTACACATCTGCAGATATGCATCTGTTATATGTCTTTTCTTCAGCTCTGTTAAACTAGTGTTATGCGTTTTAGTGCCAATATGTGGCGTTTGGATCTGGACACTGTCATGAGACATTGTTGGCTATCAAACAGTTGAACTGATTGGTCAAATTATCTACATGCTGTTGAAATGCAGTTGTCCATGGCTAGGCATTTAGAAAAAGTTACAAGACAACATCCAGTTTCACCTTTTGAAGAGAGAGTGTGCAGTTCGAAGAACTCCATTGATGACATGGAAGTCCCCGGTCTGGAACTTGCTGACCATCTCCGTGATGAGGTCTGGCCACTTGTCAGGAAAGTCCTCTCTCCCAATGATACTGATGGCATCACTCAGCTGAAAGTCGTCAAGACAAAATACTCACAAACAAGAACGCAATACATGGACACAACAGTGTAGTCTGCAACCTTCCTCACTGTCTTCTATAAGACATTTATAAGCCTCATAACATACACAAAGGCAGGGCTCGATTTAAGAGACGTTTACCTACTTGCACCAGGTGCAACCTGAGATAAAAACCTAGTTGCACCAGACAAATTCCAGTAGCACTGCTTTTTTTTAAAATATGTAAAGAAAGAAATGTGCTATTGAATTAGTTAAAGTTTAGAAGAAAAATTAGCTGACATAGTTATATGCTGTTCATATAATGTTAGACTTAGTGTTGATTTCTTTCTAAAAAATTAACTTGCAGCTGGTGCAACTAAGACTAATAACTAGGCTGCACTTTGTAATATTGGGCTGCACCAGTGACAAGTAACAAAGCACTAAATCGAGCCCTGAAAGGTTACAATAGGGACGTCTAGTGCATACAAAAACTACAGTAAAGTGACTGTCCATATTTCCTTATGTATATTTAAATGTTTTTAAATGACAAAAGCAGTGTAGAAGGGTAAAATAATTGCCTAGCAACTAATGTTTTTTTATATGCTTTTATTGATATCTTAAATAAGCTTATTCACAAGAGCTTGATCTCATAAAAACAATTTACCGGTAACTTGTGTACGATTTTGATCAACATTACCTCGAGGAGGCTTGTTTTGTACAGTAAATACAGGTACGAAATGGCACATGAGTGATTGAGTTTAGGTTTACGCCGCACTCAGCAATATTCCAGCTATATGGCGGCGGTCTGTAAATAATCGAGTCTGGATCATATAATCCAGTGATCAACAGCATGAGCATTGATCTGCCGACTGGGAACCGATGACATGTGTCAACCAAGTCAGCGAGCCTGACCACCCGATCCCGTTAGTCGCTTCTTACGACAAGCATAGTCGCCTTTTGTGGCAAGCATGGGTTGCTGAAGACCTATTCTACCCTGGATCTTCACGGGTCAAATGGCTCATGAATATTCAAGAGTGAAATTTGGTCGGTCAAACATAACAGTACTGATTTACATGTACAAAGGAACAAATCTGTGCAGATTTAAAAGGATACATGATGCAAATTTATCCGTTAAGCCAATAGCATCACTGAATCATAATCATCTCAAAGTCCCTATGTGGTAAGTTTTAGGTTAAAAACCAAAGCAACTGGCTTTGGTCTATCATCGACATATTAGCATCAAAGCTTTGGCAGTTAAAGATGACTGACTGCGTATGGTTTTACGCTGCTTTTTTCAATATTCCAGCAATATCCCGACTGGGAACACCATAATGGACTTCACACATTGTACCCATGTGGGAATCGAACCCGGGTCTTCGACTGCCCCCAGTTAAAGATGAGTTCTCACCTGTTTTTGGATCTGTTCTGGGCTCTTGAGCATGAGGCCTACAATATGCTGCTTGATGGCACTTCTATCACCAGTGTGGACCTTGTCACCAGCCTCATCAGTCTGACAATACATGATAGAATTGGTACTGCTATATTCACATAACAGAGAGTGAGTGAGTGGAAGTGGGGGTGGAGAGAAGGGAGTGTTGGATGGGTGTCTGTAAGTGGAGGAGAGTAGTGAATGAGCAAGTGTATAAGTGAGAGTGTAAGAATCTGTGTGGGTATGTGTGTGTGTGTGTGTGTGAGTATGATTTTAAGCCACTTTTAGAAATATTCCAGCAAAATATCATGGCAGGGGACACAACAAATGAGCTTCACACATTGTACCCATGTGGGGAATCGAACCCGGGCCTTCGGTGTGATGAACACTAACCACTGGGCTACCCCAGTGAGTGTGGATGAATGAACGAAACTGAGTGAGTATTGATCACAGATTTTACTCCATTACAGTCAGTAGATTCAATACTTACAATTCTCCAGTTCCTCTTGATGTAGTTTTTGAACGTGACTGCCGAGCTGACTCTGACAACCGGCTCAACTTCGGCCTTGTCCATCAGATGAAGCAGCAATAGTGGATAGTTCTCGTTCACCTCCACAGACTCCAGAAACTTCTCAGCTGTCACAGAGAGAGAAGATACACTGCTTTGATTACTACTATCTTTTCACAACCCTTATGAGATGATTACCCATCTGTGTAGAAGGCAAAAAATTGGCATACCATGAGATATCACGTTTCAACCAAAATTGTCACTTAAGGTAATATTTAGATCAATATATTTAATACAGTCTTCTATTTCAGTCACGCACCCAAAGTCAAAGTCTATAGTCCGTCAACTGAACTTTTGGCACCCTGTTTTTCACAATTTATCTTTTAACCAAAAATGCCTTCAAAATGTTTTTAGGCATAAGCTCTTTATATCTTATGACCTATCTAAGGTTTAAATTTCATAATTTTATGTCAATTATTTAAGCTTCTTCTTAAGAAGCCATCTCATAAAAATATGAAAAATAGAAGTAGTTATACAAGGGAGTAAAATGATACGATGGAACAGCAAACAACATGGTGTGACACGCGTGCATCATGTTTACATTGTTACGCCTGCAAGAAAATCTAAAGGGACTTTATAATCATCACAAATCCATTTTAAACAAGTAGATTTATTGAAGTCTTTAAATACTGGTTGCTCAATCTCTTGTATCAAGATCCAAATTTGAGCAACAGCTTGCATATGGTATGCTTTGATACATTGATGTCATGGTCTTCTTTTGAACAATATTTTCTTCAGTTTGCTTGACGATATGGACTCACTGGATCGATTTAACCAACGCATGACGTCCCTCACAACCCTTCTATCGAATTTATCAATCTATCTCTTATTTGCATGTTTTGAGGCGGTCCCCAATTTAAGTGTCATGTCGTCGTCAGTCTCTGACATAGTGTCATGGGAGATAACTCTTTGCTATGTTCTTTTGCAGATCTTGGTGGCATTAAGTGTCTTTTGGAGAAACACTCAATTGAAAAAAAGAGGGGTTTTTTTCCGCTTTGCCTTGCGCCTGAAAAGGTTGTAAACTCTTTTGATGATTTACCGTTCATCTTTGTACAACATCGTTTCTACCACAACCTGTGTGTTGACGATCTTTGACATCACTTAAGCGTGCTAACGTAAATACCCCTGCATGTACATATCACGCTGACACACATTTTACAATTCTTTTGGCTTTTCCATCACGTGCATTAACCCCTCGTAAAACTCTCCACAGTTTACAACTATTATATGACAGGTTTAAAGGCAAAATCTTTAATAATCGTTTTAGAATTACAAAAGATCGATATCATGTTAGGTCACGGTATACAATTACCATATGAACAGAGTAGCATTATAAAATATTTAGGAGTTTAATGTAAATTGTGAAAAACAGGGTGCCAAAAGTTAAGTTGACGGACTATAGTGAGTGATTTTAAATCCCTGAATGGAGGAAAGACATATATGTCACTTTGAAGTCGAGGAAAATACAAACAACATACAAATACATGAACACTTCAGCTTTGAATTCTGTGGGACATTTCATGTTTCTTGATACCATACACCATCATATTATGAAAAACAAAAGTGCTGAAATGGAACTTTCAAAATACTGTACATTGTATATACTCTCGATTCACAGTGTTATTAGGTGTACGTTTTGAATAATAAAAAATAGGACAATTACTGAATTTCAAAAATAGTATATTAGAGACCACTGATATCTGTTTTTTATCAAATCACAAATTGTAATTCTAAAACATTCCTGATAAACCTGGAGTCAGTTGGCATATTTTGGAAAAAACACAACTATGAACGTGGAAGTGAGCTTTCTGCCATAGTGGATAGTGTTTACAAAACCACATTTTGTGAAGGCCGGTCATGTGGCACCTATTAGATCACATATACTTCACCTTCAGTTGTGACAAATTACAAACATTTTAGAACAAAACAAGTGTTTGCCACTGATATGGCAATGTCCCCTGCCGCTAAAGAATGGAATATCTATTTTTACTACTTTATATTTTTGGGTCACATAAAAGATGCCTGAAATGACTGGTGTCTGCATAATCACCCAATGTAGGCTGTCAACACACTTGAAAACATTGGGTGCAATGTTCATGAGATATCGCGTTTAAATAAGTTTGAAAAAGCGGTCAAAGTGTCGTGGTGACCTTGAAGGTAAGGTCAAGGTCACCCAAATAAAGCAGTGTCTGCGTAATCCCCCAATGTAGGCTGTCACCAAATTTGAAGACTTTGGGTACAACAGTCCATGAGATGTCACGTTAACAAGAGTTTGAAAAGTGGTCAAAGTGTCGTGGTGACCTTGAAAATGAGGGCAAGGTCACCCAAATCGACTGGTGTCTGCGTAATCCCCCAATGTAGGCTGTCACCAAATTTGAAGACTTTGGGTACAACAGTCCATGAGATGTCACGTTAACAAGAGTTTGAAAAGTGGTCAAAGTGTCGTGGTGACCTTGAAAATGAGGGCAAGGTCACCCAAATCGACTGGTGTCTGCGTAATCCCCCAATGTAGGCTGTCACCAAATTTGAAGACTTTGGGTACAACAGTCCATGAGATGTCACGTTAACAAGAGTTTGAAAAGTGATCAAAGTGTCGTGGTGACCTTGAAAATGAGGGCAAGGTCACCCAAATCGACTGGTGTCTGCGTAATCCCCCAATGTAGGCTGTCACCAAATTTGAAGACTTTGGGTACAACAGTCCATGAGATGTCACGTTAACAAGAGTTTGAAAAGTGGTCAAAGTGTCGTGGTGACCTTGAAAATGAGGGCAAGGTCACCCAAATCGACTGGTGTCTGCGTAATCCCCCAATGTAGTCTGTCACCAAATTTGAAGACATTGGATACAAGAGTTTTAACAAGAATCGGGATGTACAGACGCCACTGAATACATAGTCCCCCGTTCCGACTTGTGGCGGGGAGACAATAACAAATGCCCTTTCTCACGAATACTGGGTGTCGAGATGAAACTCAACAAAATATATTATGTTTGAAAATGAACTGTGTGCTCAGAAGAAATATTTGAAATGTAAACAAAGAAAAATACACATTTTACACTATGTAGCATGTTCTCAAATTTTGAAAGATCCATTTGTCTATTTGTTGCATACATTGACTCATATGTTTGGAATATGCATGGTGGGAGTTTTGTAGCCAGAAGCAGGAAATTGAAATACCTAAAATACTTAATTAAACCTGGACTCATAGTTTGTAGCTATTCCTGCATGAACGAGACAAAAATGTTGAACATGCTCACACTTTCTGTCTGTATTATTTAATTCCAATTTGTAACAAAACTGAAACAGTGAACACATGTTCAGAATGATTGACCATAGTCCTCCCAGCCTACAAGTCAATGAGTGAGTGAGTTTAGTTTTACGCCCCTTTTAACAATATTCCAACACCATGACTTGGGGTCAATAGAAATGGGTTTCACACACTGTAACCACATTGGGAATAGAACTCGGGTTTTCGGCATGATGCAAACACTTTAACCACTTTGCTACCACACTGCCAACAAGTCAATAAGGACCTCTGGCTTTGAAATTTTACTTGTCCTCACTTACATCAGTTCAGAAGTGTTGCGCTACCGGATAAGCAAGACTTTCAAAGACATGGTCTCACACAATCATCTCCTTGATAACTCACCTTGTTTTCTGATATCCATCTCTGGCTGACAGTGTTTGCTGGAGGTACCCAGCCAGGGCCAACATGTTGCTGTCAGTGATCTCCATACTGCAACAACAGGAACACATACCTGTACAAGTACCTTTTTCAAAAGCAACAAGGTGTTTTAATCAAGGTGTTACTGTGCCTGACTTGCCAGACTCGTGAAAGTAAAGTGCCTGTCAAAATTTAAAGGTCACAAGTAACAAAAAAATCAAACATAATTAAAACACAATTATCACTTATTCATAACATATAATATACATTGCTGATTATGAAAAACATATAAACAAAATTATAAGCGTACAATCACAAATCAAAAGTGCAATATTTTGTACTTGGGTTTATTTCCCTAGAAACGAAGCAGCTGGGATACCGAGTGTGCACTCAAGTGTAACAGCTGGTTCATTTGCAGATGCCCCCACAGCTCATTGTATGTGTATATATAGAGATGATGGGTTTTGTAAATACATGCTCATTTTTTGTGTATAACAGTGCAATCAACAGACATCATAACAATGACATGTCTATATCACAGTTAGAAATTCTGTCAACGCTAAATAATGACATTGCTTTTAAGTATCGAACTGAGAAAGTGACTCGGTAAGAAGAACGTGTGGTGAAATAGACAAATGAAATTAATAAACAGTTAAATCGGTAATCTACTGTCATAACAATTAAAAATCTCGCGCCTGTGAAATATCAATAAAACATTAGAAACATAGCTCACACCAAAGCCTTCACCGAAGTATTCATCACCAGCGAAGGTTTTCCGTCTTGAAATGTCGAACGCCTCACTGGTTGGCACATAGCTGAGTAGATCTAGATCCTAACAAGGTTCTTTTATGTAATGAGTAGATTATTTACTATTTGTTTTGATTAGACTACTCCTGCTCACGACCTTATAATCCAGACAACCCACTTCCAAGTTGTGCGAACCTATTTCACTGCGCATGTGATATGAGCGCAGCCCAGCTGTTGAAACCACTTTTTCCCCCAAGCGCTTGGGGAAAATTAGTGAATCGTTTGAACTCCAATTTCGCGTGTGTTTTTTCATCGCGTTATTTATCAACTTTAGAAGTTAATTTGCATTTTTTTATGATGTGTTTCGGTAAGTCCATACCGAAAAGTATCAGAATCTGCAAAGTTGTGTTTTACGTTGCATGTGACCTTTAAGATGCTTAGTATTGAAGTAAAGACTTCGTCTGTATCCCCCCTTAAATTTCATTCTAGTCAAATCATATCACCTGAATATATATTCCTCATCTGATAAGGGTGAGTTTTAACATGTTTCTTTGGAAAGAATTCCTTCTATTCCCCCATATTAGTTTTTAACATTACCAGTGGTTAACAGAGATAACGCAACGTGGTTTGACCCTATATATTGTAATTGATATTTGGGCTTTTTGTTATTTTTTGTGAGTTCTCTAGCAATTGTTGCGTTAGGTTCTGTTAGTGTTAATAATTTTAGCACATATTAATTTATACATATTATTTGGGATGGGGGGAATGGGAGGAACTCTTACCGTTTCTTTAATCCTATTTGAACATACTGAAAGACTTCTCCAAATGTTTCTCAAAGAAATTTTTCCTAATCATTAGAATTAAGGGGGGATACAGGAGAAGTCTTACCAGATTCTATCCCTAACCCTAAATCCTGGAAATAATCCTAATAAATAAAATCAATTTATTCAATCAATCACCTTTAGAATACAGCACCACAACTTCTCGTGAGGACGATCTCTGCCGTAGGTCACGTGTCATTAAGACAAGCAACCAGTTTGTGAGAACCCGTCGGACGCGAACCAGCGACCTTCGGATTGTTAGCTCGACAGCTAACCGACTGAGCTACGTCCACACTGTTGCACAATGTGCAAACTTATCGAGTCATTTCTGTGACGTCACAGAAATGAACGGAAAGAGTCGAATAGGTCACGGACAATTACCCTAACCCTAAACCCTCAGCCCTAACCCTAAACCCTAAATCCTCAGCCCTAACCCTAACCATAACCCCTTGAAATAATCCTAATAAATCGAATGCATTGACCGAACCGGCAGTATTAAAATGCAAAAGGAAAAACAACAAATGGTACTCACGTATTACACCGGACATGTACCTACTATATTGGATTAGGTCTCTAACCCTAACGTACCTAACCCCTTGGAATAATTCCAATAAATGCATTGACCGAACAGGCACAAACATGACTGACGTGTCCAGTGTAATGCATTATTACCGCTTCGAAATATAAAATACTAATAAAAAACTTTTCTATGTAATGGTGCAAATTACTGAATGAAAAAAATATATATGTATGTCAGTTCACATTGGTAAATAATTTAGACTTAATAGTTACTTAGAAACCGACATATAAAATATATTTACATAATTTAAATAATTACATTGACCAAAATTGCGAATATTCGAATATATATAATATAGACCGGTGTAACGCATTCTCGCTAAATCTAAAAAACCCAAAATACAATAATACACAAAACATAACACCTCAGCACTCCGTAATACAAATAAATATGAGCGTATTAGTGAAAAAAGAAAAATATTTCAAACTGGTCCTTGCAAAAAATTGCGCATCCGCTGGTATACAACTACTGGAAACTCTCTACATCGTTGGGCTTACGCAATGACATAGCTAGTCGAGATGAAACACCAGTGAGTCGAGCTTATACGCACTTGCTGAGCTAGACCACCGCGTTGCCATGCAGGCGTCATAGGGCATTGTTTCGAGAACGTGCTTTCGAACAAAATCACATTACATTACGTAAAAGGGTATTATGACTTATTTTTAAAGTTTGTGGTGCTGTATTCTAAAGGTAGGCCATCAATTTCAAGTGGGGGCTACGGGATGAATTCTTACCGCAGATCAGTGTAAAAGTTAGAGGTATGCAGTTCAGAGACACTGACCATGTAAGTTAAACCTGCAGGCACCGGTTATGTACCCACTGATTTTGGTTGTCAGGATAAATCTTTGATCTGAACCCTTGCCAATAGCATCCTGACTCGTCTCTCAACCACTGCCAATATTAATAGAAATCAGTTTGTGTTGTTAGTGTAACTTACATATTTCACTTAAGTAACAGCGCGGTTTCATTCTACATCAAACAAGTGAGAACTGATTTTGCCTCTTTTTCTGACTTTCACGTTTTCTTATTTCGTTAGTGTGATCAGGAGCTGATGAAGGTTAAAACAACTGATTCAACTTTACATCACGATAACAATCATTTTACATATACTGGCTTAATTCATTATATGTCACGTCAACTCCACCACAAAATCCACAAGCGTATAAATAAGAATATGAATATACATCTAAAAACAAATCATGATCTGATATCACAGGCAGAAAAAACCGGTGCTTCAGTGGAAAAGACAATAAAAAACATACAGTGATGTAAAGCTGTTTTGCTATTATTTCTGATGGCAAAATCAACACGTTCGATATAAAAATCACGCACATCCTTATCAAGGAACAAAGCAAATACATTAAGAGATAATAATATCGAAAACTCACATGTCTCAAACAAATGGCGCCTGTTTTGAAAGATCAGGGGAAGACCACTCTCATTTGCTCTTCTCTATTGCGTGCCGCTAAATGTGATATGAGAAAAGCAAATGTTGTATTACATAAGTTTCCATAGTATAAACAGACGTTTATGAGTCAAAATAGTGTCATTAAAACATTTGCTAAAAACGAAATCGCTTGGTCAAAACATATATCATCATAATTATGGAATCTTATGTCACGGCCTCACCCTATCAGTGAAGCTGAGAACGCAAACATTCATCATTGAGAACTTCACACGGACCTTGTATAGCCATGCAGATGCAACATTTTCATATTTGACTGTCTGTCTTGACACGTATATGAATGCAATAAATATACTTACGGATTTCAACCCGTTCCTTTCTGTTTGATTTGTTAGGTTGTTAAAAGGAACATTTAGGGATCATTTCAAGCTCAACAAGTTACGACATAATCTGACGAGGAAAATCATACAGATCATATTGCCAATTTGATCCTGACAATTTCAATTCGTAATTCTGTTGCGAATTTCAGCAATTTTATTTATGAGACGTTAAAAATATATTCTCTATCTGTATATATTTTGCAAAACATTAAAAATGTTTTTTCCCCCTATTTTGTATGTTTACAAGGAAATGAATAAATAGAAGTGCATAGCATAGGTTTGCACACAACATCTGCATCATCTCTGACGTCATGTCACTCTGATGTCACGGTATTGTGACGTCATGCTATTGTTACCCACATGCGCATGGAAATAAGCCGCATTTACACAGCCTCAAAGAGTATCGACTAAAATGGGATGTAAGCAAACTAAGGTCACACCACTGAAGCAAACATCTCCCGAAGAGGCTCTGGCGGGCAAGATCAACTGCCCTCACGAACTCTACTACGCCAAGAGTCAGGTGACGCCCCGCCTGTCAGGGGATGAGATTCTTCAGCAGCTGAGAGAGGAGGGACTGGTCCCTGTCCTCCAGACACGAGGAGGAGTTGCCTTCTCTGTGCCCGCCACCGAGTGTGTTGGTTCCCGCGGCAAACCACCCCGACGTCTGGAGCAAATCCCAGTGCGATGCTTCTACACAGCTGAGAGGAGAAGACAGAAGGCTGACGAATTTAGATTCAACAGGTATGTCATTATCGCAGATGTACAAGGGTGTCGGGGGAATGTCTTATTTATTATTGGGATCTATTATCCGAAAGGGCGACTAAATGAAGCCTTGCGTTGAACGAATATAGTTTCATTAACGCTGATACTGGCACACCTGAGCATTCCTCGGATTTGACTGACATGTTCCGATTACAAACATCTATTGCAGGCTAGTTGATCAAGTTCAGAGGAAACAGCTGGACAGAGAAATAAAGCACAAAGCTGTGAAAGACGAGAAGAAACGTCGCCTGTTCTTGAAGAAAATGATGGCGGAACATCAGCTGCAGATGAGAGAAGAGAAACTGAAGAGGCTGGATGAAGAGCGGGCGGCCAAAAAGAAGAAGGAGGAGAAGATGTCATCCAAGAAATAGATGAAGAGGCGTGCAGATGGGGCTGGGGTGTGATCGGGGGTCGGGGCTTGGCACAGGCCAGAGAGGGAGGGTCACCCATTATCAAATATCTAAAACGATTTTCAAAAATGCAATGTTAGTGCAAAAAGATATATGATATTTATACAATATGTATAAATATAGATCGTTGTTGTAGATCGCTGATGATAGGCAAGATAGTGATTGTCTTCATTTAACAAACATATGTGCATTATCCAAAATGATTACATGTATATGAAAATATGCGCATAAACTGTTTGTGCTTAAGAGATATTTATACCATATTTGTGAGCATAACATTTGTATTAGTTAATGTAACGTTATGTATTTCCAGTATTTTGTACAGAGTCTTATACCTGAGCCAAAGATAATTGTGTACCATGTCATGTAAACTTTTAAACCATAAACATTGTATTTTGAGTATTCTGAATAAAATATTCAAACTAAAAATTCGGTTTGTATTCTTTGAGTATTTGAATGTTTCCGCCCCATAAAAATGGATCCACCTTATGATCAGTGTTTTAACCGTGTTTTAAGTGAATCCATACGAAGGAGACTCATTTAACGTCGTTTTTCAACCGACTATATATATCGAAATGTTTGCATGTTGATTATGCATACAACCGATATTGTTAACCCTGACATTATATTTTATTCTAAATATTTACGCATGTTCACCAAACTGTGGCATGACAAACGTTCACCCAAGAAGCCACTGCATTGTATAATCACATATGAAGAACTGACCCATGTGAACTCAAATGAGGTTGAAGCTGGTGTGATATGAAAAGACATCATACCTCCAAGAGTAAATATCTCACTGAGTAAGAGACTGAGTGAGAGTGTGCATGAGCGAGAAATATTGTAAGCAATGACTGACTGACGGACTGACTGAGTATGGTGTTACGCCGCTTTTAGCAATATTCCAGCAATATCACGGCGGAGGTCACCAGAAATGAGTTTCACACATTGTGCTCATGTGGGGATTCGAACCCGGGTCTTCAGCGTGACGAGCGAACGCCTTTACAATTAGGCTACCCCACCGCCCCTGTAAGCCATGAGAGATCCCTTGCTAATTCAGCATACACGAAATACGTCTAACAGAATTCCAGTTATAGCCTGAAGTGAGGCAGGTCTCACACACTACAGTTTGGGTAGAACAACGTGCACGGGTATATATTGTGTTGACAAACTCAGAAACATCATCGTGGGTAAACTTACGCAAGCACGCATACTATCAAATAAATCCTTTGGTAGTAGTTGTGTTGGTGACTCGGATTATCCATAGTATTAACCCTAGCTAAGCTAAGGGTAAGATGGCCATGATACTTCAGGGTGTCTCGGAGCACCCATAGTATTAACCCTAGCTAATCTAAGGGTGAGATGACCATGATACCTCAGGGTGTCTCGGAGCACCCATAGTATTAACCCTAGCTAATCTAAGGGTGAGATGACCATGATACCTCAGGGTGTCTCGGAGCACCCATAGTATTAACCCTAGCTAATCTAAGGGTGAGATGACCATGATACCTCAGGGTGTCTCGGAGCACCCATAGTATTAACCCTAGCTAATCTAAGGGTAAGATGGCCATGATACTTCAGGGTGTCTCGGAGCACCCATAGTATTAACCCTAGCTAATCTAAGGGTGAGATGACCATGGTACTTCAGGGTGTCTCGGAGCACCCATAGTATTAACCCTAGCTAAGCTAAGGGTGAGATGACCATGATACCTCAGGGTGTCTCGGAGCACCCATAGTATTAACCCTAGCTAAGCTAAGGGTAAGATGACCATGATACTTCAGGGTGTCTCGGAGCACCCATAGTATTAACCCTAGCTAAGCTAAGGGTGAGATGACCATGATTCCTCAGGGTGTCTCGGAGCACCCATAGTATTAACCCTAGCTAATCTAAGGGTAAAACCAAGTCATCGAATGTCACCTGACACGGATTTCATAAATTGGAACAGCAGTAAAGGAGGTGACATAGTTGCACAACTCGTTCTTGTTGATGGAGTTGAACGTACAATATATGGTAACTTACAAAGGACATTAGCGTCTTTTAAGGAAGTGCACTTAAGTGATTGGATGCATATACATCTTTGAAATTAAATGTTATTCGGGCAGTGTTCGTTCTAAATTGGTCGCTGAAACCAGGGAGAATTATCCCTGCTGAAACAAATACTGAAACACGATCATTAAAAGAGACATGTATTTGATTAGAGTGCGTGCGTGCGTGAGTGAGTGAGTGAGTGAGCGAATATTGCTTAACGCTGCATCAGAAATGTTGCAGCTATTCGCGGCGAACAGTAGTGTAAGAATAATCGATGCCAACGTAGAGAAATCTGTTGCCTTGTGAAAAACAACCATCTTAACACAAATATTTATACTTCAAATGCAAGCGTCATAAACAGGATTCTATTAAAATCATAAATATTTTGAAATTCCTAATAAACCTTTCTCATATTTACCCCGTGCACGTGGGATTCAGAAAGGTACTCGCGTGCACGAACATCTCGTGCCGAAAGTGCCTGTCAAAGTGTCTGGTGTTATTGCACACGAACCATATGGCGCACAATCTGCTTAGATATCATTACGTTCGTTATCTGATGTGTCTTTAAGAGCTCAAGTTGACAACCACTCGATTTGAAGGTGATGCACGTTTTAAACAACAATGCTTTTAGATATTTATTGCCATCATTATTTATTACAGAAAATGAGCTTAAATCTCTGTATTAACCAAAATAAACGAATATCATAGCGCTCGTTTGAAAAATCGATCACTTCCGCGGAAATGTCTCGCAAGTTGGTACAAGGGAGACAACTTCATATTTATCTCGGTGACCTAGATAGAAGCCAACGAGAACTGGGTTGTTGATAGTGAGATACACTTGAGATATCCGACCCGTCGACACTGCTGTTGTATATTTGACTGCTTCATGTGAAATACCGCTTCTGACCAAACACAATTACGTAAGTTACGAACAGTTTATGCTAGATCTCACGTGCATATTGTTCATATATAAGTTTCGGCGGAATTTAGGCGATGTTGAAACAATCGATTTCTCAGCAGACGTGTCTCAAATATGGCCGCCACTATAATTATGGTGAGACGAGGCATGGCGGCTAGCAGTTCGTGTTGTTAAAACAAACATGGCGAATGTAGCTTTCGCTGTTTATGAATGTATGTTCAGACTTACTTGACTGTTACAACTAAGGGGGATTGCGATATCTGTTTATATTACCGTATCAGAGATAACCACGGTATATGACATCAGTTCTACTAATCTTCTTTTCTTATGTGATGATATACTGAATGGTTATAGTGATACATAGAGAATCTCACCCGAGTGTCTTTTGATATCAAATATATCACCAGGAGTTGATAAAGTAACAAATATCCTAGGCTTGCCGAGGATATTTTTACTTTTATCAACGAGTGTTGATATATTTGATATCAGAAGACACGAGGGTGAGATTCTATTTATCATCAAAAATCACTCTTCATTAGTTTTCAATGAAAAATGTACATCTCTTAACTCAGTACTGCCATTAGATTTGCAGTGCAGCGATGTCATAACATTGTGACGTCTACAAGTTCATGACGTCATAGCATTGTCAGGGCATTGTACAAAATCAACTGTCAAAACGATATCTCCTGTATAGCATGACGTGTCCCACCTGTCTGTACATCATGACGTGTCCCACCTGTCTGTATATCATGACGTGTCCCGCTTGTCTGTATATCATGACGAGTCCTACATGTCTGTATATCATGAGGTGTCCCACCTGTCTGTATATCACGTCGTGTCCTACCTGTCTGTATATCATGACGTGTCCCGCCTGTCTGTATATTATGACGTGTCCTACCTGTCTGTATATCATGACGTGTCCTGCCTGTCTGTATATCATGACGAGTCCTACATGTCTGTATATCATGAGGTGTCCCACCTGTCTGTATATCACGTCGTGTCCTACCTGTCTGTATATCATGACGTGTCCTACCTGTCTGTATATCATGACGTGTCCCGCCTGTCTGTATATTATGACGTGTCCTACCTGTCTGTATATCATGACTTGTCCCACCTGTCTGTACATCATGACGTGTCCCACCTATATATGTCATGACGTGTCCTACCTGTCTGTATATCATGACATGTTCAACCTGTCTGTAAAACATGACGTGTACTACCTGTCTGTATATCATGACGTGTCCCATCTGTCTGTATATCATGACGTGTCCCACCTATCTATATCATGACATGTCCCACCTGCCTGTATATCATGACGTGTCCCACCTGTCTGTATATTATGACGTGTTCCACATGCCTGTATATCATGACGTGTCGCACCAGTCTGTATATCACGACGTGTCCCACCTGTCTGTATATCGTGACATGTCCCACCTGTCTGTATGTCATGACATGTCCCACCTGTCTGTATATCATGACATGTCCCACCTGTCTGTATATCATGACGTGTCCTACCTGTCTGTATATCATGACATGTCCCACCTGTCTGTATTTCATGACATGTCCCACCTGTCTGTATATCATGACATGTCCCACCTGTCTGTATAATATACAAGCTATTCATCAAACGCAGCGTGTCTGTCCATCCATAATGAATAGACATGGAAAATTCACAGCCTCACATTATGTGCATGTTTTCAATGTTCAACTCATTTTCCTTCTTAAATACTTATTTTGTTTTGTGCAGACGTATTCATAAGGCATACTGACAACAGCCTCTGCAAGAAACCCACATATGGCTCATTATTAGTTGGGCGGCGGGGTAGCCTAGTGGTTAAAGCGTTCGCTCGTCACACCGAAGACCCGGGTTCGAGTCCCCACATAGGTACTATGAATGGAGCCCATTTCTGGTGTTCCCGCCGTGATAGTGCTGGAATATTATTGCTAAAAGCGGCGTTAAACCCAACTCACTCACTCACTTTTTAGTGTAATTTTCTGTTCCATCTTTCAGGAAATGGCAATGGACCGACAATACTCCAAAGAATTCTTCCACTCACTCATTGATTCCATGCAGAAGCTGTGTCGCCAATACCTTGAGTTTGACCAGGCTGTTGAACTGTGTGGTTATTTATCTCTTGAAATTGATAATAGCAAGAAGGAGAGATATGTTCTCAGTGAACTAGTCCAGAACTCGGGGGATGTCATCAGCGAGAGATACTGCACCAAGGCATTCAGAACAGTCAGGAGAAACAGCAAGAGTCCGCAAAGGGCGGAAGACAGTGGTCCTCCGTGGAAGGCGAGGATTTTACGCGAGGACAATGGGCAAATATCCAGGGACTCAGCTAAACTGACGCAGCGGGAGAGAAACCAACTAGGGCCAGTGTTTCCGACTGGAGGATCATTTAACAGACCCGGTGAACACAGTACAAGCTTAGATAACCCTCTTCCTTCTAAGTCCGTTTCAGGATCCAGAGTTACGAACTATAGCCAAAGATACAGCCCAGTGGAATCGTTGTCATTTGTACAGCGACGCCAGAATCATATTCCACATCCTCAAGCAGCTCCAGAAGCTGTTCCCGTCCAAATGTTTACTTCCAAATTTGTACGTGATGGACAGTGTGGTCCACACGGTCCATGGCAACAGGTGATTCCCTCAATAACAGATAGTGAGGGGTTGGAAGGCTGTGCTGGATCTGGTGATGGTGCCAGAACTGGGAAGAGGAAACCCACGCCCGAGAGCCATGTGATGACAGGGAGCAAGAAACTTAAAGGTATGTATTCTGTCACAGCAACTAAGACTCGGACCAGAATCGACGATTACTGCACTGTCCGCTATGTCCTGTATTCCATCCACTATGCATGCCAGGATCCTAGATTCACCCAGATTATGATGCTTAGGTTATCAGCAATTTACACTGCCCGCTGTCGCAGAGACATCCTACATTACTGATGGGTGAATTCGGTTTACACGAGTTTGAATGGCATGTCAATTTTATGACGATGTGTCAGTTTCATGTTGACGGTTGATATGGGGGAAATACCAAAGTTGTTTTGTTTGTTTGGTTTTTGTATAACGCCACACTCAGCAATATTCCAGCTATGTGGCGGCGGTCTGTAAATAATAGTTTCAGACCAGGCAATCTAGCATGAACAGCATGAGCATGGATCCACGTAGTGGAGAAAGACCGAAGTGGTACTGGATTAGGCGTTTGCGATTTGGATAAACAAAAACCACGATCACAGAAATCTGGAATTCTGATCAACGATCATAGCTTGTGCCACGCACAAGGGACGCAATTCTGTACAGTAACTTGCGGTGCTCTATGATGTTCACTCTGCATTTCACTCTTGTCTTTCAGAGTCGCCAGGGCCTTCTCTGCCCCCTACATCTAGCACCCATACCTCCTTCCCTGTCACTACCTTATCAGGTTCCACTGTACATTCCCGACTCCCCTCCGTCTACAATGACAAGTCGTCCATCATTACAGAAGACATGCCAATCATTGTAAAGGAGGAAGGCGTCCCCTTCCTTGTGATCAACCCCCAAGATGAAGGTCTCGAAACAAGTGGTGAAGGAGACTTAGAAGTTGAGAAACTTATCCAGGAAGGAGGGGTAGATAACTCTTGTCTTTTGGACGGAGATGCTGTTGGACAGTTGCTGGAGGCATCATTGACCGAAGACATGAACAAACACACTTCAAGGAAAACCCGGGGACACGTTAAACTATTTCAGGTTAGTTCGTTGTCATTGTTTCCAAATATCATGTGTGGGCAATCCAGATAATTTCCCCTAAATACCAGACATGATCAAGAAAGTTGGACAAGCACGATCGGATCGTCTCAGTGAAAATACAGGTGCTGGGATATGTACCATGATGATGGAAATTAGCCTAGAATGTCAGCTGAACGTCATTGTGGTAGCGGTATCTCACAGGATACCTTTAACAAACAAAATAATGACAAAACCGGTCAGGGTTAATAGCCTAGTGCTCATTTCCATCCCCGATGGAATGGCATAGACAGTACATGTGTGTTATTAGGTAGCAGCGCCAGAAATTTCTTTTCAGATTCAAATGCCATGAAAGAATCCATCAAAATTATTAACGCAATCACAATGTGTCTATGGCACGTCTTCATTTTCCTAAGCCCCGAAGGTACTTGCAATTAATGTTGCAAAGTGAAAATTTGACGAGTCCAGTTATACAGACTTAGATATGCACCATTACAACACACGGCTAGCTATGGTATGATAACTGTTCAAACACTCGAATGACACGCAGCTTGAGTTTCCAGTTCCTTTTGGCTTAGGCAACACCTGAACTTAACTCTGTTCTGTGTATTTTTCAGGAGTATCTTGTATTACAAGGAATCACTATTCCCATGCAGGAGTTGCCACCGGCAGACCTCGACAATGTTCTGGGAACTTTCTTCTGGGACATCCGAAAGGACAACGGGGAAGAGTACGAGCCTTCTTACTTAAAAAACATGCAGTCAAGCCTTGAAAGACATCTCAAGTTCTGCGGCTACAGCTTTTGCATCACACGGGACAAGATATTCGAGAACAGCAGGACCAAACTGAAGGACAAACAGTCCTGGCTCATCCAGCAGGGGAAAGGAATGCTGCCCAATAAGACTGTATTCCTCACCGAGCAGGACATAGATGTGTTGTTCCGAATCCAGAAACTAGGAGATTATAATCCCGATGTTCTATTGAATACGATTTGGTTGATGGTGAATATAAATTTTGGGAATGTTGTGAAGAATGTTCGAGACCATGGCGATCTGTTGTGGAGGGACATGGAACTGCAGGTGGACTCTTCCGGTAGGGAATGTGTGATGTTGAATAAGTCCCCGTTTCCTGTGGTGCATCTAGACAACACGGTGCCTTCTAACAGGTGTTTGGTTAGGCTTTACAAGACCTTCAGAGACAGTAGAGGCAGATATGTTGAAGGTACTTGCTCTTTTTATCTGTGTCCCAATCCATCAACAATGTCCGAATGGTTCAAACCATCCCCTGCTGGTGTTAACCGACTGAACAATATGGTTCGAAGGATCGTCGAGGGTTCTGGCCTTCCGCTTGAAAGGAAGTACACGAATTCCAGTATACAAATGTTGATTAGGGGGCCATTGAGAGTTCTTGCCGACTAGATCCAAGAATATGCGTGCTTGTGGATTTTCGTGCATTCGTGGACCTGACTGCAGTATTGCTAAAAGCAACGTAAAACAAAACCCCATTCTCTGCCTTAAACAAATTTGACGACATTTGATATCAGCGGCGCCATTCTCTTTAGATGGATGGCTATGATTCTTGTTGCAACCGAGCTGTAGCGTACATTTTGAAATAAGATGTTTAGACAGTTATGCACGTCTTTCAGGGAAATACTGTTTTGTTGTTAATAATTTGAGTTGTGATTCCATTCCTTGCTGCATTTCTGCAGAATGCTGTTTTATTTTGATATTTTATTTATTTCCAACGTACTATGTGCCACGGGTACTGGTTTATCCAGTGTTTAATTGTCAATTGCTGTATTACATTAACATTATTTCAATATGGACATCTTCATAGAAGCTTTGGGCAATGAAGTGATATCCTACCACATGTCATTCATGATATACAATAAAAAAGCAACAACACCAGTTTGGTTTATTTTTTATGTATTTGTTTGTTGTTTCGCAATTTTCCAGCCACGTAGCGGCGTCTGTAACTAATCGAGTCTGGACCAGACAATCCAGTGATCAACAGCATTAGAATCGATCTGCGCAATTGGGATGCGATGGCATGTGTCAGAAAGCCTGGCCGACAAGCATGGGTTGCTAAAGACGAATTCTAACATGGATCTTCACGGGTCTGGCATTGTTCTTTTCCAAGTAACATTCCAGTATCGAACCCACTAGGCTATCCCACCGCCCCTTTCAGAAGGGGAAGGGTCAGGTTCTGATGCACGCAGATGTTTGTTGTCAGCGTTGTCCCAGTATCCCAACCCACAAAGTAGGCCATGCCAGATTATTTGTATTACACCCTCTTTACAAGGTTTTTCCTGATAGCAGGGAATTTGCTGAGAAAGGCATTAACCACCCCCACCTCCCCGAAATTCACTCACGATATCACTTTACATATTAGATCATGGTGAATCCGCGTTAAGGTCTCCACGTACATGCACACGTAAGATGTAGTTCCACGCCTAATAATGGTTTGGGTGGACATGCTTCGTTACCCGACCCTTCGTGTGTTCGAAACCCAACTGCGGTAATCGTTGCTTATTTCATCAATCCCTGTGTTGTCTGATCCAGACTCCATTATTTACAATCCAATGTCATATAACTAGATTATTGATAATTCTACCATGACATTTAAGTATGTTCGTTCTTCATTGGCTGTTACTAAAAAATTAGAAGTGAAAATATTTCAATAACCACTTCTGAGAGCCGGTTCAGTGCGCGTAGGAATATTTTGCACTCATTACCCTACGCAAGGTTAATGAGTGCATATTTAAAACGCGTTTTATTTATGGTGCATATGTCATGGTAGAATGGAGATAATCTTATTGTGTTTACATTTTGGAAGTGATTATAGTTGGTTGAACGCTGCTAAATGTTTCATTTAGCAGCGTTCAACCAACTATATAATCACATCCATGTTTCATTTAGCAGCGTTCAACCAACTATAATCACTTCCAAAATGTAAACACAATAGGATTATCTCCTAAGTGATGCGTTAACAAACTTTACAAAGTCAGTCATCATCAGATGTGCTGTTTTATTCATTGAAATATGATCTTGGGTCATGATACATAATCATGACCAGTACAATCAACGGCTATACCTCGATTTTACTCCATGTATTTTGGCAAGATCCTGGACATATGACGTGATGTCACTATCACTTACATTATGCTTTAAAAAATCAACTAGACTGGAATAGAAGCTGCGAAAAGGGCTGAGACGGGCTGTCATAATGGAATACAGATGTGACCAGTTTGCCAATCAATGATACGGAAATATACAACCGCATTAATATTTTTTCCAGAGATTCCGACAATGCATGTTGGACGAACACAATTTCAGTACAAGTCCGATGATGGCGGTATCCAGCCTGTCGTGTTGGCTGTATTCACCCTTTGTCTTCCAGTATTCCTGATATATGTGCAGTGGATATGATAGACGAAAACAACCTTACAAGGGTTAAGAACACGGAAACTTAGAATATTCTGGAACACCCATGTAATCACCAAGTCAATGCCCCAGGCCATGGTATCCGTTGATAAGAACTCAATTGCAGATGCCGGAAGATATCCTTGCGGAACAAAAATATACGTGTCATGAGATCCGACAAATTTGCTTCCTTCGTCACAGAAGTCACCTGACATGTCACATGACTCTTCCAGTCTGCCGTGACGGGTCAATGCATACATTAACCTCTCCGATTTAAATCTTTCGATGTCAATGAAGTCAAACCCTCGTTCTGGATAAACGTCCGCTTGAGTCACCATAACCAATCGACCTTGAAGTTTCTCAAATGCAAATCGGAAAGTCGAAATCGCTTGCCTGGTGTTTTGTAGATGGTGAAAACATAGTTTCCGATGGAAAGGAACATTGGGAAGTTTCTTTCTAACATGATCAGGAAGTAATTCTTGGTCGTAAAGGAGGTGGACTTCTTCTATGTGCGGATGTAACAAGGTTCTGGTAAGGCCTGTAATGTATTCCTCCGCTCGAGCCTCCTTCTCACTGAGACTGAGGGTCGAGTATCCAGGGCTGTTCCAAGAGGGGTCGAGCAAGTATGGAAACGTAAGAATAACAGAAATCCGCTGCTTCTCACCAGCTTGCTTTGTAACTGTAAACGTGTAGTGTAGAAATACCAGTGTACACACTGTTGTGGTGATCAACCCACATATGGCATATCCAGACCTTCCTGAAACAAGAGGATATCTATTATACGAATGTCATATTAATCTATTATTGTTTGTTTGTTGTTTTTCGCCGTACTCAGCAGTATTCCGGCTATATGACGGCGGACTTTAAATATTATGTAAACCAGTCAATCTAGTGACAGACATCATGACCATCGATCTTCGCAACTGGGATACGATGACAGGCATCAACCAGATCTGCGAGCCTGACCATTTGATCGCGTGGGTCTAATTTTACGACAAGCATAGCTTGTTGAGACCAAATCGAACATGAACCTTTACGGGAGGTTCTTGTTATTAGAACAGTTACTGAAAATGCTTTTCAGATATTTCCGAAAATAGCACATTCAGATAGCGATAAAAATGGCAAAATAGAAATTTGCTCCATTGAAGATATATATCAAATAAACTTCAGATAGAAGAAGAAAAAGACATGATTACAGGTGCGAAATGCATTACCTGTTACTCAAAGTCTCACGCAAATGGCAACAGATTACGGAACTTAAACTGAAAATCATGCAGGACATCTTGCGGTCTTACCTCTGATCAAATGATGAATTGTCTCCCTTGACATGACCTACCACTGTTTGTAATACATATGCGTGAATAAAAGCGCGTTTACGATAAAAGTTAAATAACCCCCCGATAAGAACATGTCTCAATATTTAAAACACATTGAAAAGGCAAATGTATTTAACAATATTGTGTCATGTGAGGACAACAAGAAACAATACAGGGATATAAAAGTAGTTCGGAATGTGCATCCGTCGAGTTGAGGAAAGAAATGCCACATGAATGGACGCTACAGTTGTTGTGTCATTTCTGATACTAGTAACCCAAAATGATTTACCTTTGGATAGACGCATCTTTTATCTCCACAAGCTGCGCGTGCGGCACGCGGAACACTAAATCCCACAGTCAATTCATGGCAGTTCTTTCACTGCGTGCATTTTGGTCAACTATGAGTTATATTATAACACATTAAGGAACACTTATTTCGAACATGCTCATACCGCACGATTTGTGCTTTCAACAGATGGAATGACACTTTATTGAGAGATCTTTAGATGTGGACGAAAACGGATCAGGAATATGGTAAAACATTGAACCTGGATCCAGGACTTGGGGCTATCTAGGTATTACTTGGACTTAATTATTATTTTATTTTTAATTGTTAGACAGTGTAGCTCCTTATATATCTACCCGTAGAGTAACAACTAGTCTCTGAAATGAACATATTTTACTGAAAAAAGTTCATAGTAAAAAAATATAAAATATAATGAAAAGGAGCCCCGAGACTTTCTTCATTTTCGGAAATCTAGACTTGCCACATTTTCAAGACTTGTGTGGGATTTCTTGGATATATTTGCTTCAGGGTCTGTATGACAGACTAATCTACCCGTAAAGATCCGGGTTAAAGTGGTCTTCAGCAACCCATGCTTGTACGAGGCGATTAACGGGATCGGGTGGTCAGGCTCGCTGACTTGGTTGACACATGCCATCGTATTCCGATTGCGTAGATAGATGCTCATGTAGTTGATCACTGGATTGTCTGGACCAGACTCGATTATTTACAGACCAGCGCTATATAGCTGTAATATTGCTGAGTGCGGCGTTAAGCAACAACCAACCAACAAACCAACCTTGTACGGTCATACGGGATTCACCATTGTGTGGTAGAGAGGAAAAGTCTAAGAATTGATGTTAATGAACTGTTGATGCCGGTTGCGTCCCTTAGTCCTGTCAGGTTGCGATGGTCGTGTGTTCGAATCCTTGATTCACTTTCGTTTGTTGTACGTGCCAGCTTGAATGAGGACAACGCAACTGGAGATTAGAATCACAGTGTAGTATCGTATTCCAACCATTGTATCATGCAGTAACTGGTTTGTCTCTTTAGTTAAAGTCTTATGTGTCCACTGACAACGGTGTTAAACAATATTCATTCATTCGGTGGGGTAGCATCTCCGATTGGCAAACTTGGCCGATTTCCTCAACCACATCTAACCGTCAAAGGCGATTGTTTTCAGTGTTGGGAATAATTCAAGTGTTTGTGCCAGGTACATAGTTAATTCAGTTTGGATTTAAAAGTTTTGTTCATAATTATCATTTTTAACAGTAGTTTAGATAATTAGACTCGTCTATTACGGATATAGGCTGACTGGTTGTGTTGGAAGATTTTTAATTGGCTGTGTCATGTACTTTGTCTTGTGTGGCCGTTACACTTCACAACAACGGGGACGGTGAGGTAGCCTAGCGGTTGAAGCGTTCGCTCGTCACGCCGAAGACCCGGGTTCGATTCCCCACATGGGTATAATGTGTGAAGCCCATTTCTGGTGTCCCCCGCCGTGATATTGCTGGAATATTGCTAAAAACGGCGTAAAACCAAACTCATTCTCACTTACTCACCCACAACTGAGACCACCCATCGAATGCTAAGGTTAGTATAGTATTTCAAGTTCTGTATCTATGTTACATTGATATTAAATAGTAGTGCTATTATTTTAAATCAACTAGTCGAGGACAACATACAATACGCTGTATTGATTTATTCAATGGCACTTATGCGCATTTTTAATACTATTCAGTGTTCTCACTACATGGTGAATATGCCTCATAGTGCAAGTTTCGGTATACACATGGTTGGGAATATAAACCGGAGAAGTGATGTAAGTGTCACGAAGCTGTGCTTCTGGGACCAGTGTGTAATTAAACAAGAATAAAACAATATTTCCAAACGTGGTAAAAGTTCACACTATTATTACTATCAACTACATTGTCATTTTATCAATAGACGACGAAAAATGTTCCAAAACCCAATTTAGACTGACAATTTTCATTGATTAATTAAATCAGAGAAAAGACACAAGATGATTTTGTTTATTTGTTTGTTTCTTGTACAACGCCGCACTCAGCAACATTCAAGCTGTAAATAATCGAGTATGAAACAGACTATCCAGTGATCAACATCATGAGCATCGATCTACGCAATTGGGATACGATGACGTGTCAACCAAGTCAGCGAGTCTGACCATCCGATCCCGTAAATCGCCTCGTACGACAAGCATGGGTTACTGAATTCTAACCCGGATCTTCACGGGTATGGCCGTAGTGAGGCTACTGGAAATGCCAGTAGTGATTTCACAAAGCTGACTTACCATCACTTTGTGATTCAAAACAAAACTTACTCCTATGTCTGCAGCCACAAGCAGAGTAGCAATCACACGTATAACGGGGATAACAAGAGATTAGCTATGGCTACACTTTGACAAGATATCGACAAGACGCATAGACAGCCAGTTGAGTCGGATGCTACCAGTTAACCCCTGAGAGTGTACAATTCGACTGGGTTAAGCAGCAGGAATAACAGACCGATGCCCTATCCCCAAAACAAGCCTACTGGACAATGCATTAGAAGACTGACTGACTGAGTTTAGTTTTACGCCGCTTTTAGCAATATTCCAGCAATATCACGGCAGGGGACACCAGAAATGGGCTTCAAACATTGTACCCATGTGGGGAATCGAACCCGGGTCTTCGGCGTGACGAGCCAACGCTTTAACCACTAGGCTACCCCACCGCCCCTGCATTAGAAGAAACACGCCTGAATAGTAGCCTAGTCTTATAGAGTAAAGACTCAGTCACTTCGACAGGGCAAGGCAATTATAAACTCCCCCAAATACAAAGTACTTGGTCAACGTTGCTCAGCCATCCGGATATACGAGAAAAAAATGCACATAATTTACCGTTTTGTATGTGAAAATGACCGTCCGGTTACGGAAATCGGATTTCAGGATAAGTGAGTAAGTTTACAACGTTGTGAATGCGTTTTAAGGAATTTTCGTTCGGAAGGCGAGTTTTCCGGATATCTGAGGTTCCGATAAACGGGGCACGACTGTATACTGACCATGCTGACAGGCTTGGTATACTTGACCAAAAGAAAAACCTCACGCCACGTAGTAAATAGGTACTTGGCCTAAACTATAGACAATCACGGAACGGATTACTAGGAAAACGGAGTATGAAAAGCCCTAGTTAAAAATCTTTAGCTCAATACCACCAAACTAAGTCAGTGCCCGAGAAAAAGCTGCCCCCATAACCCCTTTATAACGAAGACTGGGTTTCGAATGACCACCAAGTTTCGTGACTACGTAGAATCGGCCTAGCTACGCCTGAAGGTTAATATTAAACTGGTTGTACGTGTATGTGTTGTATCCTGAAACTATGACTATTCCCCACATCATGTGTTTCAGTGTGTCTATTTTCAAGATCAAGAAATAAAGACTCTAAGCCTGTGTTTCGTCCACTTTGGTTCCTGCACAACTTCCCGTTACACGTTCAGTGTTTCAGTGTGTCTATTTTCAAGATCAAGAAATAAAGACCCTAAGCCTGTGTTTCGTCCACTTTGGTTCCTGCACAACTTCCCGTTACACGTTCAATCGTAATAACAGCTCGTACATGGTCTTGTGTCACCCCCATGATTTTGCTGGAATATTGCTGAAGCATATCAAAGCTCACCTATTTAATGTATATAGCTAATTTACTGAATATCTTTACTAATATATAACAAACACGTGTATATTGAAGCTCAATCTTGTTTAATGTGTGAATTATCGACGGTACCATGTAAATATCATAATGAATTGTCTTAAAGCTGAACTTGTGGATGAATCCAGTCCAGTGCATCTGCAAACCAAGAAAAAAAGTATTTTAGAAAGTATCGTATTTTAGGAGGAGATATATACCCCCCCTTAAATGAAAACTGTTACAAGTTGGCCTTAAATGAAAATAAATTGTACCCCGGCTCAAGATATTACTGAGGTAGCCTAGTGGTTAAAGCGTTCGCTCGTCACGCCGAAGACCCGGTTCGAGTCCCCACATGGTCACAATGAGCAGAGACAGATGATTTTATGACCGCTTTACCTTGGATGTGAACCATCTTTGCAAATAAAAGTTCACCGATAGTGGAAAATATTCAAACGGTGCGAGTGAATGTGAAACTGTCAAGTATTTACTTTACATTGAACAAGAAGTCTTATATCCACTTGAGCTTTCAATAACATATCCCTTGTCTTCTGTATGTAGTACGAATCAGCAATAACTCATTTACCGATCTCTTTTCGTTTTTAAGGATAACATTTGAATCATCACAATTCCCCTTTGCTCAGTACCTATCAGCACCAAATCTGTCCAGCCATAATAACGATATATTAATGTCTCCCAAATCTCGGCCCCGGGCTCGAGTTTTGTGTGTTGTTTAACGCCTTACTCGGCAATATTTAGTACATATTAATAAACTCGTATTCCAGCAAAGGCCTACCTTGGTACATGGGTGGAAATAACTTTAAAATTGCTAGCGTACTTCGGTACAGTGGCACATGTAAAATCACCTGCCCTGATAATTTTTCCACTATGCCAGCTGTTTTCTTGTTGATTTTTTTACATAAAGAACATAATTAACATTGGAAAGCCAACTGGACACCGGTACAGTGTTATATACAAATTTGCTTGCCCGACAGAAAAAAAACACTGGACTCGGGCGTCGGGCAATGGGTTATTTCCACCCCTGCTGGTATAGTGCAAAGTTAGACTAGGCAATATGATACTAATATGGTGGCTGTCTATAAATAAGTATGGAACAGATAAACCACCCGGGTTCGAGAAATAGACCTGGTAGCATCCAACTGCATCTTGAAAACGCAAATACATTTGATGGGGTAGAACTGCTATTTCGCCTCAGTCGCAATCAGTTGTTATATTTGTCGTGATTTAGTGGAATATTGATGACGGCTTAAAACAACACTCACTCACTGAGATCTTAAACCAATGAATCATTCTGGCACCAGATTCGTACCATGTCAGATGTAGTGTTCAACACGTGTTGCAGGACTTCTTGCAATTCCTGTTCATATAGCGCGGGTTGGCCCGGCACTCCCCTCTTCCAGCCCATACAGAACAACTGGCGTTCTTATCCCTACACGCAGAGTTACCTCCTCCTGAAACAGAGCATTATACATGTTGAAAATGTTCTGATAATAACCTCAGAAGTATTTTTTACTGAAAAATCGCTGTAATGCTTTCTGATATCTCTTCAAGATTCCAATGGTCTCATAGGCGGATCCAGGGGTGTGGGTGGGGGGTGTTTCCTCCCTCTCAACACACACACACACACACACACACACACACACACACACACACACACACACACACACACACACACACACACACACACACACACACACACACACACACACACACACACACACACACACCACCCCATCCGTCATGGGTCTCATGGATGGGGTATATCTAGCAGAGAAGGTGGACGGTCTGTGGTTCGAAGCAAACCCGGTACTGTCACACCAAAAGCGTTTGTTCACAATGTCTCCGCTCGTATACTTTACAGCAGTGGAAATGACAAACGTCTTGACCTTGATGTCAATACTTCACAGGTACGTTAAGTTTGACTTTCTTGACATAGATGACACACCTTCGACGAGCTAATATAATGTTCTCAGCGGCGTTAAACAAAATTCACGCATTGTGTACAATAAAAGAGTTCGCTAAATATCTTTGTCCAAACGTATCAGGTGTGACTTAATAATGATAAAAGTTTGATAATGTCAAACCAAAACATAATCATTGTGAAAAGATATTTTTTGTTTTTAGTTGTTGTTTAAAACCACGTTCAACATTTTTCTAGCTATTTGATGGCGGTCTTTAGATCATCGAGTCTGGACCACCCAGTCCAGTGACGGACAGCATGAGCATCGATCTACGCAAATGCTATACGATGACATGTGTCAACCAAGCCAGCGAGCCTGACCACCCGATCCCGTTAGTTGCCTCTTACGACAAGCATGGGTTACTGAAGACCAATTCTAACCCGTATCTTCACGGGTCACTGAGAAAACGAATACAATGGATAAACTTACCTTTGATACAACAACATATGATACATGACATTTTGGAATAACTGAAAACAATTATTTACATTTCGCAGACGTAAAATGAGTTCAGTTCAGCTGAAGTTTCAGCGATAGAAGAAATGCGTCACTGAATTGTGGAAACAAAAAAAGGCAAGAAGAAAAACGATATTGCCAAAATATATAAGCTAGAAGGCAGAAGTTGAAGCGGCCGCATCAGTCTATTTGGAAGATACAGTTACGCAACTGCGTAGTCGGGCCTTGTTTTATACAGATGTGATATTGATAGTGAGTCAGAGCGCCCCGTGTATGTGATTATGATAGTGAGTGAGTGAGTGAATGACTTAATATTTTTGCAATGAGATCAATTTATACATTAAAATGAATAAATATTTTTTTTCTATTTCGATATACATGTATTTATTCATTTTAATGATTTCGTCATACGAATATGGTGATCGAACAAAAATTAGTATTATACGAATAATGTGAGTCACACTTGTATGAATATGGCAATCAAACAAACGCGACATGTGAATATAATGGTCAAACACTTCCGACATATGGTGGACAAGTCAAAACAGTCGCGTTTCCTGCTGACTGGGTTCCGTCCTATTGCGCAACTTCGTACAATAACCAGTCCAGACTTTTAGACCAATTCATTCAACTGGATACATAAATATTTATCAGTATTATTCGATACATCTAAGCACTTGTATATTGCAACACTACGCTCCTCCTAATCTTTGCAAACACGTGGTTCAGCGTGCTCTGACAAACGGAAATCTGGAAATCCTGGAAATCGCAAAACGAGGCTCTGCCGCAAGAAAAGTTTGGCGGTCTGGTACGGACTTGATATTTTATCAATCACACTGTGCCTTACAAAACTACACTGAATAAGCGCACATAACAGGTGTAACCAGTGAGCTTGATGAAGTGTGAATCATTTTACGACCTCATCAAACGGGCAGTCTGGGACGTCTTAGTTAACGATATGCTGCCTACACCTCGACATAAAATATAGAAATACGACGTTATTAAAGTTTAAAATAAAAATTAACTTGTAAACACAATGTTCTTATGAAACAAGGAATTGGAATTCAGTGTAACCATAGTTGTTTGTGGTGTCTCTTTTCATTTTCACACGAGAAATTTCGGATCGGCTGAAAAGTAGGTCATTGTCTGAATAGTCTAATGGGACTCATGTTTCGGCTTGCAATCCATGACATGGTTATCTAAGCAAGACAATGACATGATATGAACATGGGGATCCTAAAGTCGAGGTTAGTGATCACTGAAGTAACGCAGCACGTCAGACAAAGGGATCTCGTTTAGCGAATTTTCCGATTCAGAAAATCTTTTGTTATAGTTCCGTTATTGATTTTGATCAAGCTTTTGAGATTAATCATGCCCCAAAGTATTAAAATCAGCGAAGTGGTTAATAACCACACGTCAGACCTAACGCCAGTAGGAGTGAGTGAGTGAGCTGAGTTTTACGCCGCACTCAGCAATATTCCAGCTATATGGCGGAGGTCTGTAAATAATCGAGTCTGGACCAGACAATCCAGTGATCAACAGCATGAGCATCGATCTGCGCAATTGGGAACCGATGACATGTGTCAACCAAGTCAGCGAGCCTGACCACCCGATCCCGTTGGGATGGGATGCTGAAGACCTATTCTATCCCGGATCTTCACGGGTCAACGCCAGTAGGAGGACCTGGAGGCTCAATGCATCCAACCTTCACCGTCCCCCGAAAATAGACCAAAATTTTAGCAATGACAACTGGATTAGAAACTGGTCGAGATAATCAAACAGGTGAAATTGTTAAGAGCTACATATATACTCTAATATCCAATCTTATGTTTTACTGAATATGATTGTTTCTGCTTTGCATAAATTTCACAACTTCTCTTCAACCATTTACACACATTTGTACGTGATAAAATTAATAACTTGAGGATATAAATAAAAAGATGTGTGTCGAAATTACTGACACAATTGATTGGTTTAATATTTGAAGCTTATTTCCTGTTTCGTTCAACTGATCATCACATCGATAAGTTTCAGCAAGTTTCAACATTACTATAACACCACATACAAATGATGTAACAACTCAACAACCAAAACAACTATTTAGCAGCACCATATCTCCTTAGAAAACCACTGCCAGGAAAACCCAGGCCAAGACACTCAGTATTTCCTCCACAGTCACCGCCACCAAAAAGGAGGTCAGTGAGCGATACTCACAGACTAGAAGTGCTCATGTAACACGTGACCAACACAAGGCTCAGTGGAATTCAGTCTTTTCAATTCGCCAGTGCATTTTGCTTTGGACAAATGTCGATCGAAATACCACGACAATGTAAGCCCGTGTCCGACCGAATGAAATGCTCGTTGATCACCTGACTTTCGGCACATACCGCCACCTATAAGGCATTCGGCACGTACCGCCACCTATAAGGCATTCGGCACGTACCGCCACCTATAAGGCATTCGGCACCTACTGCCACCTATAAGGCATTCGACACAAACCGCCACCTATAAGGCATTCGGCACATACCGCTACATTCACACGATTTGCGACAATGCATTCTCATCCATTCAGCATTGTGTACACATTCTCCTCTGTCCGCCCACGATGGGCAACTGTCGTAATAGTCTACACAATCTTCACCTGTTGATGGAATTCGCATGTCAATCAAGATCTTTTACCAAAAAAATTTAAGTCCTTCGACATAAGAGTTTCTCCTCTTACAGTTCATGGATTTGCCCATTACGATTAATTCAGTTGGTGGCTATGTACTGTAAGGAATTCTTCGATATGCAACAACAAAATCCAATGTTTTAATTAAACTTATTTTTATGTTACAACATTAAACAATATACTTGAATAAACTAAGGAATTACATTTTAATATAATTGTGGTTTATATTGAAAAAGTTAAAAAAACAGAATACAAGGTCAAATACGTACTGTCCCCAGATGAAGTATCTACAAGAAAGATAACATTTTCTGTCAGAGAACTATTTCACAACACACATAACAGTATGATAACTACAAGCTAACTACATCAAGCACAACAGATCCACCAAGTCAGCATTTCCAGGGCTCATTTCAACATATCGTTGACGTCATTACATTTACACGATTATAAAGTGCAAAATATTTAGATTTTTATGCAATTACAATATTCGTCATTTTCTATGTTTACCTCATTAAGTTTTAGTTTTAGCTCACCTGCACACTGCCCGCACGATCTTTGACAGTATTTGTGCATCCAGCCAGGGTTTCGATCACATTCACCGTGTTCTGCCCACGAGCGGCAGTTACCGTGATTGTCATAACACGTAGTTTCATCTATAACGATGTGGGCAGGTTAATTCAAATGCTAGGGTTCACCATACGTTTACTAGTGAAATGGCACGATAATTGTTTTAGATCATTAAGAACTTGCAAGTTACATATAAGTTGTATATTTTTTACGGTTAATCTGATATACTAATTACACTTTAATATGAATATATTTGTAGTTATAGGTATAAAAAATATAATTATAAACTCATGATCATGTGTAATTATCATGGCCAGTCTTCATAATGGCATAACAATTAAATGTTATTTCATTTGGAAAGTGACGCCATTTACGATACCAGCATGTATAAAAATGGAGAAAACACGAGAGCCACCACCACCAAATAGGGGAATGCACACAGGTAAATTCCAAGTTCTACTTGAAACGTGTATCATATACCATGAACGGAGCACTGACGTATACATTCTTTGACAACAACCAGGACTAAAACTACATATCATAAAACAAATCAATGCACATCCCATGAACAATCAACTTTCAGAACACCGCCATACAACCAGGAAGAGACACGACTTGATATACATACAATCTTCACGCATCTAAAACAAACAGGTATCATTTGATGAGGTTGATAATTGATAAAAATGATGTTTAGTTTTACGTCAAATATTACCGTCGATGAAGCGAGAGCATGACGCTTATGTTATGTTAAACATTACCGAAGATAATGGATCTATAAGACAGTTATATTACGTTAAACATTACGGTAGATTATTGATCGATAAGACGTTTATATTACGTTTGCAAAACATTACCGTAGATGATTGTCCGATACTACGTTTATATTACGTTAAACATTATCGTTGTTGTGTGAGTACGGCGATTTTACTACGTTACAAATGCTACGTATGATGCATGAATATGGATGATTACATGCATGACTATTACTACACTGCATAATGCTAAGCGTTATTATACTAATATATTGATAACATGACCACACGCGGTCTGTTAGCGATATGTATATTACGCTGTATGTACATCTTCATGAATAAGTGATATATAGTGACCCCAATGTTTGTGACATTTATGTTAAGCATGACATGATCGTTGTTAATGGATTGGTTTGACTTGATCACACGTCTTCTCTTAGCAATATTCGTAGAAAACATTACATGATGATACTTACAAATTTATGAAACCAACTTCTTCTATTGTGTGAGTGCGACGTTTCGGTATAGATTCTTGTACCGTTGTCCAGCAGTAATAAAAAATCTGTACCGAAATCTCACACAATAAAGGAAGTTGTTATCCATAAGTTTGTAAGTATTGTACTGGTCAACTGCTAAACTGCCACTTAAAGAAGATGTTGTAACGTGATGAGTGTTAAGAAACGAGATATACACTGAACTCATGCTGTCAGTACACAAGCTTTAGGGAATAGGTGAACAGATACATGACTAAAATGCATGACTTTGTAATTTAATGAGGTATGTATAAACAGAGGTTATGTGAACTTAAATACATTTGTAAAGAACTATAAATGCAAGCGTTGAAGAAGAGACATGTGGGAGAATAGAATATAATATCCCAGCTACTTAGTTACTTAGCTGTTTCATTAAAAGCATGACTGTGAATAAGCTGTGATATGAAAATACAATATATAGTGCAATGATGATATATGTACATTGCACGTAGTAAATTTACTATATATATCTTAAGATATAAGCGTATGTTATAAGACATATGCTAAATACATCATGCACTTCGCATACGAGCAAGCCAACCAGTATATGGCTATATTACGTGTACATATAAGCCCACGTCACACCATGCTGCAGCTACTGACTATAGGTATGACCACATAGGTTCAGCCTAGGGAGACCAGGCTTGTCATAATATCAGCTACTTTAAGCGCGGACGAATCCCGTAATGGTAGAAGAACGCTGCAATGCCTTGTGCTGAATACTCGATTGGTATAATATCGGATGCGCCCAATACAGTGGTACACAGCCATCGTTGTACGCAGCAGCAATAGCTCTATTCAACTAAACACTATCCCAAAATACTGCATCCACATATTGTTCTTTTAGATATAAACTAAATCCTTCAGTATTTATGAGAAAGAACCAGCACTCACCAATAGCTTGGAACTTAAAACTATCTGTGAAGGGGTTCAGTTGATGACATTCAAATAATTATATTATTGCAGTTCAAAATGGTTTGATCCAGGGATACTCATTGTATATATATTGACCACTTCACGTCCTAAAAGTTGCAGATAGTGGCGAATCATCCCATTACCTCTTCTGGTTGTCAGTAGCTGATGACGTTGTTCGCGAACACTGTGGTCCATTGCTATAATTTTCACAGCTATTGTTTCCTTTTACACCAAACTGAATTTCTTTCTGAAGATAGTCAAGATAGCATTCTTTACCACTGACGTTCTATGTTTCCTTATCGGTGTGGTTATACCAGTGTATACCTACGGAGCTTCTAGTCTATATGGCCAGCTTCAAAAACAGCCATAACAAGCAGCCTCGGTTGATGCAATACATGCAGTATATCTGTTGCAGTGCACGAGATGACTAGTACTGTAAACATCGCAAGTGCACACATTGTCAAGTGCACACATTGCAGATCAGGTCATTGACCTACCATAGCAAGTATTGCAGGATTTGGGACATTTGATCTTCATGTAGGCCGGATTTCTTACACAATGATTTTGCCCCGCCCATCGTTTGCAAGACCGGACTTTGTCTCGGCATTCATCTGTCTTCGGGTTCTTAGTTTTAGGTTTCTCCTCTGTTTGTGTTGGATATAGACTTACATGAAGAAGAGGTTCCTTGTTCTCATATGTGTATTATATTCCATACTTTATATACATAATTACATATGTCTGCATTTGTTACTTGAGTAAAACCAGCATGAAATATACTCCTAAATAGAATTTCGACAAAGAAATAACCAATTCGGTATTTGGGTGTGTGCCTCCACCACATTGTGAAACGAATACATTGTTCTTTCAGATCAGCTTTCCTTATCATCAAAAGATACATTTACAACGAGTGTATTTATTGTACATATCAAGAAAACACTCACCTTTCTTACCTCCTTTGGTCGCACCTGTAAACCATGAAAAACATGATTTTGTTTTCCGTCCTAAATCACGGACCCTAAATGACTACACATCATTTTACCTCCAATAAAGGCTTAAGGCGGAGTTCCATATACCAACAAAATACAGATTGGGGAAACGAAAACGGTATGATTTATAGAGCTCATGTGAAGTGAAATGAAAACGATATGATTAATTATATATTAAACACATGTGTGATGTGAAAAAAAACCGAAATAACTTATAGAGCTCATATGTGAGGCGAGTTAAAACCAAATAATTCATTTTACAGAGCTCATATGTAAGGCGAAAGGAAAACGAAATAACTTATAAAACTCACATGTGTATGATGGTTTTACTTGTGATTCTATCCATTATTAATGCTTGATACAAATTGATTTTTTACAAAATATATACAACGCACCTCCCCCACAGATGTTGCAAGACTTTTTACATGTAGATTTCATGTAACGTGCGCTTCTGGTACAGTGGCCGCTTTTGGCCCAAGAGGGACACCGTCTGTCGGAGTCAACACAGTTCTCACCTACTCAAACACAGGCCCAGAAACACGATGTGATCAACGGGTGATAAAAGAACGCGCAGTATTGAAGCGCAAGCGTTCATCTCAGCGACTGCGAAATCAGAGTTAGCTGTAAGCGCTCGTAAAATATACTTGAATAATACTTGGCAGCAGCTTGCATCATTTTGGCAAATTGATTTCGTTATTCAAACTTAGAATATCCTCATGCTTTGGTAGGTTTGTCTTAAGGCCATGTTGCCTCAACACGAGTATGCGCAAGATGGCGCTAAAAGAAGGTTAGTTTTAAAATAATTTGCGTAGTTTAAAAAAGGATACATTATGTAAAATGTAGGTAATTATACAACTGTGGAAAGCCATTTTATAAATCTATGTTAATCTGCAATAGTAAAACAATAGCAACAACAATTATCTTACCTGATGGTTTCTGCTTCGTGTTACCTGTGACAAAACACAAAAGTAAAAAATACAAATGATGTCTGGGCGTGAATGTTGTTTTACAACGCAGTCAGCATTGACTAAACACTTTGTTTTACGATTAGCCAGGTCAAATGTTCTTGCCCCTGATCATTCGTTCAGACTACAATAGCCTACAAATTGAAAGGTACTAAGGGCAATCAACTATGACATGTGTGTATTTAAGGCATATAACTAATGGGTCGGTTGACTAATGGGATGCCACCAATTCAAATAGTGCAGTGACGAGTAAGTGCCATCAAGCCCCAATGGTGTACGCTGGTTGCTGTATGAGGTGTTACTGAACGCTGCTGAAGGCGACCCGCAACACCATTTCGTAAACTGATTATAGAAACTGAACACATGACTTCTGGTCATCATTTTAATTCTTTAAGTTAATGTAATTAATTAAACGTTTTCACGTATATTTACATATGGATATAAACATATGCCTGACCTTTAGTTGGTTTTCTGCCACCTGAAATGAAATCCAACACATCTGCATATGAATATGTTTTCACAATACAACCAACCAAGATCGTTGCTTGATTACAACATGCGTAATACATGTAAACAAATGTCTAAAAGAAACGATAACATTTTTCAATATATTTTTTAATTAAGGATTCCTTTTCATATTAAAACATACTTCAGCGTTTCCCATGTTCCAAACCAAACGTATTCGATCGAACAATCCGGGAATATTTGATCAATTTAGAAAATAAAACGCGCACTATGTCAAAATGATGTTACGTCCCGTTGCACGAAATGCACGTGCAGGTCAACGGTATAAAACTGCTGAGTCCACACTTTGGGATCACAGCAACAAAATCACTCAAACGAAATGCCACGTTTGACCGCGATTGAGATAAAGTTTCTGTATCTTTTTGGTTTTCGTTAATGTCCTTTCAAACACGTGTTATCATTTCTTTTGGACATTATGTTATGTTAATCGTTTTCTAAGTGTCTTCATTTTAATTTTAATTCTTTAACCTATTGTAATTCATTAAACGTTTTTCACGTATATTTACAGATGGATATAAACATATGCCTAACCTTTAGTAGGTTTACCGCCACCACCTCCTGAAAGGAAACCCAACGCCTCTGTATATAATTATATTTTCACCAATACAAGCAAACAATTTCGTTGGTTAATCACAACATGCATAATTCATTGATTACGTCAATGCTTTTATAAGCGTTTTCGTATCGTAATGATCGTACTAGAGGAATAATAATGGCCTTATAAAGTCTTCATTTTATCTTTGGATCTTGATGCATAGTTTATCGCACCGATAACAAGTATCTGTTATGTGCTGTATTGTGTAATAAGTTAAGGTTTTACCTTTGCAGAATTTACAAGCTCGGGCACACGAATCCTTCATGAATTCTTTGTTCTGTGTGCACTGGTTCATCGTGTTGGCCCACATGTCGCAGTTATCGTCCAGGTCCTCGCACGGGTCAGACCCACCTGCAGAACGGTAGGGCCTCAAACTATCATATAGTGCTGCAAGTGTAACTCACACAACTGACCAGGGTAGCTCACACATCTGACCAGTGTAGCTCACACATCTGACCAGTGAAACTCACACATCTGACCACCGTAATTCACACATCTGACCAGTGTAACTCACACTTGTGACAAGCGTAGCACACACATCTGACCAGTGTAACTACACATCTGACCAGCGTAATTCACACATCTGACCAGCGTAACTCACACTTCTGACCAGTGTAGCTCACACATCTGACCAGTATAACTCACACATCTGACCACTGTAGCTCACACATCTGACCAGTATAACTCACACATAGGACCAGTGTAGCTCAGACATCTGACCAGCGTAACTCACACATAGGACCAGCCTAACTCATACAAGTGACCAGTGTAACTTACACAAGTGACCAGTGTAGCTCACACATCTGGCCAGTGAAACTCACACAAGTGACCAATGAAACACACAACTGTCCAGTGCAACTCACACACCTGACCAGCGTAACTCACACATAGGACCAGCCTAACTCACACAAGTGACCAGTGTAACTCACACAAATGGCCAGTGTTGCTCAGACATCTGACCAGCGTAATTCACACATCTGACCAGCTTAACTCACACAAGTGACCAGTGTAACTCACAAATCTGACGAGCGTAACTCACACAAGTGACCAGTGTAACACACAACTGGCCAGTGCAACTCACACATCTAACCAGACTAACTCACACAAGTGACCAGTGTAACTCACAAATCTGACGGGCGTAACTCACACCAGTGACCAGTGAAACTCACACAAGTGACTAATGTAACTCACACATCTGACCAGCGTAACTCACATATCTGACCAGCGTCACTCACACATCTGACCAGTGTAACTCACACAACAGGCCAGTGTAGCTCACACAACCGGCAAGTGTAACTCACACAACCAACCACTGTAGCTCATACAACCGGCAAGTGTAACTCACACAGCCAACTAGTGTGGCTCACACAACTGACCACTGTAGGATTCACCCGCCGTGATATTGATCGCATATTACTTAAAGCGACATAAAAATAACCTCATTCACTCGCTCACCCTGAACCACATACCTGCACACAGGCGGTTGCTGCAAGTCTGGTCGTCTCTACATTTGCTACACGAACTACCCCGTTGATATGGCTTCACGCCCATCTTGTTGCCTCTATAACAAAGACATGTCTGCCTTGAGGATAGCTAGAGAAACAGAGTGCATCATCAGATTATACTGCACAAGTCTCATTTGTCGACATTTTTTGTGACGCACTGTAGTTTAGTTCTCACAGAGGGTGGTACTCGGTTCCCTTTGAATTGGAATTCTGATGATTATTCATACCATTAGATGATTATTTAAAATCATAGATTATTCAAAAGGAATGAAATTTGAAATGTTATCTTGAACCATGTAGAGTTACTTACGCTGGGTCGTAGAAACATACAAGGTACCAGGCTTTGGCGGTACCCTGAACTAAGTATTCACACCGCTTCATAGCACAACCAACCCGCCTTGTCGTGGCCCATACCAGCTGTAATAGACATTAACATTCATTATGGTCTTGGTATGAAGTCATACACACAAAAAGTGATTAGAAAGACTTATTGAACTGTAACACTTAAATAGGTATCAATTCAAACAATATTCGTACTGGAAGGGAGAAGAATTTTAATTCATTGGTCTATTCTAATATATGTAAATTAGCTTAAGTTCAGTTGGATACCTTGAAGGGTTAATAGCAACAATATGAACATTAAAACTACCTCTATGTACAGATGTAATTAGCAATGATTGGGGTCTTCAGTTTGGGGATTCAAATGCGGGATCATTATCAACATTACGTTTTGCAATTTCAATTTCATTTAATGGAGACGTACAATATGAACATTAAAACTACCTCTATGTACAGACGTAATTAGCAATGATTGGTATCTTCAGTTTGGGGATTCAAATGCGGGATCATTATCAACATTACGTTTTGCAATTTCAATTTCATTTAATGGAGACGTAGTTCTAACGTATAAGGCGAGTATATGCATCTGCTGTAGCCTCATTATTTGTGTCAATGGCTTTACCTTATTCCAGTTATCATTGTTTTTATAATATAACTGCTTTTGATCGGTCCTCTGTGAGTGATTGTAAATACATGTACATGTCTGGCATCCTGTAAATCTGGTATATATAGTTTGCTTTCTACATCTGTCAATAATCACCTAAAGAAGGGACAAGAAGTAGCCCAGGAACGTTGTGATATACAAAAAACAAGAAGTTTTCATCCATATACTCGTCTTATATATTCACCAACTTCTAAATGCCTCTCAAGAATCTCATAATTCTAACGTGTTGACGTCACACTGAAGACTATTTCAAGTCTTCATCGGCAACAATTATTTCTGACACCCTATGTATTTAGTAAATACCAATGTAGTTATCAAATCCCTAAGTACTTAGTAAATCCCATGTACTTAGTAAACCCCATGTACTTAGTAAATCCCTAAGTACTTAGTAAATCTCATGTACTTAGTAAACCCCATGTACTTAGTAAACCCCATGTACTTAGTAAATCCAATGTACTTAGTAAAACCCATGTACTTAAACCCTATGTACTTAGTAAATCCCATGTACTTAGTAAATCCCATGTACTTAGTAAACCCCATGTACTTAGTAAATCCCATGTACTTAGTAAACCCCACGTACTTAGTAAATCCCATGTACTTAGTAAACCACATGTACTTAGTAAACCCCATGTACTTAGTAAATCCCATGTACTTAATAAACCCCGTGTACTTAGTAAACCCCTAAGTAGATGCCACGTCCTTTGTAAATCACATGTAAATTCCGATGTAGTTATCAAACCCCTAAGTACTTACCAACCCCCTACGTACGCAGTATACCTCTAGTAAAGCCCCACGTACTTTGTTTATCCTTACGTAGTTATCAAACCATGTTTGTGCGCTTTGAGCATCCTTATGTTTGGAAATAGCGCTATATAAATGCACTATTATTATTATTATTATTGTTATTATGTAAACAGTAAAGCCCTACGTACTTGTATATCCTTACGTAGTTATCAAACCCTTACATACTCAGTAAACCTCAACCTATTTAGAAAACCCCTAGGTGTAAAGTAACCATACGTACTCAGTAAATCCATTCGTACTTAATAACTGCCTACGTCTTCAAGTGTGACAATGCTTAACCTTAGGCTGGTAACACCAAACCTCTTCCAGTGTCGATGCAATATATAACATGAGGTTTCTCTTATCTTACCTGTGTGTAATGACAGCTTGCCCCGCACGAGTACTGCCCGTACGAGTATATGTTCTTTTCATCAAACCAACCCTTAAAGGCGATCTTGGTCAGTTCCGACTCAGGAATCGTCTTTGTGTTAAAGGCAAGGTTCTCCCCCCTTCCTTTCATCTGATGTTCAAATACACAGCGGTTGGCCCAGGCCCTTGCTTCTTTCTCAAGCTGGTCATCCCACACCTGTAACCGGGAATATACGAACACGTATAGTGAGTCAGTTTAGTTTTACGCCACACTCAGCAATACTCCAGCGATGTGGTGGCGGTCTGGAAATAATTGAGTCTGGACCAGGCAATCCAGTCATCAACAACATGAGCATCGATCTACGCAATTGGGGTACGATGACATGTGTCAACCAAGTCAGCAAGCCTGACCACCCGATCCCGTTAGTCGCCCCTTACGAGGTATACCTGTAACAAATGTGTATGTGCGTGTACGTGTGCGTGTGTGTTTGACATTGGAAGCTTAAGACACCTACCTATATTTACATGAAATAATTATTATTCTTGGATTTTATTCTGTTTACAATGTAGTTTATGTAATTATTACAACATATTGTGTGTGTGTGTTCCATATATATAACACTGGTCTGAACGTTATCAGGCATTTACGTAAGCACTAGGTTTCATTCCATTATCAATAATGAAATATTCTATATGTTTAACAGAAAACATGTTTGTATCGTTGCAACAAATGCCTCTGTTACTTATTACCTTTCTTTAAAAATACATTCTGAATATTGGTGCTGATGTGTATGATATGTCAATACGAGGTGTCGTATATTTAAAAAAATGTCATATCTGAGCTAAATGACCCTAACTAGACGTAACAACGCTATTTGTGCTATAAGGTCAAATGCAAGTAGGATTTGTCACTTTATGACATGCTTTGCGCTTACACGGGTTTCCGTTTTGATTTAGGTATAGTCGTATGACAGAGAGGTATACGTTTCAGTTTAAAGGACTAAAGTCATATAGTGCAGCACTGTGCTTTGCAGGTATTCTGTCATACAGACCTGAAACAAATATATCCAAGAAAGCCATGCAAGTCTTAGATTACAACAGTTTCTGGAAGTGAAGAAAGTCTGTGGGGTCCTTTTTATTGTATTTTATTTCAGTTTATAATGTAAAATTTCATTTCAGAGACTACATGTTAGTATACTCGGCCGTTTAGGAGTACGTATGGCCCAATGATTATGTGGTATTTCTGAAGAAAGTAAAGACATATAAGATAGCAGATGAGCAGTGTTCGAGCTGGTCTAGTGTATTATACAGCAATATGCACTGTCGTTTTGATGTAAGTATAATCGTATTATTATGTCCTGTCAATCTGAAGGAGCGCTGGTGTAGCCTAGTGGTTAAAGCGTTGGCTCGTCACATCGAAGAACCGGGTTCGAATCCCCACATGGGTACAATTTGTGAATCCCATTTCTGGTGTCCCCCGCCGTGATGTTGCTGGAATATTGCTAAAAGCAGCGTAAAACCAAATTCAGTCAGTCAGTCAACTTGAAGTACAGTTCTCTGATATAGCGACATGTACTATCTTTTTGGAGGAAGTATAGGTGAAGGATGTATATTTCCATTTTGAAATACTGTGGTCGTATAACATTAAAGTATGTACAGTCGTTTATAGGGTGGTATGCACTTCAAGTTTGAAGTAAGTACACTCGTATTTAAGTAGTATTCGTCTTGTACGAGTGTTCGACTTCGGCGACTTTGAAGTGAAGTACTATCATATGATACGGCGACATTGTGAAGTAAGTCATATTGTCACAGTGAGCGAAGTGTCATTTCTATAAATTAAAACCGACCACCTTCACTAACCATACTCGGTGAGGCCTTTACAAAACCTAACCTGAACCTAACCTTAAAATGTGTTTTTAGTTCACACACAAAAAGTTTTGTTTGATATAAAACATATATTCTAGCACGACATTGTGTGATACTCGATTCTGATTGGCTGAGAGCTCATCAAAACCGTACTTAAATGGCAGTTTAAGACCGCTAATTCAAGTGACCGATTCACCGCGTATGAATACAACGAACTCGTTGACCCTATTGTTTGTAAACAAACATGTCGGACATCGGCAATTTCTATCTCGGCAGCATCTTTTGTTTTTAAAGTAAAAAGCGAATGGTTTGAAGGAGAATTTCTTGAACCTAATCCCAGTGAAGAAACTACGAAGCTGGAAAATCCGTCAGCAGCGCAAAAGCGGCAGTATATTCAAACCGGGTCCAGATCTACGTGTGTTGACGTCGACAACACACGTCGGCCCACACGTCCTAACCTGACCGCTTCCGTCCCGGCCGTAATGCCCAGTCCTTCCACTTCCACTGTCCATGTATCCCACATAAAACGTGGCATGTCAGGTCTTTTCCAAATTGGGAATAGTAGGGTGGTTATCAACAGTTATTAAAAATTTCCGTGAATAAAGTTAGCGGCGACTAAACTTAGCGACTTCACGGCTTGAATTGGGACGAGTCGATTGTCATACAGTAGGGGAGATCAATAATTCGCTTGAGAAAAATCAAATAATTGTACTTGCTCACAGTATAAACTGTATTTTTATATTTATGTATGCTACTTGTTACAAATACAAGCATACTGGTTCCTGAAATAAAGCATTTATGTTGTTGAAAATGTCTCATTTTGTTCATTACACAACCTGTCCCTCAACGGGACGATTCCAAGCGATTTCCAGGAAAAGGGCCCTTTCGCGCCTTGTGTTCTTGCGCGCCAAACAGTTCGGTTTTAAAACGCTTATCAGTCGTGCTAGAATGAAGATAAAGTTACACTGTTTTCAATTTTTTCGGTCCTTTATCGTTGATTTAAGACTGCTAAATGTTTAATTTTAAACCTCACGCTAACGCGTTCGGTTTTAAATTACATTTAGCGGTCTTAAATCAACGATAAAGGACCGAAAATTGAAAACAGAGTAGCTTTATCTTCTAAATAAAATTTAATCATTTATGAAATCAAAAGGTGTCGTTTATTAAAACTCTTGACCGATTTCTCCATCACACACTCAAGCAATATTGTAGTGGGAAGATCTCGTTACACTGAAATTCATACCAGGCATTGAAATCTGTAGCGTAAATATCAAGACGATTTCACACAGTGTCACAAATGCCAGTATATGCCATTGAAACGACTCGGCTAGAGCAATCCTGCAATCTAGCACGGCGATTAGTCTTAGTGACATCTTACTTATGATTACTGCCCGAACCTTGTTTACTTGCCTCAACTACAGGCCAGGTTTTCATGATTGTATGTCAAGCTTATAATTAACACATCAACAATAATTGCTGACGATGACAGCTGATAGCTGAGTCTTTGACGTTATTAATACAATAAAGTGTACCGATCTCTGTCCATTTCAAACCACGATTAGGATCAAAGCTATCTATATACCATTCATTATGAAACGATTATATAAATTGGAATAATTAGTTATTAACATACGCTGTCGTCTTTTCTCCAGGACATTTTTTAGTCAATGTGTGTCAATTTTCAGTTCTTTTGAGACAGAGAAAAATAATTGTTCAAAAAAGATTTCAGGCATTCCGAATAAATTAATCCATTACCTCTCTTGCAAATGGCATTATTTAAAAAAAAGTAAATGCATGATCAGTGAGAGTCAGAATATACTATATGTAGAGAATCGAGTACGGATATTATATTATTTACTGTTGTCTAGTTTTGTCTTATTCTGTTACAACCCGGGTAATAAAAAGCAGTTGTTTGCGAATGTTTTGATTCAGTGACTTGGAGGACTGCTACTTAATTGCTACTCAATTTGTCTTCATTTCTTTGAAACTGACGATAAGTAGTGAGAGAGTATGAGCTTACGCCGTTTTCAGCAATATGCCTGTACTACAAGGGCGGGGGACACCAGGAATGTGGGAATCAAACTCGAGCCTTTGAACCACCAGATTCCCCAGCCGATATATAAATTTGTTATGGGAGAACGTCCTTTAAATCGCATTATCATAATGGTTAAAAATCAATAAATTTCGTAACAATATTTAAATCGTAATAACCTGCTCCTAAATCTAACCGTGGACACGTAAACAAATTGATTAGAACTTTTACGGGGTACTAAATTATTTTCTCACCTAACTGGTCAGATGATTAATGTGTTTTTTTAGTCTTGGTGTATTTCCCGATAGTGTTAAAAAGTACAAATACCAGCATCATGTGGCTGACAAATGAATACTTTGTAAGACTAATATATTTAGATGATCCTGCTGCGTTTGAAAACCCAGGTGTATATTATAAATTGTGTTATAATCATTGTGTTTCCTTTCATAGAACAGCATTCCTACTTCAAGCTGACATGCCTTGATATCCCATTTGAAACGGCTCTAAACCATACTCACTCCCACCTCGAGAGGTCAGTCAGTAAGGAAGTTGCTAAATATTGTTTCCAAATACTCAGCAACGCAATACTAGCCTGAGATACAACTTGGCGACACTAACATATTACACTTCTATGTAAGTACCGTTTTCAGTGACAGGCCAATGAAATAATAGTATAATTATGACAGGCTGCGTTTTCACTTGACTAACATATAAGAACACTTGATGGTATAATTTGTTGTAGGTGCCTGTTTAAGGGGTGTGACTGTATAATACAACCTAGTGCAAAAAGCCATCTTTCGCTCTTGTTCTAGACAAGAAACGAAACAAGGCTAAGTATACTACTGAAAACAATTCTTTCTCTCACATTTGGAAGCTTGATAGAATTTCATATCGGGCGTTCGGTAAAGTATTTCCGCTGCATATATCAGTAAATAGGAAACCAGTTAAACATATTCGAGAATTAAGATGAAATTGTCAGTAACAGGATAAGTTCGATTTCTTGGCGCCCTAAAGAGATTTCCTTGAGAACCACGTAGCGATGTAACGATGTCATCTAAAATCATTCGAAAGTTCTATCATCTTGTCATAAGTGTTCATGAAAGACTCTTACTTGATGGTCTGACTGTACATCCTCACAATTCACAAGTGATCACTGACCATAAATAAAGACTTCCATGATCTAACTTTGTTTGTTTGTTGTTTAGCACAACACTCAGCAATATTCCAGCTATATGGCAGCGGTCTCTAAATAATCAAGTCTGGACCAGACAATCAAATGATCAACATCATGAACATCGACCTATGCAATTGGGATACGATGACATGTGTCAACCATTTAGCGAGTCTGGCCACCCGATCCCGTTAGTCGCTTCAGGTTTAGCACTTTACCCGAACACGTTTTGGACTAGCTTTTAAGTGGAGATAAATGCAGCAATGAGTCTAATCCCAATATTCCACACATTCAGTGATAGCACTTGGGGAGACGTCACGTTGACGTCGTGTACTGAGACGTCAATGTCCATAGAAGTATGATTGTCCATAGAGTGAGTGAGTGAGTTTAGTCTAACGCCACACTCATCAGCATTCCATAATCGAGTCTGGAGCTCACAATCCAGTGACCGACAGCAAGAGCATCTATCTACGCAAATGGAATATGATGACACGTGTCAACCAAGTCTGCGATCCCGTTAGTCGCTTCTTGCGACAAGCATGGGTTACTGAAGATCAATTCTAACTCGGATCTTCACGGGTAGATTGTCCATAGAATTTGTTCTGTATGAAATTACTCATCTGAAGCTGCTTTTCTTATATGTATCTACTTTCTAACCCATAGTGTAGGGTTTTGGATTATGCAAACACAAACATTATCGTTCCCTGTATATTTCTAATAGTCAATTATATGACTGCGTATGAAATGAAAACTCCTACGATAGCCAATTGTGATGTAAATGTGGATTAGAAAGGACTTACACTACGCCTGGAGTCCATTGGAGTATAAACGTTCATAGAGTTAGACTCTCACTCTATGAAGACTCTCAAAGAATTTACACACAGTTGATGGTCACTTTCTATTGAAGTCTATAGTGAAAGACGAAAGCCCAATGACCATGGCCCTATCAAGAAAAACAGTTTTTCAACTTAGTGTTCACAGTATAGTTTTTATACTGCGCTATGAACATATGCATGCAAGCACTTTAGTGAGTGAGTTGGTTTACGCAGCTTTGAACACTGTTTCCGTTATCTCACGGCGTATCCTGCTGAAGGAGAGCCCGAAGTGATGAAGTGTGTGGATGCTTACTACTTTAATGAAGCCAACAAGCACATGTATGGCAAAAAACTAAACCACATTAGTTGGACGAAACGGGATCAGAACCCACCATCACTGGATTATGTTGTGCCCAAGGGACGCAACTATGCACAGCTAATTGCCGAGCCTTATACGACTGGGACAACCATGACCCCTCAAATTCATCTTTTCAATTGAACTCCTAACAATGTGTACTGACCAACTGATTCATGTCGGAGCCTCCTTCGTTTGCCCTGGCGTCGTTGTGGAGTTTGAGAAGCAACGTTTTATACTTGTCTTCTATAGACAGCGTCCCCTGAAGCAACACCGTCACCATCAACGTCACCAGCAACAACATGGTCATATGTCTGCAACACAGAAATACAGGTTAATGAATCAGAATCTCTGTAAGCATAGTTACTAGCACCTACATGCACCATAACAGGACATATTAGAAGAACTGGGCAAGCGTGAGTGAGATGTAGATGAGGACGAAATGATCTAAGATATGGCGCAAAGGGAGTGAGCGCAAGATACGGTAAATGCCAAATCAAAGCAAGACAACAATGGTAACGTGCAATTGCAGATTGAAGAGACAAGGGAGAAAATGGTGAGTGAGTTTAGTTTAAGGCTGCTTTTAGCAATATTCCAGCAATATCACGGCAGGGAACACCAGAAATGGGCTTCACACATTGTACCCATGTGGGGAATCAAACCCGGGTCTTCGGTGTGACGAGCGAACGCTTCAACCACTAGGCTACCCCATCGCCCCCGGGAAAATAGAAAAAGGACTTTAAAAATGAGTGAGTAAGGTTTTACGTTGCTTTTAGCACTATTCCAGCAATATCACGGAGTTGGACACCAGAAATGGGCCTCACACATTGTACCCATTTGGCGAATCGAACCCGGGTCTTCGGCGTGACGAGCGAACGCTTTAACAACTAAGCTACTCTACCGCCCCAGTAAAAATGAGATATGAGGTATAGACGAAGGGTGATGCTGTGAAGGACCCAAAAATGAGAGAAGGAAAGTAGAGTGTGAAATCGAATATGAGAAAATGACAAAAGAAGGACTATATGAGGAAACATAGAAAAGGGAATAGCGACAGGAGAACTGGACAAATAGTCACTGTGAAAAACGTTACCCAGGAAAAAGGAAAAACTAACGTTCATATGTTTTGTGAAATACTGGATTACATAAAACCATATGAAACCATCGCTTACCTCTCTGAAACTAACGTGTTCATGATCTAAGGTGTCCGGTAACATAGGTTCAGTTTCTCCGGATATTAGCAACACACATCTGTTGTATCCGTGCCATGGTCACAACGCTGTTGTGGACATTGTCCAGTGTGATAATTGATATTTGCAAATCAACGTCAACCCGTAGCACGAACGTTTCCGTGAATACATGGAAGAAGCCTTGATAGTTGTTGCCAACGTTTCCGTTAGAAAACGTTAGATCAATAAGGTACATAATGAAAAGGCCAAAAGTTCTATGAACTCGCTTTTGTCTGTGTGGCACCAGGTTTAAGGTATGATTAAACAGAACTGTATAAAGTAAAACGTCCGACTTAACGAAGGGATGAAAAATCGAAAAATATTAAAATTTGTCATTGTTTATATGTAACAGAATGATCTTATATATCCCTTGAAAGTCGTAATATCGAGTGATGACTGTCCGCGAGAACAATTGTATGTAAAACTTCAACGCAAGAAAATAGCCAGTCTTGATTATCCGACGAAACAGCTTCCATTGGGCGTAAAAGGAAAATTAGCTGGAGAACAAAGAAACTCTCACAGTTGTCCTTAACAGTATGTGTTTGTTTATATAACCTCGGTTCATTTATTAAGAAGAAATAAACCCACCAAGCAAAAAAGAAAAGAAAAGAAAAACAAACAAAAACACCACGCACATTGGGCATGAGATACAATTATGTACAATTTTCAAAATGTACTAAATGGCAGTATTTAACATGAGTTATGAGAATAGGATGCATAATTACTCACACATTTTACTAATTGTATTGTACATATGATTAAAGAATCTAAAGAGACCTTTTAGATCTCTTACACTGTAAGTGGTGATACGTTTCCTAAACTGGGCCAAGGTTTGGGAAACTTGCTGATGTAAGAGTTCATATCGTTGATGGAGAAAAGCTTCACATCTACTAAAAGATAACGGAATTCATCTACCACAGCAACTGGTTCCCTGATCCCTTATTCCTAGGGATGTTCAGTCAACATCAGTAATAGACCTCAATTGCCTTTACAGGAGAAAGTCACGTTGGTGATATTTGGAACATAGAACTACAAGAGTTATACATGAGTATAACCTGCCCTTACCTAAACCTTCATTTCTTTTAACAACAACCACTTGTTAGTGCCGAACATTTCATGCACCTCTGAGGATGCCAGACCACTGAAACATTTCTATCTTATCTCCTATAGACAATAAAGTGTAAATATTGTTTAGTTCTATCATATCAATTGGGATCCGATGACATGTGTCGAGATCTGTCCAATCTGACCAAGTCAGAGAGCCTGACCACCCGATCCCGTTAGTCGACTCTTACGACAAGCATGGGTAACTGAAGATCAATATTCTAACCCGGACCTCCACGGGTTGTATTAAGGACTGACTGACTGACTGAGTTTGGTTTTACGCCGCTTTTAGCAATATTCCAGCAACATCACGGCGGGGACACCAGAAATGGGCTTCACACATTGTACCCATGTGGGGATTCGAACCCGGGTCTTCGGCGTGACGAGCCAACGCTTTAATCATTAGGCTACCCCAGCGCCCCTTGTATTAAGGAAGTGATGGCCTATAAGACAATGTCACTACTCAACACTGTAACATTACAAAAACACGTCCTATACCAATGTTAAATATAGATTAGTAGTGAAAAATATTTACAATTTCCTACCTTAATGACTGGCGAACTTGGGAAGTCTCTTCAAATAATGACAAGAAGCTGTTGCTGTTTATATACAAGCGGATAATTATGATATGGTAATGTGGGTTGTAACCTCTGTATAGGAATTAGTGAATGAGTGGTTAACGTGGGTAATTGTGGTCCTGGTCAACTGCCGTATTTGCAGCGTTGCGTGTGAAAACCTATCTTTCAGATGGTGTTGAACAAATAAATACTTTTTGATATTTAATTATAAGCTATTAGAAGTGAGAAGTACCGTCACAGATTATAGCAATTACAGTTATATGATATTTGAAGTAGTTAATAGTGATAAAGAATGTTGGAGAGATAGGACAGGCTGAGAAACACGGTAATGAGTATATTCGTTAAATAGTGTGTACTCCAGGTCGAGCTGAGGTGAGGTGAAATTGGGTTTATCGTCGTGCTTGAGAATATTTCGCTCATATGACGACGTGCATGCATGTGTATGTGTATGTGCGGCTGCTTGTACTAGCCCAGACTGAAGCTGGTTTTATAGTGCTAGCCCACTGAGATACCATGCCGCAGTGAAGCATGAATACCCCACTCAGACACATCATACTGACTCCGAGCCGACCAGTCCTTGTTGTACCCATTAATGCTGAGCGCCAGGCAGGGGCCAACAAGTACCATATTTTAACGTCTTTTGGTATGACGCGGTCGGGGATCGAACCCGCGACCTTACATTGCACCCATATGGGGACTCGAACCCAAGCGTCCCAACAAAACTTGAACTGATAAAGAAGGAACATGTAGGGACCATATGCTCCTCATTAAATTTATAAGAGATTTGTCATCTTCCAGTTGTTTCCCCTTTCAATATTACATGAAACAGACTTATTAAAATTTGCCAAACTGAGCAGGAATTTAGATCAATATGCTTACAAACAGATCAGCAAGAACGCAATAACTGCTGGTAACCATGCAGATTATTCCTTACTTAACGTTCTAATCGCCATATTTCATATAGGTTTTATCAACGAGAAAACATTTCAAGTATTGCTTTCATAGAAAACATCAGAAATTCCATTACTTTATGACTGAATGTTTGGAGATAGGGATTTAACTATACTGTTCCAAACAAGACACGCATACCCCAGAAATATGTTGCGAAAATGTTGTATTTTCAAACATGTATAACTCGTCCACAAATAGACTTTAGTGCATGAATTTTTACACTAGTTTAGAAGAAGGTAATGTCTATACCACCAAGTGGATAATTTTAGATAACGGTGACGCTGAGCCCCATGGTGACCACGTAGCATGGTCCCGACGTCGGGTCTACATATTGGGATTGTGCAGGGTCTTCTGGCTCTCAGTCCAACCAATCTCTCTCAACCTGTTCCGTACAGTTTGACCGGATATCCCCCGAAGTCCAGGCACCCTGGCTGCTGTGCTCTCACCCGTGGCAGTACGATCACGCAAATGTAGTACCCGGATGTAGCGATCTTGGGCTGCAGTGGTGACTCGAGGTCTGCCTGTACAGGGACGGTCATTTGTTATACCTATTTGGTTGTAACGAGCTGCAAGCAGTGATATTTTGCTCAGATTAACATGCAGACGCCTGGCAACAGACAATTGGTAATGTCCAACGTGCATTCTTTCAATGGCGATGTTCTGTGTCGCAGCGTCATGACGTGGCGTAGGGATTTGACCTTGAAACTCCTTCAAAACGAATGCTGATTTCCGAACGTAATTTTCATAGCCAGACAGTGCATGCTCTTTGCTGCACAATTTCAACTGGAATGTAATTTTGGTTGCGTTGCGGCGATGCCTCTTTAATTCTTGTAAGAAATCTCATAAAAATCAACATTTTCAGGTAAAGTAGATTTTTCACTTGTGCAATAGTGTAAAATCGTGTTATCAACACTTTTGTTACATATTTTGACGACTGTTTGAACACAATTGGTAATTAATAGATTTTAAAAAATACAAAACGCCTGTGCGTTTCTTTTTTGGGATAGTATATTTCGGTGATTACAAATGTCCCATAGGTTTGATGAAGTGAGTGTTTTCTGCGTGCATACGTCGAATACGAAGTCAAGCACCGTTGTGTCGAAGGCAACTATGTAAATAATTCGTGCCATCTGCGGTCCGACGAGTGAGTAGGACACACAGCCCTATCTCAGGTTTACCCGCTCTGTCCATCAAGGCTTATTTTAATAGGTGACCCTGCAGAGACCGAAGCCACACACAGAGGATGTATGAATCGATACTTTTTGATGTATTGGTGCAAATGTGAGTGAGTGAGTTTGGTTTTACGCCGCTTTTAGCAATATTCCAGTAATATCACGGCGGCGGACACCAGAAATGGGCTTCAGACATTGTACCCATATGGGGATTCGAACCCCAGCGTCCCAACAAAACTTGAACTGATAAAGAAGGAACATGTAGGGACCAAGCTTTTACTTCGAGACAACCTTTTATTCCGGACATTAAAGTTCGAAAAATCGGTGTTTAACTATTTTCGAAACACCGATTGATTAATATTAGGTTTAGTGTTATAAATACTGCATACGTTCAGGTTCCACATGCACAAAGCTATTTTAGCGCTTAGTATGGGATTAAAGATTGCTTTGTACAACTGGACCCTGTTTCCCACAGCGACCAATCCCCTCCTCCAGTAGAAAAAAACACAAAAATACAAAAAACACCAAAAAAAACCAACAACAAAGAATCAAAACAAAGAAACGCACAACAATTAATTGAGCAAACAAAAACAGCCACTAAATACAACAACAACAACAACAACAACAACAACAAAAACAACAACAACGACACACTAACAACAATAAACTTACCAAACCCCAAACTACACCAAACCAAACCAAAGCAGTTCGTTATAACCGTCAGTTCGTTATAAATGGCAATTCGTGTCTCAATATTCGGGAGCTTTTTGTTCTCTTCAAAGTGCCGTCAAGAATGGCTTGATTTGTGAATAACAAGGGAACCCACATGGTATTTCAATTCCAGATCTTGACATTTATTCGTCCACAATCAGATGGCCTCATGGTTTACAGGGGGTTCACGGATCGACGGCCTAATTCGTTGCAGCTGGATGATGATCCTGATGGAGGCCGCTGGCTTGGTCATTCTTGTCCTGCAGTCTGCATGAGATCTGGACTGCTTCCATTTGCAATGAAGACATGTCTAGCAATCATCCAAGGGAAAGAGGTTCTACCTATATATAACACTCTGTAGCATGTATCACTGACTGACTGACTGAGTTTGGTTTTACGCCGCTTTTAGCAATATTCCAGCAACATCACGGCGGGGGACACCAGAAATGGGCTTCATACATTGTGCCCATGTGGGGATTCCAACCCGGGTCTTCGGCATGACGAGCCAACGCTTTAACCATTAGGCTACCCCACCGCCCCAGCATGTATAAGAAGTCGAATGGTCGCAAATAATATTTTGAGACCTGAAAGAGAAATAAAATACTGAATCTGAAATTTCTTAAGTGTAAAGTATATCCATGAGGAATTCTACCGGAAACGCTTTTCCAGGGCAATCTGTAACTCTATACCATTATTTACGTCAGTGGTCACGGATGTAACAGCTGTGACCGGTAGATGACCATGGAGAGATAACCGACATAGATAATTGAGATTAGTTCCAATTAATGACGAGCAATTACCGCTGATATACAGATTACCTCACTATCATATTACAGATTCATTTTGATATAGCGTGTGTTTTTTTAAACATATCGTGAAAAGTTCCGTTTTCTTTGAACTGACTTAATATACGGTACTTAAGTATATATTAAAATATAATAACAACAGTCATAAAACACCTGTGAGTGATAAATAACAATAAATGATCGTGCTGGGACCCCCGGATCTCAACACGGTTAAAGTGTCCTCGAAATCATGTTTTCCAGGGCCGGAACAAACTATATTACAGGATGGTCATTCCATGCTAAATACTCTAGCATACCCTTATTTTATGTAATTTTAATAAATAGATCACTCTACAAGGTAATTGAAGATACAGAGTCGCTTTGCTTTGGAAACAATTATTTATTATTTGTAGATGCACAAAATGTAAGCTGTCCTGTTTTGGTATGATCCAGCAAGGGTAAGAGTCCGATTGACAGGATGGGCGGGAGATATACGGACAACAGCAAGGGTAAGAGTCGGATTGACAGGGTGGGCGGGAGATATACGGACAGCCTGAAGGACTGCGTTGATGGAGTTGCATTTTCAACCGAATCCCGCCGAGGTCAACACACTTCTATCAGTGGTAACAGAGTGCCCGGATCACAGACGTTTGAAAGGTTTCCTTGTGGCGTAAAAGTTCCTCCACAGCAAGAATGGCGACATCATCATTTGCGTAATGTTTGACAAGGGTTCATTTGGAAGAGGTGGCCGTCTGACGATGTCAAGTCTGGCTCATGCGCAGGACGTCCAGTGCGGTCAAAGACATGGCATGCATCCATGGCAACAACATACCTGTGCAACATACCTTGTCCTGGTGAAACAACACAAACCCGTATTTTCAAAGATTTTTTAGCTTTGATCGTTTCACGAAGTTGCCTGAGCAGATTAGCACAAATAAGGCCAATTATGGTCCGACCTGTTGTGACATGGTCTTCCAGAAGGAGTTCTCTCAAATCCCAGAACTCCGAATCCATTACCTGGTCAGGCGTTGTGGTTTTCGCGTTAGGTGCCGTTTGACGGTTGTTTGGTTTCTGGTTGTAAGCCTAACACTCATGAGTGGTTACAAATCACTATGAAAATCCAAGTCTGCTTCCATTTGACATAATATTCTCACCAGAAATAATGAACATGAGGTATTTCTCCAGAAGCCTTGACACCTTTGTCTTCCCCTGGTCATTCATCAGAATGACGTATCGCCGTCATCATATGATCATATCATGTATTTGATCAATATTAACCTTTATAGTTACCTAAGTGTATGTTTCACCTTGGATAACCTTCGCGTTCTACTCCCCTTTTGAACTCCACTGCCCAACTCCACTTAAGGGCAAATGAAGGATCCTCCCCTGTCTACCA